CACTCAAGAAAATTTAAAACATTCCGGAAAACATTTATAAAACATTCGGTTAATATTAAAGGTTTCCGGAAAATGTTTATTAAAACAAGTAAATATTAAAGTTTTCCGGGAAAACATCTATTCAAAACATCCAAAAACATCCATTAAAACATTAAAGTAATTTAAAACTTCCAAAAAAACATCTATTAAAAACATTCAGAAAAACAAACAATTTTCCGGAAGGTGTTCATAAAACATTCAGGAAAATTTAAAACATTCCGGAAAAACATTTATAAAACATTCCGGTAAACATTAAAGGTTTCCGGAAAATGTTTATTGAAACAAGTAAATATTAAAGTTATCCGGTTAAAACATAAAAATAAACATTTTGTTTTTCCGGAACAGTGTTTGTGTAAAACGTTTTCCGGAAAATGTTTATGTAAAGCATTTTCCGGAAAATGTTTATAAAACTTTCCGGAAAGTTTTATCATTTATTTCAACAAATAATAAAAATAAGACAAATCAATATACAATATCGGCATTTTTGTGCCTTTTTCGAGTATTAAAAAAGAATTTTTTTGTAAGTGATGGGTGAATAAAAGGTGGACTTTAAGAGATGTTTTGTGCATGTGAAAAAGGCCATATTACTATTAGGACCATCAAAAATGATGGCCTTCAGCTCAGTCTCTCCCCCAACCTCCTCCCCCTTATTTTACTACCCCCATATTTTGCCTTCTTCACACAGCATGTATTAAATAGTTATATGGAAGGGGATGGCCAGAGAAGGAATTTTAGTCTCATGAAAAGTGGTGGTGGCGTTGATGATGGCCAACCCATGAGAAATAAAACTGTGGAGAAAGTGAAGGTCAAAGCAACATAAAAATAAGAACGAGTTTTGGAAGAGTAATTTCGGCCAAAAGAAAAAATTTTTTAAAGTCCTGCGCATCTCTGACCATTAATAATAAAATAAAAATAAAAATTTTTATAAGGGAAAAGAGAGAATTGTTGCTTCCATTTTTCAGCTCCCGCCGCGAATCACCAGCCACATTGCTAATGCCTGGTCAGGCCATCACTCATGGAAAGGGCCGTAGAGGGCAAAGAGGAAGTAGTAGTAGAAAAGGGGAGTATTTGATGGAATTGTAGGGGGAAGAGGGAATGACAGTCACAAACGCGCATCAAGGCCAAAAGAAGCATTTTAGGGTTGTTTTTGTTGTAATGACTCTAGGACTGTAATAAAATGAGTAGTAGAATACTTTTAGTAGAATGGACAATTTAAAAATTAAGAGAAAAAACTAAGATTTGGACATAAAAAAAAGATGGTGGCATTTTTGTAGGCAATGGGAAAAACGTCTGCAAAATGTTGTCCGCAAAAATAGATGTTTAAAACTTGTTGTTAAAACTTTCCGGAAAACATAAATTTAATTATAAAGTTTCCGGAAAACTTTTATAAATGTTTCTAAAAAGTTTCCGGAAAATATAATAAAACAAATTAATTACAAAATGTTTTTCCGGAAAATGTTATAAAATTTTCCGGAAAACATAAATTTAATTATAAACTTTCCGGAAAACTTTTATGATGTTTTTAAAAAGTTTCCGGAAAATAAAACAAATTAATTACAAAATGTTTTTCCGGAAAATGTTTATAAAACTTTTCCGGAAAACATTTATGATGTTTCTAAAAAGTTTCCGGAAAACATTTATATTTCTAAAAAGTTTCCGGAAAATATAAATTGTTATTAAAACATTCCGGAAAACAAGTTCATTTAAAAACATCACAACAAATTAATTATAAAATGTTTTTATTTCCGAAAAATCAAGAATATGTTTTTCCGGAAAATGTTTGAGGAAATAAATCTAAATAATTAAATAGTCCAAATGCCACTAAAAGTATAACTATTTACAGTTAATATTTAAGAAGCCAAAAATAATTATTTAAAAATATTCCCCATCTAATAGACCTTCCTCCCCTTCATTTTCTTGCTTTTTCCATCGTAAATTGTTGAACACTTTCAAGGAAATGGTTATACAAAAATGGCAAAACGGCAAAATAATGGGAGGAAGGGACAAAGGAAGAAGTAAAAAAGTAGAAAGAAGATGGTCTTGCACATGCAAAAAGGTTGAAGAGATTAAAAAAAATAAAAATAAAAAAATAAGGGGACATTTTGGGAGGAAGTTGGTGTGTATGTATGTGTGTGCGTCTGTTGATGTATATGGCCAAAAATTAATTTTTAAATTTTTAAAAAAATTTTGAAAAGAAGAAGAAAATTACAAATATTATTAAAAATAAAATAAAAAATTAATTTCTTCTCCCCACATATTTTTGTTCTAAAAAAGTGAAGGCCTAGTAATGATCGACACACCAATTCTCGGCCAAACAACAAATAATAAAAATAAAAAAAATATTTTCTGTTGACTAAAATAATTTTTCTGTAAAAAAACAAAAAATGGCCAAAAATTGGAAAAAGGGGGAGAGAGGTGGAGGTAATAAAGTTTTGAGAGAGAAAATGAAGAAATTAAAATTACGTCAAGTTTGCAATAAAAATGTGTTTTTAAATTAACTGAATAATGTTTTGATGTTTTTAATAACATTATGTTTTGTTTGTTGTTCTGGAATGTTTTTAATAAACTTGTTTTGTGATGTTTTAATGAACAATTCCGGAAAAACATTGAGAATTTGTTTATTCCGGAAAAACTAGGTTTGACTAATGTTTTCCGGAATGTTTTAATGTTTTAATGTTTTGATAGCGTTATATTTTGTTTGTTCTTCCGGAATGTTTTTAATAAACTTGTTTTATGATGTTTCAATAAACAATTCCGGAAAGACGTAAAAACATTGAAAAATTGTATATTCCGGAAAACTATGTTTGACTAATGTTTTCCGGAATATTTATTCATTATCTGGAATGTTTTAATGTTTTCCGGAATTATAATGAATAATTCCGGAAAGAGATTGCTAAAACATGTTTTTAACAATGTTTTCCGGAATTATAATGAATAATTCCGGAAAGATATAAACACATGTTTAAGTGTTTTTCCGTAAAGTTTAGAAGAATACTCTCTAACTAATGTTTCCGGAATGTTTATTAAATAATTTAAACAAGTTCCGGAAAGTTGAAAATTTGCGGACAACTTTTGTTTGCGGACAAATTTTGCAGACAATCTTCTTTCCACTAATTCTTTTGTTTTTAATTTTTGTAAAATTACTTTTACAGTTTTACATCAAAATCATTTAACTATATCTACAGAAAATATACTATATTTTCTCGTTGACACTCTTTTTTGGCCTTGACGAGAGCAACATATATAGTTTGGCTATTATTTCTAGTTTATGTGTAGGTGTGCCAGGCTCAGGCAGGTATAGAAAAATAAATTTATTTTTTAATTTTTTTAGAGGGCCACGCATTTTTGCATTCGCCGAGTGATGGCCAAGGCCAACAATTTGTTGAACTGTTCCACGTACTTCTTTTTTTGTTTGTTAGTGAAAGAAGGGGAGAATATTACAAAATAAATGGCCAAAAAATATATTAATTTTTATTTTAAATAAAATAGAAAATTTATTTCAGGTTCCGGAAAGTTTTTAAATTAATTAATTTATTCCGGAAAGTTTTTTAAAATAAAGATAAAATGTTTTCCGGAATGTTTTTAGAAAAATAATTTTTAAACAAGGTTTTCCGGAAAGTTAAGACAATTAGAAACCATTTTAGAGATTTTCCGGAAAGTTTGATTTAATTAATTTATTTATTCCGGAAGGTTTATAAAATAAGATTTGTTTTCCGGAAAGTTTAGGAAAATAATTCTTAAACAAATTTTTCCGGAGAGTTTTTCCGGAAAACAAAACAATTTTAAATAGTTCCGGAAATTTATTAAATTAATTAATTTATTCCGGAAAGTTTATTTAATTTCAGGAAAGTTTGAAATTTTGCGGACTACTTTTGCGGACTACTTTAAGAAGACTATCCTTAAAACCCTCTAAAAAAATTTTTTTAGAAAATTCAAAAATTAATTTTAAAATTTTAATTAACAATCTAGGACATCTCTTCTTTTCCCCTCTCTTGTTTGATCCATTGGATGAACTACAAAAAAAATTTAGGTCAGGCATCAGTATATGGATATATTCTGAACATTAAAAAGCAACAAACCCTCCCCACACCTTTTAGTAGTTTAGGGGCAGATCGCAACCATTCACAAAATTTCTTTTTTTCTTTAAAATTAAAAGGAAACAGAAAATGTGAAAAACATCAAAATGGACGAGAATTGGAGAGAGATTTATGTCAAAAAGAGCCGAACAAATCGCCGCGCAGCCAAAATGGAGGGGAGGAAAGAATGAAGGATATAGAGGAATTGGGTCATAAATTCAACTAAACTCCCGGTTCAATGCTCTCTTAAAATTTTTGAAAAAAGTTAATGCCTTAAAGCATGGAAAATAGGGAAAATAGAAGAAAGGAAAAGAGAAAAGAGGGATCTGGAAATAAAAAAGAAGCAAAAAATAGTGGAAATTTAATTAAGTACCCCTCAAAAATTTAAATAAAAATATTCGCGGCTATAATTAAAATAAGCTAGTTGAGTGCCAAAAATAGAGTGTTCTCAACAGAAAAATAAATGTTAGCACCGAACTGACCTTTCAAGTTTATTTAAATTAATTTTCTTTAATTGTCTATTTCCCCTGTCTTTTTTACTTATGCTTCTCTAATTAATCAAGCTTTTAGAATTAGCTTTTCTCGCAATTGTCATATTTCACCAATAACACATTTTGCCAATAAGGACAAAAACTTGCGTTTTGTCAACAAAGGGCTTATTGGCAAAACGTTAATTTTATTCTTATTGGCAAAATGTGGTATTGGCGAAATATGTATAAGCTTAAAACATACAAAATAGGGATACTCTGACTTTTTTTTTCAATTTAAAGCTTTAGCTTACCAATTTAATTTAATTTGCTTTTTTCCTATCCCATTTTTAATTGATTAACCCAATAAATCAATTAAATACTTGCTAATTTATTTTAATTTTGATTAATTTTAGAAATGTCGTTTTTCAATAAAGAAAATCTTCAAAAACTTGGAAGAGCCGCTAGCGTCCTAAATTCAGGCATTCAAGCAGTTACAGCCGCCCAACAAGTTTACCAAGCCGTTAACGGAACGGGGACGCAAAATGGGACGACTAATCAACAACTCCAACCTTCCCAAAGAGAAATTACTTTTGTCCAGCCAAATGCTGCGGAGAAGGGGGATAAAAATAAAAGTTTGTTTGGAGAGTTTAATGAAGAGGTTTTTTGATTAAATTTAATAGAAAATGTAAAAAAATTTTTTTTTAGTTTCTCAAAAAGAATATTTCATTAATTAATCAACACCGTCCTTCTGATGGTTTTACTCCGCTAATTTGTGCTGTTTTGCGGAAATGTCTTGATTCTGTTGTTTTGCTTTTATCTAATGGGGTAAGTTTTTTATTTTACAGCTGGACCTCACTATGGGATATCCCCACGAAAAAATCAATGAGATGGTCTTTTATGATATGTTGTCTTTTTAATTGAGGGTATTGTTTTCTATTAGACAACTGCCCCTTCCACCACTGGCCAATTTATTCTTTTCCTACTCACTGACCAATCAATTTTTAAATGGAGCCGAATCTACCAGGAGTGTGTCAGTTTCGCCGGATTTTGCCTTTTGTTTTTTTCGTCTTTCGGCCTATGTTTATTGGGTCTATCTTATAATAAAGCTCGAATATCTTTTAAATTTCTTTCAAAAAATTTCCTTTTTCAGGCGTCTGTAAACGCTACCGATTCAAAAGGAAATACAGCCTTGCATTATGCAGATACTCCTCTAATTGTGAAAGCATTAATTATTTTCAGAGCTGATTTGAATATTAAAAACAAAGCTGGGGCTGATTGTTTTTCTGGTAGAAAAAGGTTTTGTTAATTTTCTTTTCAAATTTTGTGGAGAATTTTTGGGGGAATTTTTAGACAATTCAGTTTTTAGAGTTATTTTTAAATTTTATTTCGATTGAAAAATTTTTTCCCAGTCGAAAATCCTTTAAAAATATTTAAAAATGAAAATTGAGGCAAAATATTACAAATTAAATTAATTTACCAAGACTGGGGATCGAACCTTCGTGCCTCTGTTAATTTTTTATAAGAAATCCAAAATTTTTCCGACTTAACCATAAATTACGTAGTTGCTAGGAAAAATAATTTTTAGGCAAAAATTTACCAATTAAAATTTTTTACCATGACTGGATATCGGACCTTGGTGTCCTCTTAATTATTATACAAAATCCAGCAAATTTCCCACTTAACCAAAAAGACCATTTTCTATAAAATTTCTAAAATTGCCGTGTTAAGGCTTCAATAAACATTTATTTTTTTTATTCATTTTTAGGCAGGAAATTACTCAAATTTTATTAAAAGCCAAACTTTGGGATGAACTAAAAATTATTGAAAATGCAACAACAACAACAACTTCCCCTTCACTTCAAACAAAAATAAATGAACATAAACAACAAATAGCCGTTCAATGTCAATTTAGAAAAGATTTAGAAGACAAAAAACGATCCCTTAGATTATTGTCTTTGGATGGGGGAGGAATTAAAGGGCTTGTACTTATACAGGTTTTTTTGTTAAATTTATTTTTATTTTACGAGGGGTAGGGGTATAGTTTAGTGATGCTCGGGTATCCCGATCCCGACTCCCGACTCGGGAAAATTTCCCGAGTTTTTGGCCTCCCGATCCCGACTCCCGGTGTCAATTCCCGATTAAGTCGGGAAATTTTTACACCCCTAAGAATGGTTTTTCTGACAAAATTATATTTTCATTTATAAAAAATGAAGAAATCTGGCCTCTTGGTCTCCTAAAATTCCCAAAATTTTCGCCTGCGGCGCTGAAAAGGGAAGATTTTTGGCTTAAGGATCTTCCAAATTCCTCAAAATTTTCGCCTGCGGCGCTGAAAACTGAAGAATCTGTGGAGTTGTAGTATAGAAGATTTCGGTGATTTACTAGGATTATGGTGAATTTGAAGAGATAACGAGGGATTTGCAGTAATAAAGAGAGATATGAATGGATGATTGATGTTGCACAGGGGGTGTTAATACTATTGAGGGATATGAAGATATAAGTGGCTAGTTCACCAAAATTCCACCAAAATTGAACGTAAAAATATTTTTCTCTGTTTCACTCTCTTTTCCTCTATTTCACTCCAATGGAGAGATTCAAGGACTTAAGGTCAATGACAACAAATATAAATCAAAGCTGGGCTCTGGCTCAAAGAAAAAGCCCCCAGCAACACCCAACACTGATTATCTCTACGGTTACTAGGTTTTTTGGACAGGCTGTTGACTTATCCTTCAAAATAATCGGGGAAATAAACTCTTAAGTTATTCTTAAAGATCTTTCACTATAGAGGGATATGAAGAGATATTTCACTCCAATGAGAGTCAAAATTTTTGGCTGCGGCGCAAAAAATGGAAGAAATCTGACTTCAAGACCTAAAAATTCTTAAAATTTTCGCCTGCGGCGCTAGTAAGGCTTCTTTACCTTCCAAAATTTTCAATATTTTTGCCTGTGATGCAAAAAATCGGAATTTTTGGCGCCGAAGGCGCCAAAAATTTTTTTATTGCTAATTCCCGACTCCCGATCCCGACTCCCGAGGTCATTTCCCGACCCGACTCCCGTTTCCCGATTCCCGGGTTTTTTCTTCTCCCGAGCATCACTAGTATAGTTCGAACCCGTGACCGGGTTTTCCGGGCCAGGAAACCGGGTATTTTGATAAAATCCGGTTTTCGGGGGTTTTAGCCCCGAACCCGGGTCCGGTTGGAAGAAAAAACCCGGATACCGGGCCCGGTAAATTGTAAAGTTCGAACTCTAGTTAGGGGTAGTGTTTGGCAAATTGGGTTGTTTTTAGAGGGGCTTTTCTAGATTTGATCTTAGGGAAATCTTTTTGGTATATCAACCGATAGTCGTTTTTTTTTTTGAAAAAGTTCATGACTGGGTAGCCAATTTTTGCCTCATAAAACAATTTTTAACAGATATTGATGGAATTGGAAGATATTTGTGGAAATACTGAAAATTTTGTAACAAAAAATTTTGATTGGATTGCTGGGACGAGTACTGGCGCGGTTTTTATTTTTTTATATTTAAAAAAAAAACAAAATTTCTTTTCTTCAGATTTTGGCCCTAGCATTGGCAGATGGATATAAACCAATACAATGTTTACGTCTCTACTTGCGATTAAAAGACGAAATTTTTCTAACTCGTTCAAATCCTTTGGTGCCTTATCCTGATGAAAAAATTGAAAAATTCTTGAAAGAAAATTTTGGAGAAAATCGAAAAATGGCTAATATTAAGAACAAAAAATTGAAGTAAGTGAAAAGGGTTTTTTGTACTATCGAAACTCGTTATATAAGATGTTGGCCACTGGGTGGGGGAAATAAGGACATATTTAAGGGGAAGAGGGAGACACGGTAGGGGAATATTGTCGGTTCCTAGAAATTCTTTGGATATCCGAAACCGGTCCGAAGAATTCGGTTCTTTGGTTCGGTTCGGTCCAGAACCGACAACCCTATAGAGGAGCCGAGGACGTGCCTATGGGAGGGGGTATGCCATCTGTATACTCATTTTGGACAAGCTCAATATAAGGGACCTGCTTAAGATATAGCTCATGATAATGACAATATTTAGGGTATAAGGGACTTCTCTTAAAATTAATTTTTAAATTTTAGAGTTTTCGTTACCGCAACAAAATCAGATCAAATTCCTATAAAAATGATACTTTATCGAAGTTATGATACTCCGTTAAAGAAACCGATAGATCCATTACCTCAAAATGTAAATATTTGGAAAGCTGCTAGATGTTCTAGGTTTTTCTTTTTTTAATGATTTTTACAATTATATTTTAATTCTTTAAGTGCCGCTCCAACCTTTTTTAGTAGCGTGAATGGAGTTATGGATGGAGGTATTTTTTAGCTATTTTTAAAAATTTAATTTCTCATTGCGTCACATAATAGAAATTTAGCCATTTTGTCACACAGTGGGATTTTTAGACATTTTGTCACTTAGTAGAAATTATGACATTTCGGCGTACATTGGAAATTTAACCATTGTGTCATGTAGGGAAACTTGAGCCATTTCGTCACATTGGGGCAAATTTTACCCGTTTTGTCACACGAAGAATTTTAATTAGTGTATTTTTACTATTAAATATTAACACTTTTCAGGCCTAATGGCAAACAATCCTGGAGTTACATTACTTTTGGAAGTTTTTAAAAATATTGATTTTCAAGCATTAAGTGACAAAAATGAAAACCCTGTGAGTTTAAAAATTTTTTAAAATAATTTTTTTTAATTTTTAAGCCTCCCGATTTGGCTTTTATGCTTTCCTTAGGTACAGGAAAAAGCCCTGAAGTCGCTGTACCAATACCAGAATTTTCTCCTGAATTGGGATTGCAAGGGATAATTCAAACAGTGCAGTCTCTTAATAATTTGAAGTCAATACTTGTTGAACAGGTTTTTTTAATTTAAAACTCTTGCCTACTAGTTTATGTATTCCGTAAAGCTGATTTTTTCTTTGGGTTTCAAGGTTGAGCTTGGGGTCCATCTATATATTTTCTGGTTTGACTGGACCCGTCATGAGGGAGTCTACGAGTAATTCAAGTCGTTCACATCAAATTGTCAAAACGTTGAAATGTCAAACCTCCAAAAGTCATTGACATTCCAATGTTTGCATTTCGATGTTTTTTTTGAATAACTCATCCCCAATAACAAATTTATGAGATGCATAAGTTGCTCAAGTCCTTAAATTTTTAAAATATTATTTTTTAAAGTTATCAACTTCTGACGGTCAAGTGGTGGAAATAGCTCGTTATATGTCGCATACTCGCCGTGTCCCATATTTTCGTCTTACGCCTTCATTAAATACAGATATTCAACTGGACACTGTGGACAATACTTTGCTTATTGAAATGCTTTGGACTACCAAGGTTTTGGAATTTTTGGGAGAATTTTTGGGATTTCTGGGGAGTCCCTTGGGTTTTCTGGGGGTCCCAAAAAATAAATTTTTGAGAATTTATTTTTAACAATTTTAAGGAATATATAAGAGAAAAATGCTCAACTGACGTCTTGTCTTTGTTGGAACTTTTTTCTGCATTTAATAGAAGCAACGAATAAATTTAAAAAGGAAAGATTCTATGACGTTAGAAGTGCAATAAGTATATTTTATTGTCTTATTTAATTATACTACAACGAAATACTAGTTTCTGAATACCTAATTCCTAAAAAAATCTTCCTTATTGTGCCGCAAAAAAAAGAATTTTTTTTGGGATATTTAGTAGAGTCGGAGAACCGAACCAGAAACGAATCCCGGGAGTAACTGAAAGCCGTGGAAAGTCCAAAAAATAATATTTTTGCGGCACAATTTTCTTATGTTTTATATGCCATTTCAAAATGCTTTAACCCCTTTCTTTTTATTCTAATTATTTCCTATAATTTTTTTTTCTTAATTTTTTCGCATGGATTCCTTTTTTAAATAATTCTAAAATCACTAAATTTTTATAAAGTATTTATATTTAAACAAATTTTTAAAAATTTTGAAATTTGAAATATAACGTATTTTACATTAAAAAATTCCTCCTACCAAGAAATTGTTTAACCCTAAAATTGAAATTTAATATTTTCAAAAAAAAGAATATTTTTTAATACCTTTGGTATATCAGTTTCAGCCATTCTTTTTGCAAAGTTTTCAATTCGTTCAATACCAATAACTTTAAAAAAATTTTTTATTAAAAAATTTCTGTCCGCAAAAAATTTTTTATTAAAAAATTTCTGTCCGCAAAATTTTTGCGGATGAAAATTTTTTTTTTAATTTTCAATAAATTACAAAAATTAATTTACCCGGATATTTTGTCAATTCTCCATCCGTTACAATTTTTACATCTTTTTCACTTCCCTCACTCGTTAAAATTGATAAAAACAATGTTTGTTTATCCAGCAAATTTTTTTCTTCCAAAAATGCTTTTAATTCAGAAAATAATTTTTTTTCAGATTCAACTTCATGAAATAATTTAATTTTGTGGTCAGTTACTGAACCTTGAATCCATCTTTAAAAAATAAATTTTTTTTAATTTTTTATGAAAAAAAGTACTCTTTGTAAAATACACCCAACAATAGACCTCTAGTTAAGGTTACGTTTTTTAAAACTTGGTTGGCCATTGGGTTGAAAGAATTGCCTAACATAAGCGTACTCTTTATTTAAGATACACACCTTTGGCCAATAGTCAGACCTCTCCATAAGATACCCCCAATATTAAGTATATAGATACACCCAATATTGGATTTAAGATGCGTTTATATTTTTTGAAAATTTGTGAATGACCGCAGGGCTATGGGAAGGGAGCTTATGTTAGGTGAAACCCTCTATTTAAGACACCCCTCATTATAAGATAAAATTTCAGATTTTTTCAATGGTGTATCTTATAATGAGGTTTTTAAAATCAAATTTAAAAATTAAAACCTAATAGCTTCCCTAGCGTTTGCACTATCCTTCTTTAATTTATCCAATTTTGCCAAAACTGAACGTGTAATGATTGTATTTTGTTTTGCTGTTTGACAAAGTTGATCCATTAAAGTTAAACGTTCTAGTAATACGTGGTGGTCAGGCGCAATATAAACAGGGATTTTGCTAAGAGTTTCGTTCTAAATAAATAAAAAATCATAAGAATTAATTTAAAAAACTCCCTTACAATTTTGCTGACATGTGCAGAATGTAAACGAGAAATTCCTTCCATTGTTTTACGTTCCTTTTCGCCAATGTTGGATGATTCCAATTTAAAATATTTATTGAAAACAATACCAGCAAAGCGTGCAGAAATTATATTACGTATATAATGGACCTTAATAAAAAAATTTTTTCCAGAATCCGCAAAAATTTTGCGGACAAAAAATTTCTTGTCCGCAAAAACTTGCGGACAAAAAATTTCTTGTCCGCAAAAACTTGCGGACTTTTTTTTTTGAATTTTTTAATTTTAAAAAATTCTAAAATTAAAAAAATCATACCAAAACGGCAACAAATAATTTATTTCCTTTATTTTCATCAAATTTGTACATAAACCAATTTACAAGGGCTCGTCTTTCTGAAGAGCTCGAAGGGTCTTCTGCTTCCATTAGAGGTGAAATACGAGTAATTAAATCATTCAAAAGTTCCACAAATGTTTTTAAAATGTTTTGGTATTGCTAGAAAAATTTTTAAAGAATTAAAAAAAAAAATTAAAAATCCGCAAAAATTTTGCGGACACTTTTTGCGGATTTTTCTTTGTCCGCAAATTTTTTTTGCGGATTTTCCTAAAAAAATTAAAAAAACTTACAAGTTTAAGTGAAACAGAAAGTTTTTTTATTGTAAAATATTCAGCACAATTACTAATAAATTCAGATACAATTATTGCTGATTGCCAAACAGTTGATAAACAAGTAATATCGTCTTCTTCTTCATTTTGTTGGTTATTTGTTAAATTGTTATTTTTAGTTTTTTCTTCATTTTCATTTTCAGAGTTTGAGGAGGAAGAGGAAGACCTTTAAAAATATAAAAAATAAAAATTTAAAAAATCCGCAAAAAATTTGCGGACAGTCCGCAAAAAAATTTGCGGACAAAAAAATTTTTTTCGGACAAATCAAACCCCGGTGTTACCGACTAAAAATCGGCATTATTTAAAAAGTTAAAAAAATTTCCCAAACCTTTCCTTCTTTTTCCTTCTCCTCTTATTAATTTGAACATCCTCTTCTTCATCATTTTCCTTTGCAGCAAAAAGTCTTCTCGCCTCTTCCAAAACATAAATTAATTTTTGACAAGTAAAAGAAGTAATGTAACGAAAATGTTCATCCGTGGCTAAAAAATTTGGAAAATTAAAAAAATAAAATTTAAAAATCCGCAAAAAATTTGCGGACAAAAAATTGAAAAAGAAACGTTGATTTTGTAGAGCAAAGGAAACAGCCAAAGTGCAACAATTAATGTGTTGTAAAAATGTTTTAAAATTATTTGAGGATTTAAATGATTCAAAAAGTTTGTCCATTTCTTTACGGGATTCTTCAAATTGTAAACGACTGGAAGAAAAAATTTTTTTAATTAAATTTTTGAAATAAGTCATAATTCAGCATAAGATGCCCCCTTGAGACTGCAAATTTTTTTGTCTCTTATAATGAGCTGTCTATTAAATAGAGGGTATCGTTTAGACTCCTCCACCCAGCGGACTAAAATTAAAAAAACGTCTCTTAAATAGAGGTGTATCTCGTATTGGGTGTATGTTATATAGAGGTCTGACTGCATAAGATACCCCCAATACTAAATACACCTCTATTTAAGAGACGTTTTTTTAAATTTTAGTTGGTAACTGGGTGGAGGAACTGTCTAAACGATACCCTCTATTTAAGAGACACCTCAGTATAAGCGACGATTTTTTCACCTTTAAGGGTGTGTCTTATAAAGAGTGCTTTTATAAAAAATTTAATTACCTAAATTCAAAAGCCACAATATTAACAAATTTTAAAGTAACACCGAATTCAAAATTAGCAGAAGAATTGTTACTTGTTCCTTCTTTAGTTGCCAATAAATTAATATTATTTTGTATACCATCAGAATTTTTGTCAGCTTTTTTGTGTTGTGCTAGTGAGCGAAGAAAGAGGAAAAAGGCTAGGTTTGGGTCGATTTTGGAGTTTAATAAGGCTAACTAAAAAATTTTTTTAAGAAAATTTTTGATTGAAATTTTTGTGAAATTTTCTGTAAATTCAAAAAAATTTACACAAAATTCAAAAATTTACAAAAAAAAAGTTTTTAAAAAAATTCTTAAAAATTTTCATTTTTTTGAAGAAATTTTCAGAAATTCAAAAATTTTTGAAAATTTTCAGATTTTTCAGAGAATTTCAAAAATTATTTTTTTTCCAAACCTGACTATAAGGCTTCCAATTTTTCGGATCGCAAAACGCCGCATTAACATAGCACTGTTCACAAATTGTAAAATCCCTCTTATCCTCTCCACAATAAATAAAAGAGTATCGATACAGGTCTCCCAGCCACAAAAGAAGAGAGTGTTTGAAGTCTTGGAATTTTGTCAAAAAGGAAGAAATTTGAGAAATATTTGACGAAATGAAGATTTTTAATAATTTAATTGTGTTCTCTTCCTTCTTAAAAAAAATTTAAAAATTTTCAAAAAAAATCAAAAAAAATTTTGTCCGCAAAAAATTTGCGGACTTTTTTTTGTCCGCAAAAAATTTGCGGATTTTTTTTTGTCCGCAAAAATTTTCAAAAAAATTTTTGTCCGCAAATTTTTGCGGACTTTTTTTGCGGACAAACCAGACCCCGAGGGATTTCAAATAAATTTTTTTTGCTAACCTGGCTAGTTTCTTCAGTTAAAAATTGTTTGTAAACTTGTTCCTCGTTAAAAAATTGTTTAAAGGCAGCAATGGGTTTATAACAACAATAAATCCAAAATATTTCCAACGCTTCACGGCGAAAAGTAGAATATTGGGCGAGAGATTCACATTCTTGGGATAAACTGGAAATAAGGTAAGGCTACTAGAGAAGATTCAAATTTTGATTTTAGATAACTCGAGGAACAATTCTAACAATAAGTCATAACCCTTAAGATTTTAGTGCCGCGGGCAGGGATAGTCGGTCTTTCACAATTTTTTATGATCGAATTGGAAGTCCGACTCATACGTTGGGGAAACTGACTCATATCTTGACAAAAGGGGGAGGTTTCTTAATAAGGTTAGGTGACAGGATTAATTTTTATAGAATATCAAAAAAAATTAAAGTTACTAAAATAACCTTTGCCTCAACCTCAAAACCTTCTCATCCTCCAGCATTTGTTCAACTCCATCAATCTCATTATACAGCCTTTTAATTTGACTCATACGATATTTAACACACCTAAAAATGAAAAAATTCTTTTTTTTTTAATTTTTAAAAATTTAAAAAACCGAAAAAGTTGAACAGCTTCCTCTGACGATTTGTCATCTTGATGTATTTTAAAGTCCATTTCGAAAAAAATTAAAAATGAATTTAAGGAGAATTTTTAAAAAATATTAGAAATTAAAAAAAAATAAATTTAAAAAAACACAAAAAAGAAATATCAAAATTTATTATGAATCAGAAAAACAAATAATAAATCAAAAAATAATTATTTAATATGTATTACTGAAAGGATAGGCGACAAATTTTCGTTTAAATTCCTAGGAAATGTAGACAGCAGAATGACATTTCTTGCGGACTTTATTTGCGGATTTTATTTGCGGACAATTTTCTTTATTACCCTTATTTTTGAAGAGGATCTGAAAAATTTTCCTTGTTCCTCTAAAAATGTGTGCAAACCCTTCCAATTATAAAATACATATCAACCAAAAAATTTTTAAAGGCACAATTTAATGAGCATTCTTAAATAAAAAATAATATTATTAAAGCCAAACTTCCAACAATTAAACATCGTCAAAAAAGCTTTTTCAATGACAACAAGGCTTTAACTGCTTCCCACGCCATTTGCAAAATGCAATTCCAGCAACCACACTAACAAGAATCACAGCTCCAGTAGTAATAGCAATTCGACGCCAACGATTACGGCCTCTCTCTGTCTCGTCAGAAATTACCTTTGAAAAAAAGAAATTTAATGAAGTTGGATTAAAAAATCCGGGGCGACTAATTTTCGAATCCACAGACCTGGGCCTTATCCTGGGTATGTAAGTAGTCACGGAAACGACCAGGATAAAAACTAAAAAGCCCAGGAATGACTGAATACAAGAAACTTCCCAAAAAGCTGAAATATGAAGCTCTGGGTAGTGATAAGGATCATGGGCCGGATCCTAGACTACTCCTAATCCTAGGCTGCTCTCTGTAAGAAGAATGAACCAAAGAAAAAACAGGGGCCGAAAGATGTCAAAAACTGATAGACTATGAGTTCAGGTGACCCCTTTAAACTTTGCTACAACTCGCTAAGAAATGCTCGGCTCTGGACTCAGGGAAACCCTTTAACTTTCCCTATCCCGATTTTCAAAATTCAAACCTCAAAATCTTCCGGAACCGCCGTCTTAGTTTTTTGCCCTTGTTGCTCCTTCCCCGCCTCCTTCTTTCCTTTATCCTTTTCAGTTAACATTGAAGTATGCTTAAGCGGTGCTGAAAAATTATTCAAAATTTTATGACTCGAAGAGAAAAAACAAACCAAAATCCTTCCCAACATTGTCAAAAACCTCTGGAGGTTCAATAAAAGGCTCAACATCCTTCTCTTTTTTAGGCATAACTGGAGGCAAAGATTTGCTTTTGTTGTCGTCCTGGACATTAGAAGAAACAGGAGACAAAGGTTCAGGAGACAGTTTGGCTTTAGGAACCGACGGCAGCTTCGGGAACTTTAAATTAATCTAGAGAGGAATTTATAAAATTTAATTTTAATGAGGGGACCGAGAAGGAAAAAGGTTAAAATTCAAGTTCGTACCTCTCCTCCTTTCTCTCCCTCAAGGTACTAAAAATGGGCAGACCTTGCTTCCTCCATCAACTTAACTCTATTCCCCCTATGGCATACAATCATTCAATAAAAAATAAGTCTGATAAATTCTAATAGGGTTGGGGTTTTCGAGTCGGGTCAACGTTCGAGTCATTTTTTCGGGGCGGCCCGACCGAGTCTTTTTCGGGCCAAAATTCAATGTCCGACTCGATCTTTCGGACCGGACCCCCAACCCTAATTTTTAATAAGTTGAGGAAGAATAAGGGGAGACAAACTTGAATTTTCGACAAAAAGCGAATTTTAGGTTCGAAACTAGATTAAATTTTGAATGTTTAAAAAATTCAAAACCTTAAAATCAATATCATCCGTTGTCAAATTTGTCATTTGTGGTGGTTGAGCATTAACCGCATCTTTACTGTCTTGATTCTCCGCTCGTGGAGGAGTTTGGGATTGCTCAGACATTGAGAATTATTATTACTTAAACAAAATCTAAAAAATATAGAAATTTAAAAAAAATAAGGAAAAAAAATTCTGAAAATGTTTAACGAATTATAGGAAAAAAATTGAGCGCTAAATATAGGACAAATTGCAAGTTTTTGTTCAGTGTGACGAAATGTCTATGGACGAAACGAGAATCCTCCGAAGTTATTTTACAGGTACGGCCCACCTTGTCGCGCGGCCACCTTGTCGCAGAGCCATAACATCCTTCAAGTTTTCCGAATCTTTCCAAATTTAGTATTAAACGATTCCTCTCATCGAGCTAAAGAGATTGGTACCAAAATTGATAAGGGCCAGAAATTTTTTAGCAAGTTATGGCTCTGCGACAAGGTGGCCGCGCGACAAGGTGGGCGTGTCCCTTATTTTACATTTAATTTCTCTAGCAACAATAATATTTTCGTGATCTCTTTCTCTAATTTCTATACTTAAATTTTGTTATGTGACAAATTGTAGGTTTTAGTTCAAGGTGACAAAATGGCATTAGACGAAAAGTGTATTTTGCGAATTTCTTTTACATTTTATTTCTCTGCCAAACATAATCTTTTCCATATATCTCTTTCTCTAATTTCTTCAGTAATAAGAGGACTTTCTCTATTTTTTCATAATGTCAACTTTCAATTTGTTTGGATTTATTAAACGGTAAACAACTATTTTTCTTTCTTTTCCTCAACTATTTTTCGTAAAATGAATGTTAAATTAATACTTTTTTGATTGTTTTTAGGCTTTATAGGCTTTATTTTTTTAATAAATTTAATAAAAATAAAGAATGAATCGAAAAGAAGACCAATCTACTTCTTCTCTACCAACCAGAAGGTTAGTGGGAGCTCCACCAAGTGCCGCGGTAATGAGAATTGCAGGTTTCTTTTGGTATTTTTCTATTTAATTTAAGTTCAATTTTAGCTAAAGAATTGAAAGTTGAACAAAAGAGGCGTCCAATAAATCCAGTAGAGACTGAGGAAAGTGCTGATGATGATTCCGAAACTGAAAAAACTGCTGAGGAAACGGAGGAAGTTGATGATTCTAAAACTAATGAGGAACAACCTCCTGAAAAAAAGCGAAGAAAGAGAAGGAAGAAAAGAATAAGGCTTACTGATACGGGGTTGAAGACAAAGAAGAAAGTTGATAAGAAAGAGAAAGTGGTGCCTGAACAAAAGGATAAGAGGTAAGGGGAATTTTAGATTAAAGTCGGACTATATTGTAGGATACCCAGTGGGGCTGAAATTTTTTTGTTTTCTTTTAAGAAACTGATATTGATTGAGAACTTTTACCAGATTCTTTATCTTGAGTCAAGTAAAAATCAGGGAACTTGGAAGTGCCTTGATTTTAACTCTGGTTCAAGGAAAAATCAAGGGCTGAATCCAGGCCTTGTCTCACATGGAGAGGTCTGACCTTATTTAATCTTTGCTTTCGGTTCCTTAAAAGCTTTTTCAATGTTTAATCATTTCCTTATGTTTAGAGTTGAAGACGACCAAGACATGGACAGCGATCCTCCTAGTGCCAAACCAGAACCTCAAAAAGAAGAGCCACCTGCTCCAAAGCCTAAAGAACGACCTAAACTTGAAGATTTGTCACATTTTCAATTATTTTGTGACAACATATTGAGAAAACTGGTCATGAAGGATCCGGAAGGATATTTTGCTAATCCTGTTTCTGAGTAATTTTTTAATTATATTTTTCTTTTTGGATAGCCCAAAAATGAGCTTGGTGCCAGTTATGGTTTTTCGATTTTCATGGACCTTTCTTGGCCCTTTGTTGAGTCTTTGGCTTAATTTTGGTGGTATTTGACTCAGCTCACTGAGCTCTTTCAAACAACAAATTGGTTGTCCTTATCGGAGTAGGGGACTTCCGACGTAATTTTACCCATGGGAAAAATAGCTGACATGAGAAAAGGGGAGAATATCCAAAAAGTACCATATTTTTCTTCAAAAAAATTTTTTTTCTGTTCAGTGAAGAAGCTCCAGATTACAAAAATTTGATTCAAACTCCAATGGCTTTTGCAATAATTCGAGATAAAATTGAACAGGACGAATATCCCCAATTTGCCGATTTTCGATCAGATGTTGAATTAATTGTTTCAAATGCCCAAACTTACAATCCTGAAGGTTCTCTTTTTTATTTGGCAGCAGAAAAACTTTCAACATTAATCAAATATTATTTTTCTGAAAAATATTTGCTTTATTTAATTTATGCGTTACCTTTTGGAAGAATGGTTCCAATTGAAAGAGTTGGAGTTAAAATACCTAACGAGAGAAAACGAATTCAAAAACAACTCATTGCGAATACGAGAGAAAGGGAGAGGATGAATGCTTTGATAAAGTAAGAAAAATTTTGTTTATTTTTGATTGATCGGTTTAATTTGAGGTGTCAAGGTTTTGGAATTTTTCTATAGTAAAACAAGTTCTCGAGCTTTTTTGGGAGTTTTTCGAGACTTCAGGCTAATGAGCTTGGACACAGATTCAAAAAATTTTAATAGAAAATGCTGTGTTTAGATAAGCCAAAGTTTGTGGGTTTCTCATATTTTATTGGTAGTCCAGCCCATGAACTTTGCGCTTCCTAAGATTTTTCTGGACTCAAAAACACGGACAATATCAGCCTCGACCTGGACTTTTTTAAAAATCCCAATCTCTAGAGAATCTAGTATTGAAGAATCTCTTTAGTAATTTAAGCCCTTTTCATTTAAATTTGTCCTTTTTATTATAAAAATTCTTTTCCAGAGATAACGAAACTCCACGAGATATAATTGAATCTGCTCCAAAATTTATTCGAGTATGTTTTTTTTCTTTCAAATAAAAAAATTTTTCGGTTAAAGAGTCGTTTAACTTCTCGTCGTCCAAATTGCAATTTAGTTTATTTTGACAATAAAAATGGGGCTTTGGCATTAAATTTGCTTACTTCAAATAATTTGGAAGACGAAGAGGGTGATAATGAAGAAGGAGGAGGAAATCTCCCACAAAAATTAAAACTTGGAGATTTGGTAAAACCTTTGGAACAAGGCAATCCTGGCATGTTAATTGAAGCTTTTGAACCTAAAATAAATCAACAATTTCCTTTAATTTCTTATACAAATCCGGGACCTTTTGCTTCATTTGCACCACAATGGGATTCGACTTGGGCAACACTTTCTAAAAGAGGTTTGTTTGAAATAAATTTTTTAATTTTAAATGATGAATTTTCGGAAAAACTTCTTTGTGTAAACAGCTTAAAATTGGCCTTTTCATGTCACAGTTTTTATGCCATTTTTTAGATATAGATATAGGTTAATAATAGTGAGTGTGATAGACTAGCCTATGTTAGAAAATTGGCCTATTCATTAAAATAGACTTTGTTGATTTGTTTTCTTAAAAATGGGGGTTTTTAGAGCTGTCTAACAATAAGACCGAAAATTTTCAAGACCAAAATCCAGAGAAGTTTTGAGGTCGGTTTTGAGTCTTTTCTATTTTGTCTTCCTTATCCTCCTTTCTTTCAACAAATTTAAAATCTATTTTAAAAAACTATCATCAATAACATTATTTCCTTCTCATTTTTTTCGTATTTTTGCTCTAAATTCCTTCACAATTTTTACAGATAGTCAATTGCTTTTATCTTGTTATGGTGACCAAGACAATGTTAGTGATGTTTTTTCTCTTCGTCAAATGGTTGAAAATGTGGATGATGGTAATTTTGTGGATGATATGTTTGATGTAAATTTTTGAAAAAAAAATTTTGAAAATTAAAACAAAAATTTTTTTCAAGGAGCTTACTGATGGAGAGCATAGCAAAACTATAGCGGCACTTGAAGGAAAAGAGGTGGAGAAGGTTTAAAAAGAAATTAATTTTTTTTTAAATTTTTCTAAATTTTTTTGCAGCATATTTCTGTTGCTTCCAATCCGCTGGATGAAAAACTTGACAAAACTGGGGAAATGTTACAAGTAAATTTTGAATTTTTGTTGTTGATGATCCTTTTTTCAATAATGGTCCCTAAAAATCTCTGCAAGTATTTTGCGGATAAAACTTACTGACTTTCTTTTTTTAACATTTCTTCTTTATGCTCTTTTTAAAAAGAGCACTTTTTAATTATTTACTTAATTACATATTAATTATTAAAGCAATTAGCTGCTGTTCAAAATAAGCGTTTGAGTCAACCACCGCCTACAGCTATTAGTTATGCTTTGGTACCTGATCAAGGTTTTTTTTAAAAATTTTTTAAAGTTAAAAAAATTTTTAGAAGAAACTCATTTGGCTACTTCAATAGCTCAAGATCTTACTAAACAAATACTTGAATCAAATGTGCGTCCAGGCGATATAGTTTCTCCAAAAATGGTCCATCAAGCATTGGGATTGGATGCTGATGATTTTGATGTTATTTCTGAATTTTTGGATGTTTAGTTTATTTTTTGATTTTTTAAACATTTTTTAAAGAATTTTCTTTATTTTATTCTCGGACCGTGTCATAATGCCAAGCGTTGAAATGTCTAACCCATGGGGTGTCAAAATCCCAATGAATGGGGAAGTAGGGGAATTACCAACTATGGGAGATGAATTTTTGGTATTTTAACGGCTTAGGGGGGGGGGGGGTTTGGCATTTTAACCACATTTTGGCATTATGAAAGCATACCCTTTTATTGTACCCCTTGGAAAATGAAATCTTTTGATTTTTTAAAATTTTTGAAATAAAAATTTTTTTGAATCTAATGGTCTACTTATTAATTTTTTTATTATTAATATTTTTAATTTGGTAGAAATTTCATTAAAAAAAATTTTTTAGATCTCTATAATCATTAACTTGAAGGTTTCTTGTATTAATCTCTTGGATGTGCAATGTCTTTAGTTATGCTGCCAATTAAAGAAAATGAACAGCCTCCTTGTACGATGAGTTTTTTTTTTATTTTTTTTTTGAAAATTTTTAAGTGGAAGGTCACCCATTAAGTATTTTTTTGTGAGGGCTAACTTCACATTCCCTCGTTCCTCTCCTACCTGAAAGTATTTTTTTCTCTTGTTAGTGGTTAGTGTTATGTGATGAACTTCGGTTCAGATTTTTTTAGAATTTGGCCCCCTGAGCCTGTGATTCTTTGGTCCGTTCCATTTTAGTTCCTGACTCCATGGGGGGTTGTTTAAAATTTTTAATGATTTAGGCTTTGTTATTCATGATTTTTTAGAAATTGGGGAAGGGAAATTCCCTCATTTTCCTGAGGGGGTTTCACTTAAAAACTGACAAATCTTCTCTAAAAATTTTTTTTCAAGTGGATATTTCAATATCGTCAGAAGACCAAGAAGATACAAGCTGGATTGATTGCTCAGAAGAATTATCAAAAAATTGTTTTTCACAATTTGGAGAATTACGAAAATCTGGCCATTTAACAGATGTTATAATTAAAGTTGAAGGAAGAGAAATTCCAGCACACAAAATTATTTTGGCAGCAACAATTCCTTTTTTTAATGCAATGTTTACTTGTGAAATGATTGAAGCTCATTCTAATGTTATTACTTTACCTAGTTTGTTTTTTTTTCTAATTTTTTTTTTAATATTTATGGAGGGTTTTATTAAGCGATTCTTGGACTAAAGGTCGTAACCATGGGTCGATTTCAAGGAGCTTAATGCGGAGTGTACGCCAAAATTGTGGCGTTTTGAACGCAAATCTTGTACAAATATTTTTTATTTTTCAGCGCTGCATGTTTTTTTCTGCCCCATAAACCCATGGCTACGCCCTTGATCCATCTAAAATTCTAACAATAAGCTTTCAATTGACTTTCTTTCCCCTTTCAGACATTGATGCAGACACGATGGAGTCAATTTTAAATTTTGCTTACTCTGGTCGTCTTAAATTTACATTTAAAAATATTGAACGTTTATTAAAAGCTGCTGTAAGGGTTTTTTAATTTCTTTTATTTTTGAAAATTTTTTGTAATATCCCACATCCTCTGAATTTTGTGGGTCTGAATCTTAGGTATACAGACATGCTCGAACCTAAAAACCTGGTAGCCGACGCAGTTATTTTTGACTATTATAAGACCATGGGGCTGACATTTGTGACAAGAACTAAATTCTGGTGTCATTAACTCAGCTTGGCGAGCTGTTCTGAATGGGCTTTTTGAATGGTTTTTTGACTTTTATTTTACCTTCTCTTTTTCTAAAATATTTTTTTTCATTTTTTATTTTTAAATTTTCTATTTTTTTAAATAAAAATAGGATTATCTCCAACTTACAATTCTTTCAAATCGTTGTGCAGAAATTTGGAAATATCGAATAAGTGAAAAAAATGTATTTTCTATTAGACGTTTTGCTTTAATGTATAATATTCCTCAAGGTTTTTTTTGAGATTAAAAAAAATTTTTTTCTTCTCATTTTTTCTAGCCGTAATCGATGCCGATTGTTATATTCAACAAAATTTTTGTTTTATTTCCAAAACTACAGAATTTGCTCAATTAGATTTTACAACTGTTTTAAATATTTTAAATTGGGATCAATTACATGTTGATAATGAAGGAAGGGTATTTGAAGCTGTTTGTCATTGGATTGAATTTGATATTTCTAATAGACTTGTTTTTGCTCCAAAGTTTGTTTTTTGAGAAATTTTTTGGGGGGTTTTTTGCTATTTTGCGTCTAGCAATACCAGAGGTGTCATGGGTTATCCGACCCCAATCCAAAACCCAACCATATTCTCTGCCATTCACGTTCCACGCATAATTTTCTATTTTTCCAAAATATAGTTTGTCGAAGGTTCATAATGGTCAAAGGATTAAATTTATTTGAAAAACGGTCATTAGTAGATTGGGGCAGGTTAGTAGCCAGAATATTTTTCGTGGGGAGGGCAGGGGAAATAATTTTTGGCACAGAAAACGAAAATTTTTAGAATTTTAGTAGCTCAAAGCGGAGATTATTCACTATTTTTCCATCCCTTCTCCAAACTTTTTTCCTTTTCCCATTTCCGGGGAGGGGAATCCCCTCCCTCTGGCTACGTCCCTCGATTGAACTATTTTCTTAACTCAAACAAAATTCAAATTTAAAATTTTTTCTTCTTACATTTTACAGACTTTTAACCGCTGTTCGTTTACCTCTTTTACGGCCTGCCTACCTTATTGATAAAGTTAGTCGTAATCCATATTTTTGTAATTCAATGGAATGTAGAGATTTAATTGATGAAGCAAAAAATTATCATTTAATGCCAGAAAGACGCTCAAATTTCAATTCAATATTCAAAATAAATATAAGAGTGTGTACAGAAATGCCTGGGAATATTTATGTTTTGGGAGGATTAAATCAAATACAGCCTTCTATTGTTGAATTTTATGATCCAACAATTAAAAAATGGAAGCCGAGTAAAGTAATGACTTCGCAGAGGACTAGGTTTGTTTGTGTTTTTTGAGGGGGTTTTTATTATTTGAGGTTCTGTCCGCAAGTTTTATAAAAATCCGCAAGTTTAAAAAAAGTCCGCAAGTTTCTAAAAGTGTCCGCAAAGTAAAAATAACGCCCACAAGTCTTCAAAACATCCGGAAGTTAAAAAATGGAAGCAGATTTAAAAGGTGTCCGTAAGTCTAAAAAAGTCCGCAATTTTCAAAAATCCGCAAATTCTAAGTAAGTCCGCATGCTCTAGAAATCCGCAAGTTTTTTTAAATGTCCAAATTTTTAAAAAAATGTCCACAAATATACTTACTTTTTTAAAGAGTTGGTGTTGCTGTTTCAAACGGAAAAATTTATGTTGTTGGCGGCTATAATGGTTCCGAACGTTTACGTTGTGTTGAAGTAAACATTTTTTGAAATTTTTGTTTAAATTTTTATTTTTTTAAAGATGTTTGACACAGTTAGTGGAAATTGGGTTAAGGTAAATTTTAATTTTTTTTGACTATTGTTCCTATATATCCGCAAGTTTTTAAAATAATGTCCGCAAGTTCTACAAAATTCCGCAAGCTTAAAAGTTCCACCAATAAAGTTAAAAGCTGTCCGCATGTCCTAAAATATGTCCGCAAATCTAAGAACTGTCCGCAACTTTTCTAAAAATGTTCGCATATTTTTAAAAAAAGTCCGCAAATTTCTTTAAAAAAATCCGCAAGTCCTAAAATGTTTGCAATTTTTGACTATCTCTATTATTTGTTTTTCTCTAGCTTGTTTCAATGTTTAAACGCCGTTCAGCAATGTGTGCAACAGCTTTGGGTGAACACGTTTATGTTATTGGGGGTTATGATGGAACTAATGCATTGTATTTTTTTAAATTTTTTTAAATCTAAAAAGAAATAAAATTTTAGAGATTCTGTGGAAATTTATGAAATAAAAAGTGATTATTGGGCTTTTGGACCTCCAATGTTGGCTAAAAGATGTGCTGCTGGAATAGCTATTTCGAAGGGGTTAATTTATGGTTTGTTTGTAATTTTGTTTTTTTGTTCTGATTTTTCAGAATCTTCTGAATTTTTTTGATTCTTCAGAATATTCTGATTTTTTAGAACATTCCGATTTTTCAGAATATTCTGATTTTTCTGATTTTTCAGAATATTCTGATTTTTCTGATTTTTCAGAATATTCTGATTTTTCAGAATATTCTGATTTTTCGATTTTTCAGAATATTCTGATTTTTCGATTTTTCAGAATATTCTGATTTTTTAGAATATTCTGATTTTTCAGAATCTTCTGATTTTTTAGAATATTCTGATTTTCAGAATGTTCTGATTTGTCTGATTTTTTTTCAGAATATTTGATTTTTTTTCAAATTTTTAAAATAAATTTTTCTAGTAATCGGTGGTCATAACGGCGTTCAAATATTCAACACAATGGAGTGTTACGATCCAGTTATTGAAAAATGGTCTTCTGTTGCACCGATGTTGGAACCTCGGTGTAGATTAGCAGCAACTTCACATCGAAATAAAATTTATGTTGTTGGAGGGTTTGTGTTGATTTTATTTTTTGGAGTGACATTTGGTCCCAAAAAATTTTTTAAAAACTTTTTAATTAAAGTTATTACGACGGCAACTTTCTCAAAAGTGCAGAAGTTTACGATCCAGAGACTGATACTTGGTCCTCAATTGCCCCAATGAATTTATCGAGAGCGCGTGTTTCTCTTGTAACTAATGGGAATTTTTTGTATGCAATTGGTGGATATGATGGGGAGGTTTGAAAATTTTTTGAAAATTTTTGAGGAATTTGCGGACTTTTTTTCGTATTTTTTTGACACTTTTCTTTTTGATCTTTATTGTCTTAAAATCCGCAAAAAAGGCATTTACGTTTATTAAATAAATTTTTCCTTTTACAGAATAATCTTAACTCGATGGAAATATACAACCCAGCCAAAAATCAATGGGAATTTGGTGCACCAATGACATCGCATGAAGGCTTTATTTTAAAGAAATTTTTTAATAATTAAATTTTTAATAAAAAAATAAAATCAACCAAAAACCTAATTTTTAAAAAATATTTTACCCGCAAAGGGTTCGAACCCTCGACCCCTTTTCTTACTATTTTCCCACTTAACCACGAGGTTAAAAATCAGGTTTTTCAATTTGAAAATTAGAAAAAAATTTCTAAGTCTAAATTTTGACAAATTCTATCTAAAAAAATTTTAAAACAACTAAAATCTAATTTTTAAAAATATTTTACCCGCAAAGGGTTCGAACCCTCGACCCCTTTTCTTACTATTTTCCCACTTAACCACGAGGTTAAAAATCAGGTTTTTCAATTTGAAAATTAGAAAAAAATTTCTAAGTCTAAATTTTGACAAATTCTATCTAAAAAAATTTTAAAACAACTAAAATCTAATTTTTAAAAATATTTTACCCGCAAAGGGTTCGAACCCTCGACCCCTTTTTTCTTCCTCTTTTCTCACTCCACAGTCCACTTAACCACGAAGAAAATTAATTTTTTTCTTAAAAAAAGGGTGTTGGAGCAGTTGTAGTACCAACAATGCCACGAATGCATACTAATCGAAATAACAATAATGGAAGTGGAGTTAAAAGGCCTTACAATTTTGATGATTATGGAGAAGATGGAGGAGGAGGAAATGGTGGTGGAGGACCTTCAACCTCGAGAAGGATGAGTGAACAAATTGAATAAAAGTATTTTTTATTTATTTAAATTTAAAGAAAAATGAAACTTTCCTGTTTTTCTAAATGCATTTTTCAGAAAAAATTTTATTAGATTTTAAGTCAAATATTTTAAAAAATCCCAAAAATTTTACTACTAAATATATGCATATATTGTGATTTATTTTTGACAAAATAAATTATTACAAATTTTTAAAAAATTGGAAAAGAGTTGGTCTAAGTAAAGACATCCAAAAATTAATTTTTTAAATGTTTTACCCTTAAAGGGTTCGAACCCTCGACCCCTTTTCTTCTTTCAACCCTCGACCCCTTTACCCTTTTCTTTTTTCTTCCTTTCCACTATGTATTCCACTTAACCATGAGGTTAAAAATTCAGTTTTATCAGTATTTTTTTTAATCAGGAAAAAAATTTCTTAGCCTGAATTTTGACAAATTTAGTTTAAAAAAATTTCAAACAAACAAAAATTATTTTTAAAAATGTTTGCCCCGCAAAGGGTTCGAACCCTCGACCTTTTTTCCACCCCACATTTTATTAAAAATTGCACTTAACCACGAGGTCAAAAGTCATGTTTTTTCAATAAAAAATTGTCAACTAAAACTTCCTTCTTAAGCGAAAAAAAATAAAGTTCAATCGGATATGGATTTTCCCAGCAAATATTTTTTGAAAAAGAAAAATATTCTAGCAAGAAAAAATGCTGCTTCACAGCAGCATTATTATTTTATTAAAATATTTTTTAATTTAAAGTAAATTCTTTTTAAATAATAATTAAAAAAATTCCTTTCTTCCAGCATTTTTTTAGATTGATTTTTTAATTTTCCATTATTTTATAATTTTTTTCTGGACAAGAAAATAATGTTTTTGCCCAAGTTAACAATAGAGGGAGTACTTGGATTTAATTTTAAAAAATTCCAAAAAATTATAAAAATATCCATTTTGGTTATTTTACTTCTTCAATGTCTTGTTAATTATTCCCAAGCAAGATACAAGCGTTTTATAAAAGAAGAAAATTCAAAATTGATAAATAATGAGGAATATTTAATACAAACTTGTGTGGCTTATTGTGATGCTCAATTTGGGAGAGAATTTGAGGTGAAAAAATTTTTTTTGACTAAAAAATTTGATTTCCCACATTAAAAATTTTTAAACAACAAAAAAACTAATTTTTAAAAATATTTAACCCTTAAAGGGTTCGAACCCACGACCCATTTTTCCCTCATTTCCACTCCGTGTTGCACTTAACCACGAGGCTAAAAGTCTTATTTTTTCGATAAATTCTTTCTTTAAAAATTGTGAAAAATTTTCTAAGCCTAATTTCGACAAAATTCCCCCTTAGAAATTTTATAACAATCAAAAACTAACCTTAAAAAATGTTTCCCCCATAAAGGGTTCGAACCCACGACCTCTTTCCCCTTCATAACTTATTAAATACGCACCTAACCACTAGGCCAAATATTAAAATTTAAACAGGAACACTTTGGACGCAGCTATTTCACTCAATTTTTTGATTTTCCAATTGATTCATTAATTGTATCTTCTCTCAACAATTTTAATTCTTTTTGTTCTCTAGTTGAGCAGAGAAGTTGTTGCCTTCAACAAGAATGTCTTAAATCTTCTGTGCCAGCTTCACCTCAAACACATATTTGTTTGGAGCATAGAGCTGATTTTGAAAGGGCGTTGGCTTGTTTAAAGTAGAGAAAAAATTTTTGAAAATTTTTTAAAATTTTTTCTTCAGTTCCACCGTCCCCCACTTCAAATTTCATTCAATCTGTTCAACAGCTGCAAAACAAAGTGTGGACATTAAAAGGCTGGCAGATGAGACTCACGGATTTGACATTCACTTAACAGAACAATATCGGCAACAGGATCTTCGTTGCCGTTTTCAAGCCTGTACACTTTCGGCTAGGGTAAAAATACGGGCAGACTTCTATAGGATATTGGGCTGACCTTATAATGAGGTGTCTCCTAAATAGAGGGTATCACCCGAGCTCTCCCCCACGCGCTAGCCAAAAAATGTCAAATATTGGTGTATCTTATACTTTGGGTACCATCTTGTCGTGTCCGAAAATCAAGGAAATTTCAGATAATGCTAATCAACGAGCACTGTAACCAAAACGGTATTGGAAAGGATCAAAGAGAACACGCACGCCAGACTGTTAGGCGCTACTATGAGGATGATTTAGAGCTTGATTTGATTGAATATGGAGAAACACTGAACGCTACAAGACGCTTCCCGCGTTTTTGTGCTGCTTTTTTGGCACAACAAAAAGTGGGAGATGAATTAAAATTTGTTTTTTGCACTCACAACAAAACGGAAGTCGCGACAAAATAATACAAAGGGTCCAAATCTACCTATTGTCTAGTTTTCCTCGTGTATCATTTTGTCGTTAGTATCGTTGTGTCGCACGTGCCATTTTGTCGCAACAAAATAGTACAATGGGAACCATTTTGTCGAGTGTACCGTTTTGTCGCTAGTGCAGAAAAAGTTTTTTTACCCCTTAAAAAATTGTATTTTTAGGCGGAACCTATAGCTCTACTTATAGACCACAAATCTTCACAAATTTATTTGGATGAATTAAATATTTTGTTAAAAATAATTGGGGCGGACACGGCAAAAATGCTTGAAACGGGAATTTAAAATATTAAAATAAATAAAGATTGGTTAAAAATTGAAAAATAAATATGATTGTATAAATATTTAGAATATTTTTTAGAAATTTTTTAAAATTTTTCTGCTTGTTTTAATCAAATAGTTATCTCTTTTTTGTTTGTTTTTTTATTTATTTTTAGTTATTTAGGCTTAAGATCCGGTTGTTTTAAACGTGTCTGGTGAAAACGGCAGTGGTGAATTGGGCAGTGAGTAATTTGGGCAGTGAGTGATTTGGGCAGTAAACGTTTTTTAAAAAATAATTTTACACGCAAAAACAATTTGAGTAACGTTAGAAGAATAATTTTGAGTGATTTGGGCAGTAACTTAGAATTTTTAAATTATTTACACAAAAATACAAAGAACCGGGTGCGGTTCTTTTTCATTTTGATAACGTTGTAGGTACAACATTACCCTTTGTTGAAATCGTCTTGGTCTCAATTTTGACGTTTCCCTAATTGATAAGTAAATTTAAGATGCGAAGAAGTGTTAAATAAGTATATATTTTAAGTTTTTATTTTTCAAAATAGGTCAAAAATATCTGAAAAAGGTCAAAATAGTTATGGAAAAATATGTTCAAATTTTGTATTTACTTTAAGTTTAATAAAAATTTCCGGAATTTTTCTTATCAATTTTAAATAATTTAAAAATTATAAGTCTAACGTTACTCAAATTGTTTTTGCGTGTAAAATTATTTTTTAAAAAACGTTTACTGCCCAAATCACTCACTACCCAAATTACTCACTGCCCAATTCACCACTGCCCAAATCACACGGCACCGTTTTAAATTCAAATTTGCTTCGAAGTTATATAAAAAATAGTTTGGCGTAATGTTTATTTTATTTTTTGACAACACCAAAATGGTTCTAGACAAAAGGGTTCGCGACATAATGTCAAAAATTTCACGTACCATTTTGTCCAATTTTACTCTTAGTACCATTTTGTCGCGTGTACAATTATGTCGCTAGCTTATATTTGACGAATGTACCATTTTGTCGCAGGTACCGTTTTGTCGCTTGTACCGTTTTGTCGCCTGTTCTGTTTTGTTTCATGTACCTTTTGTCAGTACACGCATCTCTGACGTGGCTCTGTATCTCTTTTTTATGTTGTCTATCAACTTTTATTAAATTTTAATTTCCTCATTTTAATTTAATTAATTTTTAGTTGTTTCCAAAAATGCGACGATTATTGCCTTCTACAATTTTAATTTTATTATTTATTATTTCCACTTTAATTGGCTATTCTTCTTCAATATATTTCCATATTGCTGAGACTGAAAGAAAATGTTTTATTGAAGAAATCCCCGACGAAACAATGGTTATGAGCCGTTACAAAGTTCAACTTTTTGATCCAAATACGAAGGCGTTTGGGGATTATCCGACGATTGGAATGCATGTGGAAGTTAAGGATCCGGAGGAGAAGGTTTGTTGTTTTTTAAGGGTAATGCATTTTTAAGGGTAATTTCCTAGGAACTGAGAAAATACCTGGGCACTAGATAAGGAAAGTCATAGACTCAACAAAGTGTCACCACAATCTCTGTTGGGTTCATGTCTAATTTTGTGAACCAGGTCGAACTTTGAGCACAAAGTTGAGCACAAAGTCTAAGTTCGGATTGGGGTTTAAATTTTGTTCAGATATTTGTTCGAAAAAGACAACTCGGTCCCCTTAAACGGCAGGATGTTCTTTGGACTAAAACAAAGTCAGTCAAACTTTGCCAAACTTGGATTTTTAGGGTTTCTTACCCGTGAGTTTTGGGTTGAGCTTGGATTCATTCCATACACCAAATCCCTTGCCTAGATACATTAAAATACTTGGATCTCTCATTAAAAATCAATTAAATTCTGTCTAACTCTCTTCATTTTTAATTTTAAATCCCAATAAAAATTTAATTTCCTCCAACTTTTCAGATGATTTTAAGCAAATTATATACAAACGAGGGCATAATTACCTTTACATCTCATTCACCTGGAGAACATTTGATTTGTCTTTATTCAAATACAACAGCTTGGTTTAGTGGAGCTCAACTTCGTGTTCATTTGGATATTCAAGTTGGGGAACATGCACAGGATTATCAACAGGTTTATTTTGGTTTTTAGGCTTGTTTGGTTCCCTTCCAATTTTCGCAAAGTCGGGCGTTTTTGTTCGTTTCCCTGATTTTTATATTCACACATGAAAGAGCGGTCGTATCTGTCCGTTTTTCTTTGTTTTTCACTTTCGCTTGTTTTTTGGTTTCTATTAGGCACTTGGTTTCCAAAGCATTGTCTGGGCGACGCAAATGTAGTCTTACACTTAAACTACAAATTTTATTGGTACTCCTTTTTGTTCTGTCATTCCCTTGGATTTTAAAGGTTTTTTTTATCCTTTGCCAATGGTTGGTTAATTATTAAGCAGAGTTCTAGCCATTAAAATGCAGGGAAATCAAAGCAAAAAATGGCCTTATTTCTTCAATTCCTTTCATAATTTTAACATTTTCCAATTTTAAAGATTGCCGCAAAGGACAAGTTGAATGACCTCCAATTGCGTGTTCGTCAACTGCTCGATCAAGTTGAACAAATTACCAAAGAGCAGAATTACCAACGCTATAGAGAAGAACGCTTTCGACAGACCTCCGAAGGAACTAACGTTTCTTTTTTATTTTTTTGAATTTTTTAACAAATTTTAATTTTTTAGAGCCGCGTTTTGTGGTGGTCTGCTGGACAAACAATTGTTCTGTTACTGACGGGATGGTGGCAAATTCGACACTTGAGAGGATTCTTTGAGGCTAAAAAGCTTGTTTAGATGATTGTGAGACTGTTTTTTGGTTGTTAAATATTTATTTTTCTGCTTTTTTCTCCTATCTTTTTTTTCTTTGACTTTTTTAGAGATCGGAAATTGAAAAAGTTCTAAATTTTGGGATTTTCAATTTTTAGGAGGAATTTTGTAAACTTTTAAATATCCCTTTGATTAATCGTCCCTATTTCCTCTAATTTTTAACATTGGTCGAAGACCTTGATCAAATTTCCTTGACCCTGACCTTGAGTCAAGAAAAATCAAGGATCACTGAGAGATGGTTTGATTATGACTCTGGATTCAACAAAACTCAAGGTATGGACTAGACCGATCTCTATCTCTTTTTTTGTGTCTATTTGTTTCTAAAATATTTTCTAAAATAAATATTTATTTTCCTTTTTAAGCGAAAATTTTTTTGTATGATCCAAAATGTACATAAATGTACCTTCAAATAATTTTTTATTTTTTTAAATTTTATTTTTCAGCAAAATTTTAAAATTAGACTCTAAATGAGTGTTCTTTTAAAGTTTTTTACCCACCCTTTAGTTCTCGCTCCATTAGGCATAAGTGGTGTTGGCATTGGATTTGGTTATGTTCGGTAAACTTTTTTTAATTTTTTCAAAAAATTTTTCAAATTTTTTTTTCTAGAAATAAACGGGACACAAAACATTATGATTTGGATGAGCAAGACGACAAAACTTTTATTGTTACAGGTTTTTAATTTGAAAAAGGAAAGGAAAAAAAATTTTTTTGAAGGGGCTACTTCGGGTATTGGAAAGCAAATTACGAGAAGATTGGCACTTAAAAATGCAACTGTAATTATGGCTTGCAGGTTTTTGAATTTTGTTTTTTTGGACAGTCATTTTTGGGAGGTATTTTGGGAACTTTTAAAGTATCTGTTTTCAACTCCTCCCATTTAATTTCTTCCATTTTTTGAGCGGGTATGTGTTCGCTCTCCAAATTTATTGTAGATTCGTTTTCAATGAAAGTCCATTTTTTGCTCCTAAATTTTTTGGCCTCCATTTTTCTCTATTTTTCTGAAATTTACCCCTAAAATCAATACCCCATTTCCCCTCTAGATTGATTTAGTCGTCATTTGAAAAATAAGGGATCCAAAAAATTTTTTCTAATTTTAATATTTTTAAGAAACAAAAATAAATGTTTGGAAGTCAGAAGGGAAATTGTTTTACAAACACGCAACAAAAAAGTATTTTGTAGGCTTTGTGATTTGTCAGGTTTTTAAAATAAAATTTTTAAAAATTATTTTAATTTATTTTTAGATCCTGAAAGTATTCACAATTTTGCTTATAAACTTACAAAAGGTTATTTTTTATATTTTAAAAGTTATTTGAAAAATTTTTAAAAAGTTTTTTGTGAACTTAAACATTCAAAATTCCTCAAATTATTTTTTAAAAATTATTTTCGCCAAAAGGGTTCGAACCCACTACCCTTCTTCTCTTATAACAAAAAGTTAATCCACTTAACCAAAGTTACTAATAATTTTTTTGAGTTGAAAACTCTTCTGGAAACTCATAAAAATTTTTTAAATTCAATTTGAAATTGTTTTCCGCCAAAAGGTGTCGAACCCACGACCCTTTTGTCTTAAAACAAAAAATTAACCCACTTAACCACAATTACTCGAAATAATTTTTTACCGGAAAATGGCTTCCCTTTTCATTCTAAAATTAATTCTTAACCCACTTAACCACAAAAATATTTTTAAAAAATTAAAAAAATTTTTTAGACGAAACCAATAGTTTTGAAAAAATTGATGGAATAATTTTAAATGCTGCAACAAAAGTGAAAAAATATCAAACAACTAAGCAAGGAATTGAGACAAATTTGGCAACAAATCATTTTGGGAATTTCTTACTTGTTGGACTTTTATTACAAAAATTGTTAAATCAAGATACTGCTTCAAAAATTGTTTTTGTTAATACAAATATTGCAGCAAAGGATGGGTAAGAGAAGAAAGAGGGGGTTATTAAAGGGAAGCAAAGTCGAGAAATCTCGTTATAAGATACCTTCATCTTTTGAAATTAGGTTGTCCTTTGGGTGTGGGAGCTGAATAAGTCTCTCTGTTTAACATACACCTTGGACAACAGACAGAGCTCATTATAAGATAACTTCAATATTACTAAGATAGGCTTTCTGAGATTTTGGTAGGCCATTGGATGGGGTTACTGTCTGGACGATATCCCTCTATTTAAGATACGTTTAAGATTAGGTACTCCTTTGGAAGGGGGAGCTTGGACAACAGACAGAGCTTATTATATACACCTCGATTTAAAATAGGCTTTCTGAATTTTGATAGACCACTGGATAGGGGAGCTGTCTGGGCGATACCCCTCTATTTAATATACACCTCATTATAAGGGACTAAAATTTTTCGGCCCTAAGAGAGTCTTATAAAGAGATCTAACTAATTTTTAATCAAAAAAATATATTTTATTTCTTTTAAGTCTAATTTTGAATTTGTTTGGTCTAAATGATGCCAAATTTGTCAAAAAATTGACTAGCACTTGTGAAATTGTTGACCCAGAAAAAGGAAAATATGATATGCATGCTGCTTATAAATACTCAAAATTAATGGATCTCTTATTTGCTAGAGAATTGGCAGAAAGATTGAAAGGTTATTTTTTGTAAAAGTTTTAAAATAAAATTATTTTCGCCAAGAGGGTTCGAACCCCTGATCATTTTTAAGCAAAAAATAACCCACTTAACCATGTGTACCCAAAATAAATTTTTTATTGCCTATGGAAAGGGTGTCCGGGTTCGAACGTCTGCGTTTATTTTAATAATTAGAAACCCACAAGGGGGGTTGAGCTCCATACCATTTTTTAAGCAAAAATAACCCACTTAACCACGAGTACCCAAGATAATTTTTCTAGTCATTTATGGGGGGTGTTCGGGTTCGAACCAGGGGTGGGCGCATTGCGTTTTGCGTTTTTTGCGTTTTGCGTTGATTTTTGGCCTTGCGTTGCGTTTTGCGTAAATTTGGCCAAAATTAACGCAAAAAACCGCAAGAAATATACCCAATCTGAGGGCAAAATCTTGAGGAAATCAGGCTTATGACTTTCCAAAATTCTCAAAATTTTCGCCTGCGGCGCTTAAAAAAGGAAGAAATTTGGCTTCTTGGTCCCAAATTTTTCAAAATTTTCGCCTGCGGCGCTAAAAGTAGATCATGGAACTGCTCAGAAAAATATCAGTTCAATATCTTGAGCTCCGATCTCCCTTTATCCCTCCAAATCCCCTGATATCCACGGTATCAATTGAGAATTACAGATAGGCATTTATCCTCCGCTACTCCCCAACCCATCCGACATTCATCAGTAATCGCATGGTATCTTTTTAAATTTCCTTGATCCCTCCAATTTTCCTCGATCCCTCCTTCATAATCGCTCTAAATCCTCTAATATCCTTCATAATCCCATTGTATCCCCTTCAAATCATTACCCATCCAACTTAATTGTATCACAAGAACAACTAGGACTCACTGACTTATAGTAATACTTCTATTTTAACTGAAAAATGGCTAATACTCGATTTAAAATTTTTTTTCAGAATTTTGCGTTCTTGCGTTTTGCGTTTTGCGTTTTTTGCGTTGATTTTTGGCCTTGCGTTGCGTTTTGCGTTTTGCGTTTTTCACGATTGCCTCTTGCGCCCACCCCTGGTTCGAACCTCGCATGGATCAAAGCTTTTTTATTTTACTAATTAGACATTTACCAAAAGGGGTCGAACCCTCGACTCTCCTGCTCTTAAAACAAAATTTCAGCCAACTTAACCAAGGACACCAGAAAATTTTTTAATTTAGATACACATGTTCGAGTTGTTGTTGCTGATCCAGGCGGTACAAAAACAGATTTAAACAAGGATGAACCTTCACAGAAATTTTTCTTAACTCGTTGGACTAGTAATTTTCTTGGATATACGGCTGGAAACAGAAGATCGGTTAACAAAGCAATATATCCAATTTTATACGCTTTGGGAGAGGAAGGAGTTAAAAATGGGACTTTTATCAGGTTTTTCTTTTTAAAGATTTTTAACAAATATCCACATTAAAATATCCACGTTTTTAATTTTTTTATAAGATTTTAATTAAAATTACAAAAAATTCCTAGAAGATGGGAGAAGGAGGGGGGTCCAGGTTCGAACCCCGCCGGGGTCAAATATTTTTTATACTAGTAATTAATGTCAAAAACCATTTTTAGACACATATATCGATATTTGGAGTAGATTTATATTTTTTAAATAATTAAAAAATATTTTTCAAGTCCTCGACAAGTACCTCGTGAATGGGGAGAAAATGCTGAAAATGTCCAACTTCGTCAAAAAGTTTGGTTAATGAGTGAACAATGGACTAAATTAGCTGATTATATGGGAAGAATGGAAGAGGGACTTGAAAAGCCTGGTTATTTTTCCAAGGATTCTCATGGAGATGATGAGGGGGAGAAGAAGAAACCAAGACAGAGGTCGGCAAAGTATCTTTGGTTGGCTTGATTATACAAGCAATTTTTTGGTTTTTGTTTTTAGGTTTTATTTTATTTTTTGTTATTTTTTGAGAATTAATAAAATAATCCCATTTTTAAATTAAAAAAATTATTTAAAGTTGAGAAAAATGCCAAAGACAGGGGGTCCAGGTTCGAACCCCGCCCGGGTCAAATATTTTTTATTTTAATATTTAGTGTTAAAAAACCTCCTCTAAACTTATTCCAGTATTTAAAATAAAATTTTATCATTTTTAAACAAAAAACTCATCTAATTGTGCCATTTGAAAAAATTGTCTTTTTAAAATACAAATCAGAAAAATGTTGTGCCAAAGCTTCGTTTCTTGCTAGAGCTCTAATCAACATGTTTTTATGAGCACTTCCAGGGCCAAGAACTCGAAGACCACTAAAAAGACGATTTAAAAAAAGTCAGGCCCTTAAACTTTAAAAAGGGGCCCCTCCCACGCCTAGTCAGACCACCTCGAAAATCGCCTTTATAACCGGGTGTACCTTAAATAAAGAGTATCGGCCAAAGTTCACTTCACCCATCCATCCTCTACATTTTAAAATCTGGCCCTCAGACTTGAGCCTAAATAAAGGGTGTTCCTCTACGCATAAAGACCCTCGAAAATCGTCCTTATAACCAGATGTGCCTTAAATAAAGAGTATTGCCTGGATAACTCCACCTACCCATCCATCCTCATCCCTTTTAAAATATTATCTAAAAAACCGTATATGCGTATCCCTTCCATTTTGATGATTTTGAACAATCTGAATAACTATAGCAAATGCCTGTTGTGATGTTTGTTGTTTTTTAGAAGTTTTTTCCTTTCTTAAATCAATTAATTGCCATCCTGTTGGTTCAGAAAAAGTAACGGTTTTTGGGTCTTCCAAGTCTAGAACAGAAGATCCTGTTTGTATTTGTATTCTGAAAAAAATTGAAACAGAAAATTAATAAAAGATTAAATGGGGGGGGGGGGGTCTCGGGTTCGAACCCCGCCTAGGTAAAATATTTTTATGGCTCTTTTTTAACATTATTCATCAACTGTCCAAAACACTGCTTGAACATGACTAGAAAGTCACAAATTTCTTGATTATTTTCCTCTATTCTCCTAAGAGTCCGCAAATTTTGTCCGCAAGTTTTTTGCGGACTTGAAAAATTTAAAAATAAATCAAAAATTACTTTGACGGCGTGTATGACTCATCAAGTTTATAATCCAAATAAACAACCAAAAAATCGATAGGTGTGCGACGCTGAAATTCTATTGTGATTGTGTGGGGTTGCAATCCATCACTTTGCCTAAACAAAATTTTTGTTTAAAATCACGGAAATTTTTTTTAATTTAGGGGATGGTCCGTGTTGAACCCCCGCTTGCGTGAAATATTTTTTTATTTTACTAATTAGACATCCACCTAGAGGGGTCGAACCCCCGACCATTTTTGTCTTTAAACAAAAAGTTAAACCACTTAACCACGATTTCAAGAAAATTTTTTAATGGCCACAAATCGGGATCTTGGTTCGAATCCCGCCTGGGTCGAATATTTAAATAAAAAAAATAAAAGAAAACCAAAAAGTGTCTTCTCTGTCATCCAATAATTGATGTATTCCCATTCCTTCTTAAAATAAAAGAAAGTTTTCTTAAAAAATTCCCAAAAAACCTTTAGCACTAGATAATGTCCAAACTGCTTCATTCGAAATATCATTAATATGCCCAACTCCTTCGGGTAGACAAGAGGTCCAAGAACGGCCAAAGTTTTTGTTTGAGTTGTCATTTACCATATTTTTAAGAGATAAAAAATTTAGAAGAAAAGACTTGAAATGTGCCTGAAGGATTAATTGAAATTTGCCTAAAAATTATTTGAAATTTGCCTGAAAAATTGAATTTGGCCTGAAAAAAAGTGAAATTATCCTAAGAAATTCAAATGTACCCAAGAAACCGAAAATAGCCCAAAACTTGACTTTGGCCTGAAAAAATCAAATTTGGCCCAATTTGGCCAAATTTGATTTTTGGCCCCCCCCCCCCTTAACAAAAAAAATATTATTTTAACGTTCAAAACGTTCAAAAACTAAAAAATAATTTTCCAAGCGTCATTTTATTTAAAAACAAAATAAGTAAATAATAATAAAAACACAACACATTTTTTTAAGCAGAAGAAATAAAGAGAGAATGCATTTTAAAATGAGGAATGAAATTTTTTAAATTAGGTCCCAAGTGAATTTTTTTGTTTGTTTGTGTTGCAGGGAGAGAGAAAAAAAAACAAAATAAAAGCCAAATATGTTGGGAAATATAATAATAATATTGGGGGGTCATTATTTTTGGCTTTGTGTCCAATTTATGCCTCCCATAATTTTAGGAAATTGGAATGTACCCATAAAATCGAAAATGGCCTAGAAATTTGAATATGGACTGAAAAATTAAATTTGGACTTATTGGGGAATTAGACCGATTTTTGAAATTGGTGTTGGCCTAAAGTTGGGGGGTTTGGATTTCGGAACAATAAATGTTGGGAAATTTGGTTTGGATTAGGAAACCAAGACCAAGGAGCCCAATCCCAACCGAAGAATCCAATCTGAAACTATAGGACACACAAACAGGAAAAAAGCCATTTCTGTGTGGGGAGAAAGAGAGAGGGTCACAAGAAGGAAAATATTTTTTATTGTCCTTTGGAATCATTCAGCCCCAAAAAACTTTTCAAAATTGGAAAATGAGAGAATTACTGAAGAGTTGATTGTGAGTGGTTCCAAGCCCTTTCCCCTCCCAAAAGATCCGAAATTTTTTTTCCTAATCCAAAAAATGTCCTTCTCTTTCCCCTCTCTATTCTCCCCACACACACATTTTTTTTAAATTTAATTTTAAAAATTAAAAAAAAAACAAACGTCTCTCTCGGCACTTGATATTTTTTTTCTCTCCTCTCTTTTAAATTTAAAAATTAGGGTCTCTTTCCTCTCTCTCAAATTTTTTACTCTTCCATCAATTTTTCAAAATAGTCATCTCCCCCTTTTAGTTATCACGATATTTCTCGTTGAGCTTGTTAAGCAATTCCTTGTGCGCAATTTCCGATTCGTCTGAGACCTTAAAAAAATTTTTTCTTGGAAATTTTGAGAGAAAAAAAACCTGAAATTGAAGCATCTTTGCCGTCCCAAGCGATGCCTTTATGGCAGAAGCAGTCGAAGCGTAAACCATCTTCTTTTTGATAGAAGCGCTGTCTGGGCACAACTAGAAAAAAGTAAAGGGGAATTATGGAAGATATTGAGTAAACGTCAATTTTCAGTTTTTGCCAGTCAAATGACTCATAAAGGTCAGACTTAATTTTTCCTCAATTTCACTAAATTTCCTTAAGGTATCCATAAGAGAATCGAGGAAATGTCCGAATAGGAAGCAATTGAGGAGGTCTGACCAGTATGAGACCGCCAAGGAAGAAAAAGAGAAGGGGGAGAAAACTGAAGAGTAGCAAGAACCACCCAAGATTATTGAGAAGCCTGGTTTCGGATTCCTAACAATATTCAGTTGGTAGATAACACAGACCAGGGAGGAAATAACCTAACAGATTAGAACCCCAAAATTCCTTAGTCCTTAGTCAAATGACTCATAATGGTCAGACTTGAATCTTTCTCTTCTCTCTCAATTTCACTAAATTTCCTTATGGTATCAACAAGAGAATCGAGGAAGTGTTCGAATAAAAGGCCACTTAAAAGGGAAGTCTGACCATTATGAGACCGCCGAGGAAGAAAAAAGAGGAGGGGAGAAAATTGAGAGTATCAAGACCACTCAAGATTTTGAGAAGCTTTGCTCGGATTCCCAACAATATTCAGTCGGAAGATAACCCAGCCCAGGAATGAAATAATCTTACCGATTATAACCCAAAATTCAAAAAAATCAACCAGACTAAAAGGCCAAAAAGACTTTGGAAAAGGGCAAGAGATCCTAGGCACAATACAAAAATAATCAAAATGTTCGGCTTGACCACTAGCCCTAATTACGAACCCAAACCACTATTAATTTCAAAAAAATACTTGAATGAAGACTATTTTGTCCATTTTAGAAGTTCCAGCGCCTGGACGATGTGTTTGGAATTTAAAGTCAAAAACAGCATAACGACAATCTTGAAAACCGTCAGTCTTGTCTTTAATGTCCTTTACGAATATCTCATAAGCCGCTTTAGAATTGTCTTCATAACTGTCATCTGTTGTCCCTATCTAAAAAGAAAAATTGGGACAAAGCTAAAATTGCGGATTCTGCAAAAAACTTGCGGATTAATTGAAAAACGAAGGGAAAAGGACTGGAGTAGGGTTCAGGTACAGGAAGAAGGGATTCAGCTTAAGAAATAAGGGGAAAGGAGATCAAATTAAACATGCGGATACAACCCTGTGGACTTTTGGAAGCATAAAACTACCCTAGCACCTAACTTTGTTTTTGCGGACTTCACTTTTTAATAGACACATTTATTTGGATTTCATGTCAATTTCGACACCCTCGAAATAGAACGAGATTCTTTCTATACCTTTCCTCATATTTTATCCACTAAACTTGTGATAAATAACAATTTAGGGAAGGTGTCCGCAAGCATGGAAAAGTCCGCAAAAAAGAAGGTTAACGGAAAAGTACCTTAATACAGTCCCAAAAGATTCTTCTTACGCCCACACTCCAAATACCCCAAAGATCCTCAGATTCTCCCACAAAATACTTTTCAAAAAAACCTCTTCAGCAGTCAAAGCAACTTCAACCACAACTTCATTCTCGACAATTTTATAAATAATGTAGCGGTACTTTTTGGCCTCAGATAATTGTTGAAAAGCTGTCTGGCACTCAGCATTAACCATTACTCCGGAAGCCATTTTTAATCCAAAATATTAAAAAAATAAATATTTTTTCAAAGAAAATATGTCAGTCTGAAAAATTTTAAATATTAATATTTCGAAATGTCAAGGGGTCAAAATGGTAACTTTACAAAAAATAGAATTTTCGACATAGACGAGGAAACACTTCAACCCCCACTGATTTTCCATAATAAAAATTGCCAAAAAAATCCATAAAAAAGGTCATAAAAAACGCCAAGGGGTCAAAATGGTAACTCAACAACAACCCAGGCTTTTTGGCTTACAGGAAGAAGTCTTTCAAATTTCGTTGATTCCCAGCCATTATCTAACAGATTTAAGGTAAAAAAATAAAAAATAACGTCAAGGGTTCGAAATGGTAACTTTTTGATTTTAACAGAAAATCCATTAAAAACCCATTGATTTTCCAGTATTTATTTAAAAAACTTTTGTAAAAAAACTAAAAAACCAGAAAGGAAATGAAAAATCAACGCACCCATCAAAAAACTCTTTTAAGGACGTAATGACCTTCTCTCAAGTTTTCTCGTCTGTTTTGACTCAGAAATTCCACACAAAAATATTAATCAATTTCACAATTGATGACTAATCCGTCTCGACAGTAAAAAAATATAAAAAAATGTTCTCAATCCCCCCATAACGTTAAAAAAAGTCAATCAATCAGAGAGCTCTCAAAACTATTTTGTAAAAAGTGTTGTGGGGGGTTAGCTTATTTTTAGTCTATTACAAGAATGTGTAGAGGAGGTTAGTCTGAACTGTGCAAAAGAATTGAAGGAAATGGGATGAAAAATAAACAAAAAAAATTTTCATCGGGGAATGAATAGAAAAAATTTAGAGAAAAATGCAAAAATCTTCATCAGTTCTTTTTATATTTGTTCTCTTTTTCTCTAACTGCACTATTTCTTTTTTTAATTAAAGTTTGGCGGAATTTTTAAATTTGAAAATAAAATAACCCTTAAAGCCTTTTATACTTGAGGACTTATTTTGGGCCATAACTTTCTTCGTTCTTAACCGATTTAAATAATTTTTATACCAATCGAAAGCTCTGAATGTGCGGATTATTTTATCTAACAGGATTAATGTGATCCGATTATTTTACAAAAAGTTGTAGTAGAATAAAGAACAAAAATCACGATTGCGCGCACTTATCGACACGTAACTTTTTGTAGGATAATCTGATCAACTCAATCCTGTTAGATAAAATAATCCTCACATTTAGAGCTTTCGATAGATACAATACTTGTTCAAATCGGTTAAGAATCGAAAAAGTTATGACCCAAAATATGACCGCGAGACTTAATCGTCGATACCTAACCATCACTATTTAATTAAAAAACACATTTATCTTCAATCAAAATTTATAAATTTTATCTAAAAATATAAAGAATTAACCATTTTTATACAAAAATCTAAAAACTTTAAAAATATTTAAAAAATCCATCACTTTCCCCCAGGCATATTTCCATACATGGGCATATTTCCATACATGGGCATATTTCCATAACCTCCATAGCCATTATTAAAGCCATAATTATTGTATGGATTATAGGCACTGCATTTACACGCACAATTTTGAGCAATTATCTAAAAATAAAATTAATTTCAAATGTTAAGTTCAGAATGTCCAAGGCTCAAAATGGTCAAAATTAAATTTTAAGCTTAATATTAAATTAAAAAATTTTCTCAATTCACAACACCCACAGGACTGGCGCATTGAGCTAAAGACATTGTCTGACAGGCTGATTGGTCTACTGTACACACTAGAAAAAATTTTTTTGAAAATTTAAAAATTTTTTTAAAGGGTTACCAGGTCTATTATTCACCGGATAATTATTCGGAGGGAAATTGTTGTAGCTTGGAGGATAATTGTTCGTTAAAGGCTGGTTGCCGTAATTCGGAGGGATTAAATAGCTTGTTCCATAACTTAAATAATTTTTTAAGGTGAAATTTTAAATAGAAAAATGTCTACTTTGGAGGAATATTGTAGCTATAACCAGCACCACTTCCAGGATTATTGATGACAATAATCTTAAAAAGTATTGTGAGAAATATTGTGAAAAAACTCAAAAATTTACAACAGGTGGCTGGTTGTACTGCTGTTGGGGAGGATAATATGATTGTGGAGGAAATTGTTGTCCGGGCGGGTAGTAGCCAGGAAAAGTTCCTGTATTGGGACGGTTATTAGTTTGGGGATTTACGTTTCCAGAATTTTTGCCTGGATTTGCGCCTGGCTGTGAGGCCGGGTTATAATTTGGATTGTTTGGATCACCGCTGAGTACTTCACCTTAAATTTTGAGAGAAATTAAATTTTTTTTAAATTTTCTATACAGCAAACGGAGCCAATACAAGCTTCTTTTGGATCGTAGCAGAAACCAGCAATCTTACAACCTTAAAAAAATAATTTAAAAATATACCCCCTAAGGACTAAAAAAATTCGTATCAAATTTATATACAGCTTTTTAAACGCAAGGGTTAAACGATAGGTTAGAAAAGCTGCAAGCTCTACCTTCCCCTTAACTATGCAATTATTTAAAATTTATTTTTAAAATTGTTTGAATATTATTAAAAATATTTTTAAAAAAGAGGAAAAGCTGGCTGACTCTTCACTGCGGGAAATTTCAAATTTTCTTTTATTAAAAAAATTTTTTCTAACAAAATTATTGTCAAAAATAAGGCAAATTTATATTTTTTTATTTAATTTTTGTTACCCTAGAATTTTTAAATGGAATCTAATATATTTTCTTCACCCTATCAACTACCTGATGCTATTAGACAGATGATTGTAGCCTCCTCAAACGGTTAAAATTTTTTATTTTTTAATTATTACCCCTAAATGCTAATTAATTTATATACAGCTTTTTAAACGCAAGGGTAACTGATATGTTAGAAAAGCTGCAAGTTGGAATAAAAAATAAACTTGGAATTCCAAGTTTGAATTTTAAGTTTTATTTCAAGTTGAAAATTCAAGTTTGAAATCCAAGTTGGAATTCCAAGTTTTAATTCCAAGTTGGAATAAAGTTTGAATTTCAAGTTGTATTTTCAAGTTTTATTATTTCAAGTTTTAATTCCAAGTTCTAATAAAAATTCCAACCTAACCAACATTATTATTTTCCCAAAAAAATAATTTTTATATTTAAAAACAGGTGTTATTACCGAAAAACAACAAAAATGGAAAACAGCCGGTTATAAAGGACAATCTATAATGGTCATTCCTATGGCCAGAACAATAAAAGAAAATTATAACGAAATAAAAGGTAAAAAATTTTTATTTATTAAAAGTCAGTTGTTTGGTCATTTACTAATTAAATATTTTTACTAATTAAATATATTTTACCCTCTTTATATTGTTTAACTAATAAACAAAGTTTTATTATTTGTGAAGAAAAGCATTTGTTGTGTTAAAGTTTTAAAACTTTAATATTATATAAAACTTGATTTTATTAGTAAATAAAGTAAGGTTTAATAAACTTGGATTAAAACAAGTTTTAAATAAAATACAATTTTTGAGAAAATACGAACTTTATTTAAAATAAAGTTTTCAAACTTGTTTGAAACAAAGTTGTAAATAAAATAAACAAACTTGTTTTAAGACAAGTTTTAAAACAACACACAAAACAACAACCTTTTTTAAAACAAGTTTTATTATTGTTTTGAAAACAAGCTTGTTTAAAAACACAAACTTTGTTTAGTAAAGTTTTAAACAAAAAACAACATGTTTTGAATAAAGTTGTATTTTTAAAAACCAAGTTTGTATTTTCTTTCAAAGTTATTCAAAACAAGTTGTATTTTATAAAATTTGTTTTTAAATTAATAAACTTTATTTAAAACAAGTTTTAATAAAATACAAACAAACACAAACTTTGTTTCAAACAAATCCCTTCTTACTCCCTTTATATTTTAAAAATAATATTTTTATTTTTTTTATTTATTTATTTATTTATCAGCAAACCACAGGTATTTTAAAATACATTAATGTGGTGCAAAAAAAAAAACATAAAAAATAAATTAATGTCAAAAAAAAAAATATATATATGTAGGAAACAACATCAAAAATAAAAATAACTTTAAAAATGAACAATAAAAATAAATGAATTTAATATTACACATAAAAAAAACACAATAACGCTCAAGGTTAATTTTTCCAAAAATTTTATTTAGATTGTGATAATTTAATAAAACTTCTAAATTTTTTGGGATCATTTATTTTAAATGATTCATTTGGAAGATTATTCCATTTATTTACCACCCTATGAAAAAAATTATTTTTTGTTCTGTTCGTGTGTTTTTTAATCCTTAGAAGTAGAGGCCTGCGAAGTGATCTATTTGAAAAATTAAAATAATTTTGGGAATTAAGAGATGTAAACCCTTTTATAATTTTAAAAGCAGTGGAAAGATCGGCAATCTTTCTTCTATCTATTAACTTTTCAAGTTTGCAAGTATTTAATCTTTCTTCATATGGGACCTTGATTAATCCACATTTTTTGTAAATATTCTTAGTGAATAGTTTTTGAATTCTTTCGATTTTATCTATTTGATATTTCATGTGTGGATTCCACACTTCAGTTGCATATTCTAGCTGGGGTCTTATATAAGTTTTATAAATATTAACAAGAAGATTTAAGTCTCTAGACTTAATGATTCTTGTTATTTGGAAACTTTTTAGATATGCATTTTTTATAACCATATTTATATGGTTATTAAAAGATATTTTAGAATCAATTAAAACTCCAAGATCGCGAATGCATTCTGTTTCTTGTATTTTTAATCCATGAATGTTATACTCTCTTTTCAGGTTATTTTTCCCTAGATATAAGGCAAAGCACTTATGAGGAGATATTTCTAAACCATTTAACTCTGTCCATTTTTCAAGTTTCCATAAAGCTTTATTAAGTTCATCCCTTTCTATGCCATTTCTATGAGCTACATATAGTTTTACGTCGTCTGCATATAATTTTATTCCAATGTTTTCAGGGATTTGATTCGGAAGATCATTTATAAAAATAAGAAATAGAAGAGGTCCTAAGACACTACCTTGAGGTACACCTGAGAATGTTTCATATTCGCAAGATATTTGGTCACCAATCTTAATCTTGAAATTTCTATCAGATAGAAAATTTTTAAGAAATGTATAGACTTTTCCACTAATGCCTGCTTTTACTATCTTATCTAGAAGAATATTTATCGGTACAGTGTCAAATGCCTTAGCAAAGTCAATGTATATGATATCTATACTATATCCATCTTGTATTGCATTATATAGATCATTCATTGTGGATAATAACTGTGTTGTTGTGGATCTTGATTTAAGAAACCCAAACTGATTTTGATTAAAGAACTTATTATCTTCTAAGTATTTTACTAATTGTTTTGCGATAATTCTTTCTAAAATCCTACACAGGGTGCATGTTAACGATATTGGACGATAATTGTTTGGATCTGATTTTTCCCCTTTTTTATATAGAGGTATAATAAGTGACGATTTCCAAATTGATGGAATTTGCCCATTATCAATAATAATTCTAAAGGTATCTGTGATTATTTTTGCAAGTGAGTCAGCGCAATATTTAAGTAATATATAAGGTATATTGTCTGGAGAAGTAGAATTTTTACTAGGAAGTGATCTGAGGGTATCCCACACAATACTAGTACTTAAATCTATGTCTGTAAACTTTGATTCTGGAATTATATTTCCATCGCTATCTGAGAGATTAATGCTTCTTTTTTGAAAATTCTTTTGAAACCCTTTTCCCAAAATATTACATTTTTCTTCATCGCTGAAGTAAAATTTGTTTTCTTTATCAATTAGACAGGGAATATTATTATCTTGCGTAAGTCTGTTTCTAATATACTTATGTATCGAATTTCCACCTTTATTGATTATTTTTTCTTCATTTGTGTTATGATGAATTTTTAATTGCTTTTTTAGGTTTCTTGAGACGATTTTATACTTAACTCTTAAATTGTTATCATATATTCTTTCTTTAAGTAACCTAAATAATATAAGCTTTTCTTTGTGTAATTCCTTAATTCTTTGAGGGTATGCTTTTCTTATTATCTTATTTAGTGCTCTCATTGGTATATATTTGTTATAAAGACATAGAAGTTCTTTTGTTAAATAAATGTATTTATCTTCCACTGTGAATTTCGTTGATATACCTAGATCTAAATTATTTCGAAATATGACTTGATTTAGATTAATAAAATTGGATTTACTAAAATCTCTTACGTAACTCTTGGGCTTCCTAATTACTTTAACACGATAATTAAGCTCAAACTCTATCATTTTGTGATCGGAAGTTGAAAAATTCTCCCTAACTTTAATAGTTCTAACAATACCGGAATCAGATGTAAGTACTAGGTCCAGGATTGAATTTTCCCTAGTTGGTTCAGTAACAAGTTGTTTTAATTGATTCTGACCTATAAACTCTATGAAAATATTCGCGATCTTGTCATAATTGTCAATTATTTCGTTAGAATACCAGTTTATGTGTCTAATGTTAAAATCTCCACATAATATAGTTTTTTGGTTGATTTGATTTAAAAGGAATTTAAATAACTTTTTTGTATTAAGAATTGAACTATTTGGTGGTCGGTAAATGTTTATAATGTTAATTTCTTTTTCAAGCAATAATTTTATATGTACAATCTCTGATTGGAATTTAGAGCCAGAGAAAATTATTTTAAAAGGTATGTTATTTTTTACTAGGATTGCCGATCCTCCGCCTCTTTTTTCTATTCTATTAGCTAATATGACTTCATAATTACCCATATGTGATAGTTCAGAATTTATTATATTATCTGTTTTGAGCCACGTTTCGTTGATTAATATCAGCTCTGGGTTAGAATTTTCAATCAAATAATTTAAATCTGGTATTTTATTGGCAAGCGACCGAGAATTGAATAATATACATTTATATGAGTAAATATTTCCGTTTGTTATTTTTGTTTGTGGTTTGCCTGCGTACCCCTATTTATTTTTAGTTGCCCTGAGCGGTTGTGGTTTTTTAAGTGTAATGATTGACAGATCGACAACAATGTACTTAAACATGTTCTCGACCTGATTCATAGAAAATGCTTGCTTACGCAAGTTATACAAAATATTTAATTCGTTTCGAGTCATATCACGTCTAGCAGTTAAAAACTGCGGTAAAGATGGATTTTGCTTAAGACATTTACGAAAATTATAAAGAAAAATATCCCTAGATTTTTTATTGTTAAATGGGATTTTGACAATTCTTGGTTTCTTATTTACAACATTTGATAACTCACGAGATGGATGTCGATGTATGTCATTTTCCAAAAGATCAGAAGATACTCCGCAATCTGAAGCAATTTTTTTAACTAAAGAAGTGATGTCAACATTTTCAGGAGCCCGTTCAATAACAACTCTTTTTGATTTAGACTTGATTTCTTCGGCGTCCAAAATAGCGTTGTTTATGATATTGGTCAAATGAGATTGTTCTAAAGAATTATGTTGTTTGTTGCTAGCGGAAAAAGGGTCTCCAAATCGATATTTAGTTTCTGTTGTTTGTTGTTCTGGTTCATTTGTAAGAATATCCTTACAAAGTTCCATTACAGAATTTACAATTTCAAGCATTGCTGAGGCCCAAGGTGGCATGTCGTTAGAAAATTGTTCGGAAAAATTAGAAAGTTTTTTGTTTAATTGATGTAGTTTTAATTTTTTGTTGTTAATATTCGAAGTAGTGAGTGGTGTTGACATTGATGTTAAATTATCGATTTCCATAAGTTTTTTAACTTTTTTCTTAAACTTTTCTACTACTTTTTTTCAAATCTTTACTTAAAATCCTCAAAATAAAATATAGCTAAAATATTTTATTTTTTAGCTAAATCGATTGATTAGAAACGGATTTTATTTTGCGGTAAATATTAGAAAATTTAGAAAAAGCATGGGATATTTTTAGATGAAATTTAAGCAAAGAGAGAGAGAAATGAGGCGCAAAAGAAGCTTTTAAACGTTAAAAGCTAAAGAGATTTTCCTCTTTCTCTTGCCTTTTTTAAGGGATAAAGCGCAGACTTAATAATCGATGCTTTAAAAATAGTGAAATCAGTAAAGCAGTAAAAAAGTGTCTTGATAACAATTAGCAAGTTAGCTGCTTCAATAAACTGTTAGCAGCTTCATTAAAAAACTTGAAGCATTAAAAACTTGAAGCAAAACTTAATTTGCTAACAAAATGTGTTTCACAAACTTTGTTTAGAAAATACAAACTTTATTCTAAACAAGTTGTATTTTACAAACCACAAACTTTTTTCAAAACAAGTTTTAAGTGAAATACAAACAAAATACAAACTTTTTTTAAATACAAACTTGTTTGCAACAAAGTTGTAAATAAAATATTAAATAAACTTGTTTGTTTAAAAACACAAATTTTATTCAAGTTGCAAACTTAAGTTTTCAAAACTTTAAGAACTTTTTTCAAGTTTGCAAGTTTTTGTTCAAGTTTCCAAGTTTTCAAGTTTGCAAACTTGAATTGCTACAACTTTCTTTTCCCTATTTTTATTTATAAAATATTTTTATTTTTGTTTATTCATTGGCCATTTAAGCGGCTGTCACTAAACAAAATATATAAAGCTTTTTTAGAAATAAGGACACACAAAAAAAATATATTTTTATTTTCTTTTGTCTCATTGTCATTCTTTAATATATCCATGATATTCTTTCCCCTTTTTATGTATTTTTTATTTTCAACAAAAAACAAAGTTTAAATGAAAACACATTTTTAGAAAATAAAATACAAACAAACTTTGTTTGCAACAAGTTGTAAATAAGATAACCAACTTGTTTGTTTAAACAATAAACAAACTTTAATTTAATAAAGTTTTATTCTTAACAGAAAAGACAAAAGAACAACAACAAAAACAACAACTCTCCCAAACATCCATCCCAACTTTTCCAACTTGTTTTGCTTCAACAACAACAAAAACAAATTTAAACTTATTTAAAAACTTTAAATTAAATGTTTTACTTAAAAAGAGAAATTTAAAATTAAAAAGAATGACAGAAATTAATTTAAAAGATTCTCAACAACAACAAGAATGTTTGGCTTTTGAACCTCAAAATTATCTCAAGGATAGATGCAAAAAATGTTTTAGACTAAAGTTTGTTGTTAAAAATTATTTTTAAAAATTATTTTTAAAAAATTAGGGATAAACACGAAAGTAATTTGCCCATTCGAAAGCCTACACTAGAACGAAAAGCTTCTTCAAGCAGTACAAGCAAAAGTGCTTCAGATGCAGCTAATGTCAAAACAACAAAATTAACAAAAACAAAGAGTAGCAACGCTACAACTTTGAACAATTCTGCTACTGCTTCAACAAAAAATACTGCTACTGCTTCCAACAATAATTTTGTTTCTGCTTCAAAAATTAATTCTGCTTCCGCCTCACAAAATAATTCAAATTCAGTTTCAAATAATTCTGCTTCTAATAATTCTGTTAGCAATTCATTATTAACAAAAAAGCACTCCCCTCCAACTAACAACAAATCTTCGCCCAAAAAGGTGTTAGCAACAAATACAGCTAACAATAAAAACAATATTCCGGTGCCTACAAATGTTGCTACAACTTTTCGAAGAATTCCAATTCAAAGAAGTTCTTCAGGTATGGAAGAAGAAATAACAGAGAAATCAACAAAATTAGTTAAAAATAAAAATAATTCTGATAAAAATTCTGATATTAGAAATCAGAATTCTGACAGCAACAATATTGATGAGAAAGTGAAGCAGAAGCCTATAGTAACTAAGCAAAAAGAGGAAAACAATAAGCAACAAAAAGAATTAAAAGAAGCCTCAAATGAGGTTGAAATAAATGAAGTCCTTCAAACTAAAAGTGACGAAAATAATAAATTGGAGGTTATCCTTTTTAAATGATTAATTTTTTAAAGTTAAAAACAGGTGGCTTTAAAGTTTAAATTATTCGATTTTTTGTTAAAAATATAAATTAAATTTTTTGTTTCTAAAAAATATCAGAATTTTAATAAACTTAAGAAATCAGAATTTAAACTTAAGTTGAATTTTAGTCAGAACATTAAAATAGAATTATCGAAAACTTAAGAAATCAGAATTTCGTAAACTTGAATATCAGAATTTTAGTAAAATTGCGTTAAATATTGTAAATATATTCAGAATTTTGTAAGCTTAAATTATCAGAATTTTGGTAAACTTGAGAATCAGAATTTAAGCTTAAGTTGAATTCTGTATAATTAATTAGTCAGAATTTTGATAAACTTAAGAAATCAGAATTTTCGTAAACTTAAGTTATCAGAATTTCGTAAACTTAAATATCAGAATTTTAACAAACTTAAGCAAACAGAATTTTAGTAAACTTAAGAAATCAGAATTTAAACTTAAGTTGAATTTTAGTCATAACTTTAAAAATCAGAATTATCGCAAATTTAATATCAGAATTTTAATAAACTTAAGTAATCAGAATTTTATTAAATTAAACAGAATTTAAGAAAACTTAAGTAATCAGAATTTTCGTAAACTTAAATAATCAGAATAATTTTTTCTCTTTAATAAATTAGATAAAAACAATTATAATGACACCAACAACATCAAAAACCAGAAGCAACAAATCAGAATTAAAAGAACCAGAAACAACAAAAACGTTAGAAACACCAAAAACATCAACATCCTCCTCCTCTTCTTCTTCCTCATCTTCAACAACAACAACAGTATTACTCCCTAAACAAAGAAGGCAAATAAGCCAAATTAGTGGGTCTAAAAGCTATAAGGAGGCAAATAATGGATTGCTTCAAAATGAGAATATTTGCGAAGCTGAGGTGAAAAGTGAAGCAAATAACAACGAAGCAATACTTAATAAAATTGGAAATAATTTTACTATTGTAGTTGAAGAAAATGGAATTAATAAAGAAAGAAATCGAGAAGGTAACTAAAATAATCAAAAAAATTTCCAAAAAAAATTTTCAAAAAATTTCCAAAAGAATTTTAGAAAATTTTTCAAAAAATTTTTAGACGATGTAGACGAAATTCTCTCCCTTTGTTCTTACAAAACAGCGAATTCACGCCTCGCGAATTCCTCTTCCCCTTCAAACTTCCCAGTTTCTGCTAACAATGTAAACGGAAACGGAAGCAATGGCCATTCACAAAGTGAAATGTTTAGTGCCCAATCAGTAAAAAAATTTTTTAAATTAATTTTATTTTTAATTCACTTAAAGATTGACAGTCTAAACAGTATTTCATTTGCTGATTCCTACAAAACAAGTTTAAGAAGTCCTCCGCCATTTTTCGACAACGACGATGACTTTTTAACACCTACAAGTACAATGGATGGACACTTTTTTAATCAGAATATTTATAATAATTTTATTAATCAAGTGCAAGATGAAAATGAAGAACTTGGAGAATTTGATTCTAGAGCTAGAACGCCGACTGCTAAAGTATTTTAATTAAAGGAAAAATTAAAAATCAGAATTTTCATAAACTTGAGAAATCAGAATACTGAAAATATTAAATAATCAGAATTTAATTAAATTTAAGTATCAGAATTTCCATACACTTAAGTAATCAGAATTTTAATAAATTAATCAGAATTATCGGAAACTTAAGTGTTCAGAATTTTCATACACTTAAGTAATCAGAATTTTAATAAACTTAATCAGAATTATCGGAAACAAAATGTTCAGACTTTAAGTAAATAAGATCAGAATTTTCATAAACTTGAGTAATCAGAATTAAAAATATTAAATAATCAGAATTTAAATAAACTTAAGTAACCAGAGTTTTCGTATACTTGAGTTATCAGAATCTTAAAAATACGCACCAGAATTTTTATAAACTTAAATATACTTTCTATTCTCTCTATTGTAGAGTCATACACTCGACTATGACACGCTGCAATTGGAGAATCAACGTTTAACAGAAAAATGTCGCCGTTACAAAAATGAACGGCAAAGGTGGACAGAATGGTTGGCAAGAAGGGCAACAACAATATCAGGAACAACAACCCCAACAAATGGAAAAGACCCAAAATTGCAAATTGAAAATAATAATTTAAATGCTTTACAACAAAGAAGGCAACGTCAACAACAGCTAGCGGTAGATGCATTAGCAGAGCTGGAATCTATTGTTAACGAATATCGAGAAGAAAATGTTGCTTTAAAATCAGAATTGCAACAGCAACTTAGGGTTAGATAAAAATCAGAATTTCTGATATAATACATCCTAGAATAAAATTAGAATTTAAAATCAGAATTTTTGGAAATCAGAATTTTAAAGTCACAATAAAATTAAAAATCAGAAATATAAAACCAGAATTTTCAAAAATCAGAATTTTCAGAAATCAGAATTACTAAAAATCCGAATTATTTAAAAATCAGAATTATAAAATCAGAATTATAAAACCAGAATTTAGGAACAAAATTTAAATGCCCGTTCATTTAACCACGAACAACAACTTACTGAACAACTAGTTTCCGCCGAACTAATAAACGCCCAATTAAGACAAGAACGGGATGAATTGCAGCAAGAGATTGATGAGATTCAAGTAGTTACAAATTACAATTTGTAAAAATTATTTTTTAAAGGATCAATGTCGAATGGAAGAAATTGAAGAATTTCGAGAATTACAACGTGAATTGGATCTTAACGCAAAGAATTGTCGAATTCTGCAGTTTAAATTGAGAAAATCAGAAAGGCAGAGAGAACAATTACAAGCTGAAAGGTGTGTGCTTGTATCGAGATGTGAGGAACTGCTTGATAAAAATAATAAATTAATTAAAAATGAAGAAAAAAGTGAAGAGGAAAAATCAGAAGAAATATCAGAAGAACAAAAATTTGCACAAATGGAACAAGAATTACACGTTGCAAAACAAATTTCAATAAAATTACAAAATGAATTAGAAGCAGCAGAAGAGCGTCGCTGCCGTCTTGAAGACGAACTTTTTTACAATAGGGAAAAAGTTAGGGAACTTCTTGCGCAAAATAAGTGGAGGGAAGCGAAGAATAATAGGGAACAACAGCAAAATATAGTGAGGAATTAATTAAACTTTTTTTACAAATATGAATTACAAATTGTAAAAAGTTCTAATTATTTTTTACAATTTGTAAAAAAAGTTTTATTTATTTTACAATTTGTAAAATAGGTTTAATTCCTTTTACAATTTGTAAAATAGGTTTAATTCCTTTTTACAATTTGTAAAATAGGTTTAATTCCTTTTTACAATTTGTAAAATAGGTTTAATTCCTTTTTACAATTTGTAAAAAGGTTTTAATTATTTTTTACAATTTGTAAAAAAGTTTTAATAATTTTTTACAATTTGTAAAAAAATTTAATTCCTTTTTACAATTTGTAAAATGTTCTATTTATTTTTACAAACTTAAATTACAATTTGTAAAATAATTAAAATTTAACAATACACTATCAGAGACCAAGAGGTGAAGCTCTAATAATCTCCTCAGCCGCTTTAATGGTTGATGGAAGCAGCCATGTTAGTGCCAGACCTGAGCATTTTGAGGAGGAAGAAGAACCAAAAGAGGTAGCAGAAATACAACGAGAAGTTAGGGATTCGATGGAGCGTGAAGCTGATTTGAGAGAACAATTAAGATTCACTGAAGCTGATTTACAAAGAACTAGAAACAGAATGAGAGAATTGGAAACTGAAAATGATGATTTGCTACAAAAGTATACTCGGTTGGCAGATCAACAAGCACAAAATCTGTCAATGCTTCCGGGAGGCTTATTAACCCCTAAAAGGCCTAGTCTTTTTAGAAGCATTAGGCAAGTTTTAAAAAATTACAATTTTAAATTACAATTTGTAAAAAGTTTTATTACAATTTTAATTAATCTTTCCGAAAAGTTTTCCTGAAATTATATTTCAAGTTTTATTTTTTACTTTTGTAATTTTCAATTAAAGTTTATTTATTACAAATTGTAATTACAATTTACAAATAAAAATAAATATTTTTAATTTATAGTGAGGGCAATGATTCTAAAATGTTAACAAAAGGAATTATTAGCGGTAATAACCGGCTTAATCAAGGAGAGCAATCGCCCAAAAAATCTCAAAGAAGTGCTTCTCATTGGTAAAGCTAACCTAACCTTTTAAAAAAATTTTTAAATTATAGTAATGATACAAAAGAGGCTAGCGAGATAATTAGAAGTGTAGGGAAGGAAGACAATACAATTGTAGATGTAAAAATTTTTTTTTATTTTTTTATGAAGCAAAAATTTTTTAAAGACGGAACAACTCTGCTACATGTTAGCAGCAATGGATGCCCAAGCAAACCGAATTTGTAAACAACTCGAAAAAATAGAAGGAAGTGGAAACAAGGAAGAAAGACGTCGTTCACTTAAGGGAGGAGAAATTGCTTCAGTTTTGGAAGAATTAGCTAGGCTTTTGAGTGAAATGAAAGCAATTAAAGAACAATTGGCACATTCTCAGAATGTAAATTTTAAAGGAAAATTCTGAAAAAAATAAATTTTCTGACAGATTTCCCTAACAAAATCAATGATTCTTGGAAATGTATTAGGCGATAACAATACTAATGATTGTGGGAAATCAAAACAGGAATTTGAAGATGGATCTAGTAAACCTGTAGGGAATTGTGTGTGTACTGTATGTGAGGAGAAGGAGAGAAAAATTCGTGAATTTGAACAAAGTTGCGATTTTTACAAAAGAAAAAATGGGGAATTGACTGAACAGGTAAAAATTAAATTTACAATTTTACAATTGTAAAATTTATAAATTTAATTTGCAAGGTTTTACAAATGCGCGATCAGTGGGCTAAAGAATTACAAAAGGCTGAAGAAGATGCTAACACTCAAAAAGCTTTAGCAGAAAAAGAAACAACTAGTTTGCGAAATGCTCTTGATAAACAAATTACGGAAACACAATCGGCTAGGGATTTGTTAGAAAATATACGTGCAGAAAATGTTACACTCCGAAAGGTAGATTTACAATTAAAAATCAGAATTTAAAATCAGAATTACAATTATAAAGATAGGGTGAAAAGAGTTTTACAAATTGTAATACAAAATGTAAAAAGGCTTTAAAAAAGTTTACAAATTGTAAAAAAAGTTTAAAAAATTTGATGAACATTTTACAATTTGTAAAAAGTTTAGAAAAAAGTTTTACAAATTGTAAAAATGTTTCAAAAAAGTTTACAAATTGTAAAAAAAGTTTGAAAAAAGTTTTACGATTTGTAAAAAAGTTTTAAAAAAGTTACAAATTGTAAAAAAGTTTAAAAGGTTTAGTAAACATTTTACAAATTGTAAAAAGTTTAGAAAATAGTTTTACAAATAAAATTACAACTGCGTGCTAAAAATTTACAATTATTATTTAAAACTTTTTCTAGGCAATGGCAGAACGCGAAGCAGAATTATCTCAAGCAAAAGAAAAGGCTGGAGGGTTAGAAAAAGGATTAGATCAGAGTCGGATTTGGGAGTCCCGTTGTAAAGAAGCTAAAGCAGAACGGATAAGATTACAAGCAGAACTGACACAATTAAGAATGAGAACAGACGAAGCTTTGCAAGAATTGGGTAAACAAAAATTCGAAGAAATTCGAAAAATTCTAAAATAATTTATTTTTTAAAGAAAAAATGCGCGCAACACACCAACAAAAAGAGATTGTTTGGATTAGAGAAAAATTAAAATTGGAAGATTTATTAAAACAATCAAAACAACAGCACCAACAACTCTCTTCCCCAAAAACATCCATCGAAAAAATAATTCCAGTTGTTGTTCAAATGTCAAAACCTAGCGTGAATATGTGTTGTTCGCCTAGCAAACAATTGGAAAGACAAACTGATTTAGTTGAAAATAATAATGTTAAGCAGGAATGTGTGAAAGTTGATTACAAACAGGTAAAAAGTGTTGGGAAAATGTTTGGGGGTAAATGTTGAGGAGAAATGGAAATTTAAAAATCAGAATTTGAAATTACAAATTGTAGAAAAAGTTTTAAAAATAGTTACCCAAATTGTAAAAATATTTAAAAAAAAGTTTTACAATTTGTAAAAAGTTTTAAAAAAAGTTTTACAAATTGTAAAGAAGTTTAAATAAGTTTTACAAATTGTAAAAAAGTTTTACAAATTGTAGAAATAATAAAAAAGGGTTTACAAATTGTAAAAATAAAAAAAGAAAGTTTTACAAATTGTAAAAAAAGTTCGATATGGTTTTACATATTGTAAAATGTTTAAAAAAGTTTTACAAATTGTAAAAGGTTTTAGAAATATTTTTACAAATTGTAAATAAGTTAAGAAGGGGTTTACAATTTGTAAAAAAATTAAAAATGTTATTACAAATTGTAAATATGTATGTATTCAGATAGCAGACAATGCCCTACGCGCCGCCGAATCATTACAGCGTCAATACAGAGAATATCAAAGCCATTATACCGCAGAAGTCGAAAGATTAAACGCCAGATTAAATAATTTAGAACGAGAACAACACCAAAAACGATTAGAAAAGTGTGAAGAAAAGAAGTTAAATCAGGCTTTTCCTACTTTTGGTTTACAAGTGAATAGAATACCCATGGCTGAGGTTCCAAAAAAATTTTTTTTTCGTAAAAAAATTTTTTTAAAGAGCCCTTCAATGAGTTCACTAACCGAAAACACAACTTGGGATAGTCGTCTACTAGACTGTTCAATGGCACGCTCAGTTTCCCCTTTCAAATTCCCTCGAGGAGCATGTACTACCCCAACATCAGTGAAAGCTTGCCGAATGGATAACATTTTGTTTAGAAGTCAAGGAGCAGAAAAAATAATTTCTGGCGAGTTTGGAAGTGATGAAGACAGTACTGCTATGGCTGCGGCAAATGCTGCTGCTAGTACTAATAAAGCTCATAGAGAGTATAGAAGGACGAGCAGTTCAGGTAGTTAAATGAACAAGAAAATTTAACAAAATGGGGGAAATAAAGACGAACTATCGCTATAAGAAACACCCAATACTGGATACACACATTTACTGGATACCTTCTATTTAAGAGACACCTAATTAAAAGATACCCCCAGCCTCCTTATAAGATACCCCAATGAATCTCACTTTACTAGGGTGATCATTTCACCTTACTAGGGTACCCTCTATTTAAAAGACACCCATTATAAGACACAAAATCTTCATCCCTAAGGGTGTATCCAAAAACGAGGTTCGACTGTACCAAAAATTCAGTCAAAATATTTGAACTCAAAAAAGTGCAGAGACGCAGAGAACTTTGCGTTTCTCTAACGTTTAAATTAAAAAATAAAATTTCTCCAAAGGAACCAACATTCTTTACCGAATACGACGTGAAGAACTTTCCAAAGGAAAATGCCCCTCAGTTCGGCAAATGGCCAAGGCATTCGACTCTTTCGAACAAACACGGTTAAATGAAAAAGAAGCAGCTGCAGAAGAATCGCGTAGACGTAAAGAGTAAGTAAACAAGCAAAGGGGAAGTTGAGGGTGATTTTCAAATATTTTTCAGGGAAAAATCAAACAAAACAAAAAATTCTTCGGGATTATTTGGACTGTTAAACAAAGCATCTTCAATGGACCAATCCCTTTCAAGTGCTGGTAGAAAATTGCCCCCATCAAAGGCTAAAGCTAAACGACGACCTAGCGATCACCAAGCGGCAGCATTACAAAATGAACTGTTGCTAACGAAAAATAATAGCGGGGAGATTGCTCCACGTGGAGGGAGGAATCCGTTTAAGGTGAAATATAATTTTGGATTTAATCTGGACAAAATTTCTGAGAAATTTTATTAAAAATATAGTAAAGTAAGGGTGAAGGGAGATCCAACTAGCTAGCATTAAAACGCTTACTAGGCAGGGGTTTAATGAAGCGTATGGTAGGGATGAGAGCATATGTAGTAGTAGAAAGAAGAGGGGAGTAAGTAGAAGGATGAGGGGAGTAAGTATGCCTCAAAGGTATTGTAGGTATCCCCTCACGGAGCAGCTCAACTGAGTCCGCACGATTGAGTCCCCACGATTGAGTCCGCACGATTGAGTCCCCACGATTGAGTCCCGGCACAATTGAGTCCCCGTTGTATATACCTCAATTGAGTCCCCGTGGATTTAATTTTAAAAATTCCATATCCTGCATTAGAGATCGGCAAAATCGCATTTCCGGGATCCCGTAACGGGATTGAGTTTGAAAATATCGAACGGGAGGGATCCCGCGGGATTAATCCCGGAGTCCCGGTAATCCCGTTCTCAAATTTACCCGGATCCCGCGGGATTCCGGGATTTTAATTTAAAAAATTTTTTAATTATAAATATGTTGAATATCGTCGGATTTGGAAATAATATCGGTGGATTTCGACAGATTAAGGGAGGAATTAATAGATAACAGAGGATTAAGAGGGATATCAGTGGATTAAGAGAGATTAAGAGCATTTTAATGCTTATAGGTAGATTTAGGAGGATATCGGTAAATATTTGGAGAGATAAAGGGTGATTTGAAGAACGGTGGGAAATCCCCAATCCATTATATACCTCTTAATCCATAACTCCCTGACAACCCTATTTTTCTCCAAATCCCTCTTAATAATCGTAATCCATGCACCACATGCAAAGCTTTTCGAATTTTGAAAGGAGAAGCCAATGGAAGGCTAAGAAGGAAGGCTAAGAAGCCAGCTTTCTTCCATTTTAGTGTATTTTGGAAGCCCAAGTCACTAGATTTTTCATATTTTAGCGCCGCAGGCGAAAATTTTGAGAATTTTGGAAGGCCAGGAAGCCAGATTTCTTCCTTTTTCAACGCCGCAGGCAGTTTAATGGAGTAATTATAAATCCCGTAAATTTGAAAAAAATTCCCGGGATCCCGTAACAGAATTGAGAGAGACCCCAAATACCCTGCGTAGCAGCACAAAAAAAGTTTCCATCGAAGATTCAGTTGAATAATTATGTTCAATATCATCCAATCGAGCTGATTTTGGTATCACTCAACTCAGCTCGTCGAGTCCTTTCGAATGAGCTATTTTTTGTTTATTCGAATGTTTCGCAACAAAAATTCCCCATGGATGACCATTTCGAGCCCCATATCTCGGCGAGAACTTGTTCAACCATGTTGATTTTCGTGTCATTCGACTCACTACTTTCGAATGAGCTGTCATTCAAAAAATCTCTCGATATCCCTCCTAATCCCCAAACCCACAATATCCATCTTAATCTCTCCAAATTTGTTGATATCTGCCTTAATTCAACCGATATCCCCGCTTAAATCTACTTATATCCCTTGATATTCACCAATATCCATCTTGATACCTCGATGTCGCATACAAGTCCCCTGATATTAACATTAATCCCATCAAATCCCCAAATATCCCTCTTAATCTTTTTTAATATAATTAAATCCAGGGGACTCAATTGAGGTATATACAACGGGGACTCAATCGTGCGGACTCAATCGTGGGGACTCAATTGTGCCGGGACTCAATCGTGGGGACTCAATCGTGCGGACTCAATCGTGGGGACTCAATCGTGCGGACTCAATTGAGGTGTACCGATCCCCTCATCTTAATAGGGATGAGGAGACTTATTTGTCAATTAAAGAAGGCGAAAATTAAAAAGAAGGCGAAAACAGAGCCTCGGTAGGCCTTCGGTGAAGACCTGTACGTAGTGGGTGAAGCGCCCAGCAAAAACTGCCTTAAAGTCGCAGGAACATGACTCCTGAAGCTAAACTTTTACCTCTCTTAAATTTTAATAAATTTGTTTATTTTACAGGGAATGGGTTCACGCCTTGTTGAACGTGTCAGACGTTCTCTCTCTCGGACTGGAAAAAAGCGAAGTCACAGTAGGGATGAGGGGACTCCCTTGTCAATGAGTTTAGTTGCAGCAACCGGCAATGAAACAACTACTTTAATGTCTTCATCGACAGCCGCGAGTATTAATGGATAAACTTTGTTGATTTTAATGTTTAAGTCTCTACATATTATCCCAAAATTGTTGCCTAATTTTTGTTTTATCTTGTTTTTTTAACATTTTTAAAGTGCCTTTTGCCTTAATTTTAACAATAATTCCCTCCTAAAATAAATTTTGCTCAAACAAATAAATTTTAAAAAATTTTCTTTTTTATTGTCACCCTTCCCTTGCCAGCTTTACCCTTGTCAGTCTTCCCTTGCCAGCTTTCCCCCCTCGAAAAAAGCTCAAAACCCCTATAACAGATATGTATTAAAAAATAGACTCACTTCCATCCACTTTAGTCCACACCGGGCAGGTTCCAGGCCCTCCAGTTCCAGGACTTGTAGGTTTACAACATTGAGTTCCAAAACACTTGTGGTTCATACTTAGACAATTAACCATAGCACCACAGTCTTAAAATTTTTTTTTAATTCCTAAGAAAAAAATGGTTATACTTCCATCAGCAGACCACCCCATCGGACATTGTTGGACATATTGACCATCCACACTTTCAAACAATTTAATTAATAAATAAGTAAAGACTTTAAGTATTTCAAGCTTATTGTTGAGAAGTTTTATTTTAGGAAAATTTATCGGGTTTTTAGGCATTTGGGCATTAGTAAAATTTAATTGGGAAAGAAATAAGGATAAAATTAATAATGTTGGAGTTTGTTGGGTTTTGAAATTTAGAGAAAAAAATTTAACCAAAAAAATTATTTAGTTAATCAATTCCATAATAATTTTTTATTATAAAAAAATTTAGAAAAATTTAATTTTGGATGGAAACTGGAAAGAATAGCTGTGTAAATAAATTAGAATTTTAAAACATCGATAAGGCAAAAAATATCTCTCAATAAAAATAAATTAATGAGACAATGCATTTTTTACAAAAGTTTATAGTATTCAAGTTTATCAAATCAAATCACACAAAGTATGACACCCTTTTAAATTTATTAAAATTTGTTTCGTAAATTTCACTCTAGCCATTGCAAAGTCCACATGTTTTTGGACATGTATATTTAAACTGCATGTCAGTACAACCTGCCGATGATTGTGTTGAGCAGTATTGCTGCTCTCCGGCAGCACAGGCTAAAAAATTATTTTGAGTTTTGAGTTAATACATTTTTTCAATACCTTGCTGTAGTAAGGACGGATCAATTCCACTCATTGCGCTACCACCGCCAGGAAATGATCCCATTTGATTGGAATACCTAAGTTTGCGTTATATCAAATGTAATAACAAGTTGTAACAAACTGTAGTGGAAAGCCATTAGCCCCTGTTTGTGGGATGTTATTTTGTGGCATAAATCCAGCACCGCTTCCTCCAATGCCAGATGATGGATTTCCCATACCGCCGTACATTGAAGCTGGATTAACATATTGTGATGCCGGATTTCCCATACCGCCGTACATTGATGCTGGATTAACATATTGTGATGCCGGATTTCCCGTACCGCCGTACATTGATGCTGGATTAACATATTGTGATGCCGGATTTCCCATACCGCCGTACATTGATGCTGGATTAACATATTGTGATGCCGGATTTCCCATACCGCCGTACATTGATGCTGGATTAACATATTGTGATGCCGGATTTCCCATACCGCCGTACATAGATGCTGGATTAACATATTGTGATGCCGGATTTCCCATACCGCCGTACATTGATGCTGGATTAACATATTGTGATGCCGGATTTCCCATACCGCCGTACATAGATGCTGGATTAACATATTGTGATGCCGGATTTCCCATACCACCGTACATTGATGCTGGATTAACATATTGTGATGCCGGATTTCCCATACCGCCGTACATTGATGCTGGATTAACATATTGTGATGCCGGATTTCCCATATTGCCGTACATTGATGCTGGATTAACATATTGTGATGCCGGATTTCCCATACCGCCGTACATTGATGCTGGATTAACATATTGTGATGCCGGATTTCCCATACCGCCGTACATTGATGCCGGATTAACATATTGTGATGCCGGATTTCCCATATTGCCGTACATTGATGCTGGATTCCCATATTGATATCCCATTCCGTATGGTTGATTTCCCATTCCGTATGGTTGATTTCCCATTCCATATTGTGATCCCATTCCGTATGGTGCTTGATTTCCCATGCCAGCTCCATTGCTAACAATCATCTGTCCATTTGCAGTGTAAAGTGGCTGTCCGTTTGAATATACAGTTTGGCCATCTGCAGTAATCAGCTGTCCATTCATCGTAAAAATAGGAAGTCCTGCAGTTGTATATGCAGGCTGTCTATTAGAGGTGAAAACAGGTTGCATGCCAGGAGGTTGAGCACCAGGCATTTGCGGATTAGTTGGGTTATTAGGAATAGGATTAGGCATATACAAATTTGGATTCGAATATTGATTATTAGGAGGAACATTTGGATTAAAAGGCACGTTTGGATTAATTGGGTTATTTGGATTGTTTGGATTAATTGGGTTATTTGGATTGTTCGGATTGCATGTATACATTGATGCTGTCGCTATTGTTGGCATGCTGTATTTGCCGCAACATTCTCCTTTGATACAAGTTTGGTCGTATGTTATACAAAATCCCTTGACAGAACAACCTTAAAGTTTGATTTTAGCTATAGAATTTTGTTTTAACCATGGTTATCTTTAATGCTCCCGAGTGGACAATAAGTCTGTTCACATTTGCCATTGATAGGATTCTGCACAAATTTCAATTTCGCTTGTTCTGCTGACATTTGGCCTTAAAAGTAAATATAACCTTTAACCATTAATATTAAAACAAACGAACAACAAATGCCTGAGACAGCAAGTTGACTCTTCTGTATACATCCACCAAACGTTGTACCTATGTAAATTAAATTAATTTTATAATTTAACAAGATCAAATAAAATATTTTTACGTCCATTTGGTTTCCAGCCGTCAAAGCATGGAGGAGCATTTGCAGAAACTAAATTTAATAAAATGCCAAGGAGTACAAGTATCGCCAAAGAGATAATCATCTTAAATAGGCTAAATTAATTTTAAAATTTTATATAATCGATGAAAAAACTATGGATTAAAAAATAATTTGTTAGTTACAGGCAACATTGAAGCAAAACTTTAAACCCTATGATAATTTAGAGAGGAGAGGGAGAAGACTGGTAATATTAAAAAAAATGTTTGCTTAATTTACAGGTGTGGAATATTTAAAATTTAAATATTTGAGAAATAAATTATGCAAGGTCTTAAAAAATAAATAGAAGGGAATGAATTGAATTATTGAATGAGTCTTACAATACATATTCCCAAGTATTTGAACTAGAGGTCGGCGAAATTGTGTTTGCGGGATCCCGCGGCCCGCAAATTGAATTAAGTGCGGGATTGGGGATGGGATCCCGCAAAATCCCGCGCGGGATCCCACGCGGATAAGAGATTCCAAAAGATTGAGAGCAACATCCATGAATTCTCTCCTTTAACAGTAAACAAAACTGTACTTGATGTCTAACGTATTCTTACCATTTAATTTTTAGACATTTTTAATAGTTGACACTTTGAAATTAATTTTTTTATTTTTTTGGCGTTATGTTATTTTTAATTTTTTTGAGAATTTTCGATCGATTTTGTGTTAAATTTTGCCTAATTTTCAATTTTTTAAAGATTTGTATTAGTTTTATAAACCTTTTTTTATTTTCTAGCATAAATATAATGAATTCTACAACTACTCAAAGAAAAAAATTGACGCTTAAAGTGATTCTGTTAGGTTCTAATTTTAATTTAATTTTTTAAAATTAAATTTTTTCAATTTTTAAGGAGAATCAGGTGTTGGAAAGACTTCAATAATTAATCGTTTTGTCAACAAAAAATTTTCAAATTGTTACAAAGCAACTATTGGGGTCGATTTTATGAAGAAACAAATGACGGTTGATGGGGTGGATGTGACGCTTCATATTTGGGATACTGCTGGGTTTGAGAAATACCAATCTTTGGGATCGGCTTATTACAGAGGGGCTGATTGTTGTGTTTTGGTAAAGAAATATTTTTTAAATTAATTTTTTGGGGGGTTTTCTCGTTAAGTTTTGCGGACAATTAATTCTGATAACGTGGGAAGCAAAAAACGGGTTGACTCGAAAACAAGCAGACCTATTAATTTAATCTGCTTATCGTAGTAAGGCCATACATTTATTCTATTATTTTCTCTAGAAATTTTTTCCCATAAATACTCAAAAAATTTTTGTCCGCAAGGTTTGTCCGCAAATATTTTTTCCTTAAAAATTTTTGTCCGCAAAGCTTGTCCGCAAAAATTTTTTTCGAATTTTTTCTATTAAATAATCTTTTACATCTTATTCTCTTCAGGTTTACGATTTAACCTCAGCTCCCTCTTTCCGTGCCATCGAAGGCTGGCGTGATGAATTTCTCGTTGTTTCAAATCCTTCAGATCCTGATGACTTTCCTTTTATGATTTTGGGGAATAAATTTGATTTGATGGATAAAAGAGCTGTGAGTTCTGCAAAAGCTGAGAATTGGTGTAGACAAGGAGTGAATATGAAACATTTTGAGGTTTTTTTGGAATTTTTAAAAATTTTTTCAAAAAATAGGTCTCGGCAAAGGAGGATTGGCGGTTGGACGAAGCTTTTAAAGAAGTTGTCCGTATGTGTTTATCTATGATGCGAAAAGGAGAAGAGGAATATCCAGGTTTTTATAAATTAAAAAAAATATTTTTGATCTTTTAAAAATTTCAAAAATTCGTTTTGTGGTTAAGTGGAATTTTTTACATTTAGGGGGTTAGGGGTTCGAATCCGCTCAGAGTCTAAATATTTTTTTCAACATTTTAAAAATATTTTTGATACTTTTAAACTTCACTTCTTTGTTTTTTAATCTCATAAAAATTTTTTTTAGATTTTCCTGAAAGAATTAATCTTCATAATCGAAGCAGTGGACAAGTGGATGAAGACGATGCGACGCCTCTGTGTAATCCGTGTTCTTACTCTTAAAATTAAAAGATAAAGGTATACATTATGTTTTTGCTTACAATCAGAATATTAAAACAATCTAACTAATTTTTGAATTTTTTTTGGGAAAAAATTTTTTGACTAAAAATTAAAAATTGTCTCCCAGCACAATTATCCAAGTATTTACCTATTTTCACTTATCTCAAAATTAAAAAAAATATTAAAATCTTCAATAAGCATATTTCTCAATAAAAAATGATTTAAAATTTTTTTTCAGGTGAAATTAAAATTCGAATACCCCCTCCTTTTTCTTTAAGTAACTTTGCTACCTTCCTCAACTTCCTTCCTACTTTACTTCCTCATTTTTTGGAAAAAATTTTTATAAAGGGTCAAGGTTCGAATCTACTCGGGGTCAAATATCCTTGGTTATCCATTTAACTTTGTATCTTTTTTCCTCATTGAATATAATCAGTCAATAAAGGATCGCTTCTTCGATACAATTCCGAGCCGACAACCCTGACCATTTTTAATACTTTGAGGATGGAAATAGGAGAGGGTATACGAACTGAAATTTTACCCTTTTTCAATTTATATTTTTGTCTAGATTTGATTTTTCTAAAAATTATTTTTTTAAATTTTCTCATTTTTTTATTAAAAAAATCCCATTTTTCAAGCCTATACATATGTATATTCTTCTCTTCTTTATTGTCATAAAATCTAATTTTATTTTATTAAATTCTCTACTTATCCATTTGACTTTGTATAATTTTTTTCAAAAAAAATTATTTTTAAATCTTAAAAATAAACTTGCATTTTTTTTTAATTTTTATTTATTTTTTGATGACTAATGGTTGTGATTAATCACCTCCCTTTTATTCTTTTTTTATATTCTTTGATTTCTTTAATTTTATTGAATAGTAACTAGAAAGAGGTGTGTCTAGTCAGACACAAAATGGGTAGTTATTTTACTGTTTTAGTCATATTTCTTTGAGAGGGGGGGGGGTGATTGGTGTGGGAGGTGTAGGGTTGGCTGAGAAAAAAAGTCGGCACTGATTTCTAATCTGGTTTCGGATTGAGTTTCGGATTTCGGCTCCTAAAAAGAATGAAGTTTCGGGTTTCGTATATTGGATTTGAATAACCCATGACCTCTCTGGTCAACGTCCTTTTTTAATAAAAAAATTTTTTTAGAGAAAAATGATGGAAAATAAAATATTTAAAAATATGTAAAATATGGCTATCAAGTATTTTTTTAATTTTTAATTAAATAAATTTTTTTCAGTTCCCAAACACTTAACGTCTTTCAATTAGGAATTGGGTTTTTCTTTGTTTTTCTTGCCTTCAATTCACAAGGATTTATTGAAGAATCTGTTCTAGATTCGTTTGTTGCACAAGGAGTGGTGAAAAGACATGATGGATATACCAGGTTTTGAACTTTTTTACTATTTTGAAATTTTGCTCTAAATTTGCGGACAAGGTTGTGTTGGTTGTCCGCAAAATTTTTGCGGATAAAAATTTTGTCCGCAATTTTTCGAATTGTCTCCAATTTTTTTTGAAGTGTTTGCAACTTTTTTTTGACTGTCCTCTTAATTTTACGATAAAATTTGGTCGATATTTTTTGCGGATTGTCCACAAATTTTTGTGGATAAAAATTTTGTCCGCAAAATTTTTTAAAATTTTTAAAATTTTTTTTTAAAATTCCCATCGTTTTTAGCCTAGCAATTATTTATGCTTCATTTACTCTACTCAATATAGCCGCAGCACCAATTGTGGGCATTCTTGGAACTCGTTGGGCATTACTTTTTGGAGCCTGTACTTATGCTCTTTTTCAAGCTGGCTTTTTATTTTTGAATCGTTTTTATTTATTTGGCTCTTCTGCCTTGCTGGGATTGGGGGCTGCTGGTAAATAATTTTTTGAAATTTTGAGGGATTTGAGTTTCACGAAATTTCGTGTCTTGTGAATTTTACGAAATTTCGTGTTTGCGAAATTTCGTTTTCTTCGTATTTCGTGTTTCGAGTTTTGTTTTCGAAAAAATTTTTTTAGTTTCTCTCGCTAATTCTTTTTTTAATTTCATAGTAATATGGACAGCCCAAGGAAAATATTTAGCACTCAATAGTCAACCAGAAACAGCAGGAAAACACAGTGGTTTATTTTGGGCATTATCCCAAGCATGGTAAAGAAAAATTTTTTTAAATTTTCAAAAAAAATTTTTTTCAAGTCAAGTCTGTGGAGGAATATTTTTATTAATTGTATTTTTACTTCATCAACATTCAAATCCGGAAGAACACTTTCGATTTGCAAGTAATTTTGCTCCATCAACAGTTAAATTACTTTATGCTGTATTTACTGGAATTACAGTTTTGGGTGCTCTAATTTTGGGATTGTTACCTTTAAATGGTGAAAATGTTGGGAATAATAGGAGAAGACATGGAGAAGGTTTTTTTGATTTTAAAAATAAGTAAGCTTATTGGTATTTTTTGTGTTTTTTTGAGTAGTTTTGCGGACATTTTTTTGCGGATTATCCGCAACTTTTTTGCGGACAAAATTTTTTGTCCGCAAATTTTTTTATTTAGCTGGACTGTTTGGAAACTGTTCATTGTCAGAATATTCAATAAATGCCAATATTTTTTTAAATAAATAAAAAATATTTTTAAAAAGATTCTCCTTCACCTTCTGAATTGCTTGATCCAATTATTAACCCAATTTCGAATCAACCAACTGGAGAAGCTAATATTCTTGATAATGGAAATGGAACTGACAATGAACCTAATAAGATTTTAACGTCTATTTTGTCTATGATTAGTAGGTTTATTTATTTAAATATTTTTTTAGTTTTAGAAAATTTTTTTGGGTTATATTTCTACAAAATTTTTGCGGATTGATTGCAACTTTGTCCGCAAATATTAAAAAAAAATTTTTTTTCTTAAGGGTTGATTTCAATTAAAAATATCTTCTTCGTTAAATTAGTTGTAAAAATTTCTTTTTTGATTGAGTGGAATATTTTACATTCAGTTATGGTTTTATAGTTATGGGTTCGAACCCTTTTCGGATCCAAATAATTTTTTGGCTTTTAAATATAGTATAATTTTTGATACTTTAAAGCTTTATTTTTTTTCTTTAAAGTCATAAAAAATTTTATTTTTACAAAAAATTTCAAAAAATTATTTGCGGACAAAGTTTTGCGGATTTTTGGACGAATAACTTTAAAACCCTCTATAATTATTTTTAAAAATACCAGAATCAACATTTATTCTCGCCAAAACATCAAAAATGTTGTTATTATCAATTCCGTTTATGTATACGGGCATTGTTGTCAGTTTTTGGAGTTCAATATATCCAACAAGTATAGCAAATACAGAACTATTTCAACTAAATCAAGGTGTTGACCCAAAGATTTTATTGGCATTAAATGCTATAATTCAAGGAGTTGGACAAAGTAGTGGTGAGAAAATATTTTTTAAATTTATATTTTGCATCTGGGCAGTAGAGATCGAGATTTTTGAAAAGCCTGTTTCTGCATTTCTGGTTTGATCTATTGAACTGTGCCGGATCCTGGGCATGTGGTTAAGAAAAAACCCAGGCCCAGGAAAACCCAGGAAGGTCAAAAACGGCCTCGGCCTGGACTCTGGGCACAGGAAAATCCCAGGCCTTGGTTCAGGTCCATCTCGATCTCTACTGAGAGAGTCCGCAACTTTTTGTCCGCAATTAGTTACCGTGGTTAAGTGGGTTACACTCCCGACCTGGACTTAATTGAGGGACTTCGGTTCGAAGCCTAGCGACAGTCGATGTTATCTGCTTTAGCGTAGTTCCTTAAACAGATCTAAAAATGTCCACTAAATTTTTTCAAAATCAAAAAATGACCGCAAATATAAAATTAATTATTTAAATATAGCCGGCCTTCTATTTGGAATATTTGGTGTTCGAACAACAAAAATACTTACAAAATCAAATATTGTTTTAATTGGCGCTTTATTACAATTATTAGCCTATTTTGCTATTTTTGCAAGTATTCCTGGAGATGCTTCATTAGGGAAAACACTTGAAGTAGGATATTTAATTTATCCAAGGTAGTTTCTTTTTAAAAATTAAAACTTGAATTTTACAATTTGTAAAAAAGTTCTTAAAACTTTTTTTACAATTCCAACTTCATTACAACCTATTAATAATTTAAAAACTTGTTTTACAATTTCTTGAAAATAAGCCTAATAAAACTTGGATTTAATTAAATTTGGATTTACAATTCCAACCTTTTTAAAACTTGATAGTCAATTAAAAACTTTTTTTACAATCCTCTTTTTAAATATTCCCAACTTTTTTTTTCTTCCTTTAGAATTTGGATAGCTTTACTTTCTGGATTTTTAATTGGTTTTGGCGATTCTTGTTGGAATACACAAATATTTTCTCTATTAATTTCTCATTATTCACAACATCAAAGTGCTTCAGCCTTTTCTCTATTTAAATTTTACCAATCATTGTTAACTTTTTTGGCATTTTTATATGCTTCTCTACTTTCTCTATATTGGCATTTATTATTTCTTTTTGTTGGTTCAATACTTGCTTTGTTTAGTTTTATTTTTGTTGAAAGAACAAGTCAACAAACAACAAATAATGTTGATATTTCTGAAGAACAACAACATGATATTAATTAATTAAATTTGGATTTTTTACAATTTTACAATTAATAGATAAGTAAAACTTTTTTTACAAATTATTATTCAATTAAAACTTTTTTTTTACAATTGTACAGTTATTAGCTATTTTATTTAAAAAAGTTTTATTAATAAAACTTTTTTACAATCTATTAATAATTAAAAAACTTTTTTACAATTGTAATTTATTTAAGCTTGTTTTTACAATTAAATGAGGTTTTTAATTAAAAAAAGTTTTTTTTTAATTAAAACAAACTTGTTTAACAATTCCAACTTTTTTTACAACTTATTAATAATTTATAACTTGTTTTACAATTTTTCAATTCTTTTATTTTTATATTACTGTTCAAGTTTGATTAAACTTGAATTTTACAAATTTAAAATTAAACTTGTTTTACAATTATTTCCTTTTTCTCTTCTTTTTTATTTTTATTTTCTCTAGCCTCTTTTGATTTACAAAAGCATATCATTTTAATTATCTAGATAATTGTAATTTCAGCATAATATATCTAAAATAAATATTTTTTAACACTGCTTGTTTTCAAAATTTTTTAAAAAATTTCTCTATTTCTTTGTTAGTTCATTTCATTGTTTTAAAAACAATTCCCATGACAACATAAAAAAAGAATAAAATAATTAAGTATAAATTGGGGAAGCCGATGGGTCTACTTAGGTTTTCTTTGAGTTCTCTAAAATTGAAAAAAATTTCTTCTTATATCCTTTTATTATCTCCTACTCCAAGTCTTGTCCGTTCTCCAATCGTAATTCGCTCTTAGAATTAAAAAATAATTTAAAATATAAAATAATGAATATTAATGAAAGCCAGGAGGAAGAATCTTTAGTTGTTGTAGATACTAATAATCAACAACAACAACAAAGCTCTTCACCCCATTTTGGTGAAGGTCAACAAGGGTTGGCTGAACAAGTAGATTTTCTTTTATTAATTTAAAAGAGAATTTCTATTTGAAGTCCCGCCCCTGGTCATTACAATCGTCTCTGAGTGCTGCTTCGTCCGATCCAGCAGTCAGAGTTTTGGGCACTCCAATAAGTGACATATCTGAAGATGAAAATCAGAAGCCTAGAATGCTTGTTGATGCTTATGGGAAGAGAATTGATGAAGAGGAGGAAGAAGAAGAGAGGGCAAGCCTGAGGGATTTTGAGGAACAGGAAAGACAAATTGCTAGGCAATTGGCTATTGAGGATGAAGAGAAAGTTGGAGGAGGGGAGGGGAAGGAGGTTGAGGAGGAGGAGGAGGAAGAACTGTTAAGTGAGTTTTTAATCTTCTAAGGACCAAGAAGATTAAAAAGAGCTTTAGGGTATATGACTCGTTTTTACTTGGAAGCCTTGAAAATTCTGGTTATATAAGTGCGAGGTTCAAGGTGTTAAGTTCTGAAAATCTGGTCATAGACATGGTCAATGCCATCCCCCGTCTTAACTAAAAAATGAATTTTGATTTCTAAAAAATGTTATTTTTTGAGATTTGTAGGTTGTTTAATAGCGGCATTTGTCATTATTTTAATGCTGCTATTTTTGGAAGGCTTTTTAAGGGTAATTCCTAAAAAAGGGTATATTATCGTTGCCTAGGCAACAATATGTATTAAAAAACTTGAATAAGCTGGAAAATAAATGGAAATAATCTAAAGTCGAAGAATCAATCAGATTAAACCCTAAAAATTTCAAAAAAAATTTTTTTAATGCTAGAAAATCCGCAACAACAACTACCCCCTCAATCACCCCCAATACCCACACATGCTCGTAACCTTTTCCCAGAATCATTGCAGAATCGTCAGTTTAACTCTTCCCAGATTTTAAATGATGAGAGTTGTAGTAACAGCATAATTGAAGAAGATAGACAACAACATGTTGGGGACGTTCAGAGGTCTCCAACAATTTCTAATCGTTCATCTCCAGGTGAATTATACGGGTCGAAAGCTCTATTTAAGCTATACCCTCTATTTAAGCGGCACCTTCCGTAAGCCAGCCACTGGGTAGAGGAGCTTTGAAGGAGATACCCTCTATTTAATAGACACCTCATTATAAGGTCAAAATTTTTTCTCGATAACAAAAGGGTGTCTTTAGTGAGATCCGAGCTAAAATGAGCATAAAAACAATTTTCTAAATAAATTCAATTTCTAGTTGGAGGCTATCCAATAGATTATTCAGCAGATCCACCACCTTATACTTCTTCACCACCACGCGTTGGTGGTCGTTTATTTGTTGGAAATCGGTTAAATACTACCTTGGCAACTGGAATAGTTCCAATTGAAGGACAGTATGATAGGGGAATAAGTGAGAGAGAAAATGAAGGTGAGAGTAAGAATATGACTGCAAAAAAATTTTGCGGACAAAACTTTGAGAAAAAAATTTTTTAAGAAAGCGACGAAGGTACTGAACACGAAGAGGAACCCGAGGAAGACAATGAGGACGAGCAGGAAAGTAGCGGAGCTTATACAGTACCCTCTCCCAGTTTAACAGTTAAGGACGGCTCTAAGCCCCCGCCTCCAACACTCGTTAACAGCTCCTCTTCAAATTTTCGTGAGGCTCTGGGCAACAGTGTTTCAATGGCTGGTGGTGTGGCTGCTGCCGTGATTGCTTCACGAGGGGGTTAAAATTAAAAAAAATATTTTCTCACTCTTAAAACCCCCTCAAAATTCAGCAACAATGTCCACATCTTCACCTCGTTACCAGTCAGATTCAGCATCGGCCTCTCCACGTCCAGTGTTGATTGAAGGGGCTAGAACAGTCGCTAGTTTGGTTTCTTCGTCCAACAGAATTCCTTCTATTCCCCAACCAGAATATCCACAAACATCCCCTAGAGAACAACAAAAAAGAGAAGTCTTCCATTTACTAAATTAATTTCTAATCCCTTATGTATTTCCAGCCGGCCATAACCACACCCACTAGTAATGTTAGAAATATACAGCAACAACGCCATCCACCTAATGCGGAATTAAAAGCATTATTTAGTTTAACAGAGGCATACATTGCTGAAAGGATAGATATTGAGCCGGTATGTTATACAAACTTTTTCTACAAATTGTAAAAAAATTTTCAACTTGTATTAAATAAACTTTTTTTACAATTTGTAAAATATAAGCTTATTACAATTTGTAGTAACAAACAAACTTTTTTTACAAATTGTAAAATCTTTAATAAACTTATTACAAATTGTAATAATAAATAAACTTTTTACAATTGCAATTGTCAATAAACTTTTTTAAAATAATTGAGCCCATTTAGAATATTAAACAAAACTCATTTTACTATTGTGAAATGAGGCTTTTTTTACAATTTGTAATTTCTACCAAAAAAATATCTATTTTAATTTAGACACTCAAACCCTTCCAAATCGACTACGTTCCCGCGGTCGGGGACGTCGATCCCTTCATAAAAGTACCACGCCAAGACGAGATTCAAGCAATGGGAGCAGATTGGTTATGGACAGGATTAATGGCTGTCCATCCAAACGAAGATTTACAACTTGGATTGACCGTATTGGATGAGCCAGCAGCTATTCAATCAGACCCAGCAATTGTTGATTTAAGACTGCATCAATTATCAGGGAAAAGTGGGGCTTCTGTTGATGCTCCAGTAAAGAAGCTTTCTAGAGCTGACAAAAATACAAAACAAATTGTGGGAGAAAAATTGTAAAATTCAACAAAAAGGAATTTTTTAGGACCGTTGGATTCAATCAGTTAAGGAATTGAGACGTACAAAACCTCCAGATAGGGTACACTATGGAAAACCTATGCCTTCTATAGGTAGAAATTCATTAAAAATAAATAAACTTTTTACAATTTGTATTAATAGAATCGCTCATGCAAGAATGGCCACAAAGTGTTGAACAAAATTTGAAGGGAATGAAGGTGGGGTATTTAAATAAACTTGGAGCTTATTAAAACTTTAAAACTTTTTACAATTTGTAAAAATAAACTTTTTACAATTTGTAATAAATAAATAAACTTTTTACAAATTATAAAAATAAACCTTTTACAATTTGTAATAATTAATTCATAGTAATATAAACTTAAAACTTGTCAGTACTACACAACTTTTTACAATTTGTAAAAAATAAAATTTACAATTTAACTTAAGTTGCTACTCAACGACAATCTTGACGCTGCCCTAGAAGACTATGCAGACATTTGCTTGTCTCTAATAGACATTCCAGTACACAAAAATCGTCTAGATTCCCTCCATGTTTTATTCTCTCTTTACGCCGAATTTCGAAATTCCCAACATTTTAAAAATTTGGCATTAGGGGGAAGTCGGCAAGGATTTAACAATGGAAACGATGACGATTTGGAAATAACAGAACAATTATTATTAAATAATACATCCTCAACTATTGACCATCTTGTAGTTGATGAGGAAGAAATTAAATAAATAAATTAATTAAATATTTATTTTTATTTTTTAATAGCAATTCAAGTACTAATATCATAATAATTTGCGTCCATGTCTAAACTTTGTTGGCTTTCTGCTAACATTAACAAACTTTTTTCTTGTTTTATACAATTCTCCTCAAAACAAAAATCTGCTCCTAACAATAACACTCCATCCTCAAAGCGTATTAAGCCTGGTCCAATTTGTTCAAAGTCGAGAAGTACGGGCATTTTAATTCCTGGGAAAATGAAGTTTTAAAATAAACTTGAATTTGTAAAATTAATAAACTTGGATTTGTATATATAATTAAACTTGAATTGTAAACGTTTACAAATTGTAAACTAAATAAACTTGGATTTGTAAAAGTTTACAAATTGTAAATAAACTTGAATTATAATTAAACTTGAATTGTAGACGTTTACAAATTAAATAAACTTGAATTTATAAATAGATAAACTTGGATTGTAAAAAATAAACTTAAAGTTGTAAACGTTTACAAATTGTAAAATAAATAAACTTGAATTGTAATTCGTATTAATTAAACTTTAATTACCATGTTTACAATTGTAATTTATTTATTTTGTTAATATTTACAAATGTCTTTACCGTCTTGAAGTTTACGCTTCATATCCTCCGCGATAATTAGCTCGTTGAGTGCATTAACAAGGAATTCTATTGAACCAGCATCGATACCATCAACTAATTTTTAAATTAATTTTAATAAATTATCTTCCCTCACCCATGCTAACAACATTAGAAATTTCAAATGTGTCAATTGCTAGTTCGGCACGAAATAAATAGTCCGAAAATGTTGAGTTTTGAAGATTAAGTTTGGCATACATATTTGCACTTAGAAACCGTCGGTTTTGTTGTTGGGAAGAGTGCTATAAGAAAAATACAATTTGTAAAGTAAAAACTACTTTTGTAAAACTTGAATTTTTTAAGACTTGAATTATTACAAATTGTAAAAACTTAATTATTTATTTTTTACAAATTGTAAAAAGTTTTATTTATTTTTAAAAATGTTAAAACTTGAATTATTATTAAATTACAAATTGTAAAACTTGGATTATTTATTTTTTACAAATTGTAAAACTTGAATTATTATTATATTACAAATGTTAAAACTTTAATTAATTATTTTTTACAAATTGTAAAAAGTTTTATTATTAATTTATTTACATTTACAAAGGCATCAATTTTGCTTTCGACAAGTACGACAGCCTTTCCCCGTTCAAACAAAACAGAAGGGAAATTAATAGTTCTGGTTCTAATTGCAACAACACCATTTGGAAAATTTTGGGAGAGGGCTAGAAAATTAAATTTTTTTAATCAAAAATTTTTGAGAACCTGGAAATAGTGTTCCGGCACATATTTCCTTAGCTCCACATTCCGTCCTTAAATAACCAGCAACTTCAGGGTCTTTAATTGTTGACTGGCTTATCTCGTAGTCAAATTTCCTGTATTGGTCCATCCAAAAGAAAAGACTGGCAAACGTATAATTTGACAGTTGAAACGAAGCCATCATTTTATTTTTAATTGGAGTAACCCCTTTCTTCCCTGTCCCTCCTCCATTAATTTGAGCAGGGGATAGTTGGGGAGCAGTAAAGGGAAGTCGAAAATCATTTATTCTGTTTTTGCCTTGCCGAAGAATTCCAAAAACGTTTCCGCGGTGGAAAAGAATAATAGAGGAATTGTTTAGATCGTTGTTGGAATCTGTAGGGAGTGTTGTGTTGGTGTTGATGTTGGTGGAATCGGGTTGGTAGACAATTCCACATAAATAGTTAAAAGAGAAAATTAGATTATTACAATTGGAACAAGTTTAATTAAAATTGTAAAAAAAGTTTTAAAAGTCTAAGTTTAATTATTTATTACAATTGTAAAACATCGATTAAATTAAAGTTTAAAAAAAAGTTTTATGGAACTTGACGAATTACAATTGTAATAATTAATAATTGTAATCAAGTTGCAATAAGTTTTAAAAGAAAATTAAACTAATTACAATTGTAAACAAGTTTAATTAAAATTGCAATTAAGGTTGGAAAAAGGTTTAAGTTAAATATCTATACATAATTACAATTCTAAAAACAATTACAATTGTAATAATTAATTATAATTGTAATTAATATATTAAAAATAATTACAATTGTAACAGGTTTTATTAAAATTATAATTACAATTAAAAAAAGAATTACTTGTAAGCCCAAAGTTGAGAAAGTAGTGATCAAATAGTGCTGTACTTAGAGGAGAATTTAGCCTTAAAAATAAATTAATTAATATTTTTACAATTTTAATTTTACTAACAATCTGTTAGCAACAACAGGGCCTAATTCAGCCACAAAAACAGGGCAAATCATCTAAATTTTATTTTTAATTTAAAAAATATAAAAATAATATTTTTATATTAAATTAATTTTTTTCAGATTTTTTTAATTTTTTAAATTTGTATTTTTGCCATTTGCCTCGGACAGCTTCGTCAAAGTCACTTGATGCACTAAAGGCACATATGAACTCAAATTTGCAGCATCTCGGAATAAATTCTCAAAAAGGAGTTCTCCGGAAACAATTCTACATTGGAGAATATCTGTTAAGAATATTTACAAATTGTAAAAAGTTTGGAATTACAATTCAGGAAAGGGTTGTAAATTCTGAATTCTAATTTTAAGAAAAATCAGAATTTGTCGAAAATCAGAAATAAAAAAATTAGAAAAAAATTAAAATCAGAAAAATCAGCATTTACCAGAAAATCAGAAAAAAAATCAGAAGAAAAATCAGAAATCAGAAAAAATCAGAAATCAGAAAAATCAGAATTTGTCAGAAAATCAGAAATCAGAAAAATCAGAATTTAAGAAAAATCAGGATTTGTCAGAAAAATCAGAATTTAAGAAAAATCAGAATTTCAGAAAAATCAGAAAAATCAGAAGAAAAATCAGAAATCAAAAAATCAGAATTTCAGAAAAATCAGAAAAATCAGAAGAAAAATCAGAAATCAAAAAATCAGAATTTCAGAAAAATCAGAATTCCGGAAGGTTTAAAATTTCCGGAAACCCCGCTTTATTAAATTATAATTCCGGAATTTTAAAACACAAATACAAATTCAAATTACAATTCCAATTTACAATCTTTTTCTTTTTGTAAAATAAACTTGCCTGTTCTCAAATGCCCATCAGCATTCACTCCCGGCCCCAATACCAATTCTATTCTAACTTTTTCCAGTCTAAGAGGGACTTGTTGAGTTGCGAAGAGTTCTCTACGTTCAATAAGCATTTTAAGTTGGATTTGGGTGTTTATAGCAGCCCGGAATTCACTTCCCTTTTAAATTTTATTTTTTAATTTCTAAGACAAATTAATTTACAATCCAAACAAGTTCCTTTGTAGAAGAAACACCTAATCGGGATTGGAAGGCATTTGTATCAAAATTAACTATATCCAAAGAATTTACAGAAATTTCAACCTCAAAAAGGTTTAAAAAATTAATTTAGTTAAAATTTAAAGGAACATTATGGCTAGGCAAGGGCACAGAAAAATTGTATTGAAGAGCATTAGAACGGGTAAAGCGTAGGACACGCAAACGTAAATAATCTTTAAGCAAAAAAAATAATTAATTAAACTTGAATTACAATTGTAAATGTTAATAAAAGTTGTACAAATAAAATTACAATTAAGAAAAATAAACTCGGAATAAAATTATAATAATTTTTACAATTAAAATAGACCTATTACAATTATTAAAATAATATAAACTTTTTTTACAATTATTAATTACAATTGTAATAATTATATTATTTTAATTCTGTTATAAATACCAATTGTAAATGTATAAAATTACAGTTTCGGAAAGGTTTAATAAGGTTTTAAGGGTTCCGGAAAGTTTCAAGTGTTACTATTTTACAAATCCGGAAAGGTTTATGAAGGTCGAAAGTTTCAGGAAACTTCCTAGTATTACTATTTTACAATTCCGGAAAATTGTAATAAGGTGTCAAGGTTTCCGGAAAGTTGCTAGTTTTCTAAATTACAATTCCGAAAAGGGCACATTCAGGAAAATGAAAATTTTAAAAGCTTCCGGAAAGGTTAAGATTAGATTTACTAATTTAAATTGTAAAATTACCTGCGAGTAAGTTTAGGCCAGAGCGGGATACACGGCTTATAATACCTACAATTGTAAATTTTATTTTTAAATTAATTTTAAAATTACAAAATCAAAAAAATATTTTACAATTGTAAATTAAAAACAATTTAAAAATATACTATGCCTGGATTTTGGGGGGATGTCTGTTGTTGCAATAGAGTTGTAGGTTCTGCTATACCTTGCACTTGAACTTGAAAAAAATTTTTTTCTTAGGAAAATTTTTTAAAATTTTTTAAAATTTACTTTTATTATTCTGTTGTGCTTCTGAATTAATAAACAAAACAAAAAATAATTGCAAAATAAAAAAAATTTTTGTAAAAATATTTGAAGCCCTCAATCTTCGTTTATCTGATCTCCTCTCAATTCTCCTTTCAATTTTTTCAAGTACCAAATATTTAGTTAATCCACCCGTTTGGTTAATAAATAAGCTATTTTTAGTTGTCAATTTTGTTAACAAATAAAAATTATTTAATTTGTTAATTTCATCCTTTAAAGGCTTTGTTCTCTCAATCATCGACCTACTCAAAATTAAACTAAAAAAATTATTTTGAAATAAAATATTGTATTTACTCAAACAATTACCCCCTTTAAACAGTCGGAGATTAAAAAATAATTGCCCTTTAAGAATAGTTATACAGTAGTTCTTTTAAGAACCACTCTTGGCCTAGCGCTTATTATTCTTCTTGGCCTATAAGCGCTCTTGGCCTAGCGCTTATTAGCCTATAGCTCTTGCTAGTTGGAGTACTTAATCGAGGAAGGGCAATGAAATTCGAATGTGTTCTAGGTAGGGTTGAGCGGGATCGGGATCCAGGCGTAAAATTGAGATCCGCTCAACCCTAGTTGTATGGCACTTGATGGGCGGTAATTATTGTTCAAGCTATTGCTGGAGGGGTCGGAGAAGGGTGATCATTCTATCAATCGGAGAGGGGTGATCTATCAATCGCATCAATCGAAGTGGGGGTAATAATTCTAGGTAGGCAATTTATATAGGTTATACAGTAATTAGTCCTTCTAAAATAACCTCAACTACCTACCCCCTCTCTATTAGTCACCCAGGGTATTTTTTGAGTAAATACGGTATGAGAGAATCGATTATTGTTTGATTTATTAAAATATTATTTTTAGTTTAACACAACTAGAAGTTGTGCAATTGTGAGCGGAACTGGTAGAAATAAATATAAATAATATTAAAAATAAAGGGGAAAAGCAGGCCTTTTAATTTTTTTTCTTATACCTCCCACAGAGAGGTGTGGATATTACTTAATGGTGCTTCTATGCGCGATTTTTTTAATGCACTTTTCATTTTTTATAAAATGTGAATTAATCATCTCTGATATTTTTAATTTAATCAATCAAATATACACCTATTTTTGGGGGCCTTCGAATTTTTTTTCTAGCGGCTGTCACTAATAATAATGAGTAATTGTAAGACTTAAAGATTAGATAGGCCTTTCAAATTATTTCTTTGGCTTAATTAATGACACATAAATCCCTAGGGCTGGGGCTTATATCCCTAGATATAGGCCTCCCAGTCCTAAACTTCATTTTGTGATTTAAAACCTTCATTCAGCCCTAAATTCTGGCAGCCAGGCTTTAAGGCCTGGAAATTAATCTAAGGGTTGGTCTACTTCCCAAGATGGTCTACTTCCAAGTGGATTATGGATTGGATTGGATATGGATTAGATTTAGACATTAGACTTGCATACGGATTCTACTTACAATCTACTTTTAAGTAGATTCTTTCCTAAAACCCAAATCACGTCCCTAAGAGTTGAGGTTAATCTAAGGGTAGTCTAAGGGTCTGGACAAATCTTAAGGTCTTTTTAGGGAATTCCTAAGAGTCATAGACATCCCTTCCTAATATTCCTTTACTATATTATGTCTTCAAAGCTATCAAGGTTTCAGAAGAAAGCTTCAGACTTTATGAAAGGATTACTGGGTTATTTGGCTTCCGAAGGGTCCTATAAATCTAGATTTAATTTTATAAATATGTAATTTTAAACTAAAAACAGGGAATAACTTTATTATTGAAATATTACAAAATACGCGGATATATTTAAAAATAGGGGAGGATTAGCGCAAATCTCGTCCTGTTGATTAATGTTCGTAAAAGGAATGAAAGAATGGATTTTTGGAAAGCAGCTGGTTGCTACATTGAAAAGAAAGAAAGAAATATAAGGGGGATTTGACGATCAACTATTAAAAATAAAATTGGAAGCTCTACAAGTTTAGAAACAAAATTGGTCGTTGTTTAACTAACTGATTAGCGCAAAATAGAAAAATGGGAGATTAGGATGACTGTGGATTACTATTTAGATTTAATGAATCAATAAAAATTATTTTTGTAAAATTGATAAATTAATTGTATTTTCGAACTATAAAATTTTTATAAGCAAGGCCGGGGAGCTTCCACCTAGAGGAAACTTGATTCGGAGCAACTCTCATACAGCAACTCTCCCCAACTCTCCCTAACTCTCCTCCAACATTTGCATCCAGGTTAAGTTCCCACTCATTAGGGAGACTTTTTCGGGGAACGGAGATGTCGTGGGATAACATGTCAGGGAATCGGAGTCGGGAACCACCTAGAGGAAACTTGCTTCGGAGCAACTCACATCCAGCAACTCTCCCTTCTCCTCCAACACTCGCATCCAGGTTAGGTTCCCACTCATCAGGGGATCCTCTTTCCTCTTGTTACAATTTCTGATCAAATCTTTGTACTTAAACTATTAGTAGTAGACTTACAAAAATGAATATAGCAACAAGAGGAAAAGCCAAAAAAATATATAAAAGCAAAGAAGCTTACAAAATATTATAACTAATCGACGACTAAAACTGAGGGGATAATCCTGTATTTAGTGTTTGACCCAGATATTTAAAAATGGGAAAAAATAAAAAAATTTAATTTTCATATTTTTATCCTTCAAATTTTGAAATATTCGTTAAATTTCGAATAATTAAAAATCATTATTGTAAACCTAGAACATTTATTTTAGTTAATTTATTTTTTAACTCTATTCTTCTTCGCCAGCCATTAGCTCCCAGAACTCTAAGAAATGATTCAAAATAATTTTAATAATTTACAAAATCTCGGACCTCACTATATATAAGACACACCCTTGGGCCTAAAAATTGTAGCTTATAATGAGATGTCTGTTAAATAGAGGGTATAGCTTAGGCAGCTTCCCCACTCAAGGAGCAAAGCAACCAATGAGCAACTCAAATCAAATCTTTCCATATCTGACTCAGCAATAGTACTTGCCAATATATCCCTAATTGATGTATACCTAGTATTAAGTGTATCTTATAGAGAGGTCTGTATGTTAACCAGATGTTATGGCTTATACAGCTCACACATCCAGTGGCCAACCAAATTTTAAAGACGTATCCCTAATTGAAATGTACCTAGGTTTATCTTAAGCAGAGGCAAAATGAGGGGATAATAGAGGGGATAATAGAGGGTGTATCTTACATAGAGGTTTCCGATTTTTTAACTTAGTTACCTTCAAATTCAATCTTCCCCGAGCCGTCCTGGTCTATATCGTCTACAGCACTTGCCAATTCTTCAGAGCTAAGATCTGGGGCTATTTCTTGAAGCAACTCTTTAAGGGTTATAGTAGATATATACCCATTCCCCTTTAATTTTAAAAATATTTTATTTTAATTTAAGTCTTTCACTTCTTTATCAAAGAGTCGAAATGCTTCGCGAAGTTCCCGTCTAAGCGTCTCCTTGTCTACACTATTTGCAACCTTTTTACAAATTGTAAAATTGTAAAATGATGAGAGTAAGTAAATGATACTGTATAGACGAGTGCACAAAACTCGTCAAATTCAATTTTGCCAGAGCCGTCAGCATCGAATTTGCGAATTAGACTGAGAGAAGAAAAATTTTAAGAAGAAAAAATTTTTAAAGTTAAAAAAATTTAAAACAATTTCAATTAAAAACACCGTCGCAAGGTGCGTTCATCAAATTCTTGATCCATAGCCCTCATAATTTGGCCTATTTGTGTAGCCATAATATACCCATGATTGTGCTTGTCGAAACGATCAAAGAAACGCTCATATTCTAGAAAATTTTAAATTATTAAAGAGTTTTTCTATTAAAGGGCCTTCTATTAAGGAGCCATCAATCTCAGCCAAAATCTCGTCTATATCTTCACGGCCATAAGACGCCTGTTAAATAATAATTAATAAAATTGTAAACTTAAAACTTACCATTTAAGTTTTAAGTAGATAAGTTTGTGGAATAAGTTTAATTTACAAATTGTAAAAAGTTTATTTTTTATTTAACTTTTTACAAATTGTAAAAAAAAGTTTATTTTTTATTCAACCTTTTACAAATTGTAAAAAAAAAAGTTTATTTTCTTTCAACTTTTTACAAATTGTAAGAAGTTTATTTTCTAATAAACTTATTTTTTAAAGCTTATTTTTAAATAAACAAATGGTAAAATTTACAATTTAGATAAATAAACTTTACAAATTAAAATAAACTTGTTTCGCAATTTGTAATAAAGAATAAACTTGAAATTGAAGCAATATAAATATATAAATATACGCCTACACCTTTTTAACTCCACATGTGGTAAAAAACAAAATTTTCCTTCATAAAAGGCCAAAAATTGGCCCAAATGTGTTCAACATATTTAAAATAATATTTTTATTTGATTTGTTAGTTTGCAAAAAATAAAAAAAATAAAAGTTAAAAAGCATAAAAAGCATAAAAAGTCGAAATAGTGTATTTACAAAGGGAAGTTTAAATTGTAATTTAGAGTTGATATCCCATAATTGTATGTTTAAAATATCCTTTTTTTATTGAAATCCCATAATTCCCATAATTGTCCCATAATCGTAACTTTAATTTTAAATTTAAAATCATTTATTTCTTTAAACAATTCCTCTAATAGTCTTAGTCCCAGCCTCAGTACAGTGTTCTTTCATAACGGCTTCAATGTGACATACCTTAATTCCCCTTTCACACAAATTTGCCAAAACATAAGCATATTTTCTGTAAAATTTAATTTATTTGGAAATTTCCCCTCGAAAATTACCTCAGAAAAATTAAAACAAAATTTATTAAAAGCATGCACTACACGATGATGACACTCTTTATCAGTAATACTTTGTGGATATATATTCATTATCTGTAATTGATCTGCAGGTTTTCTAACCAATTTATTTACAAGTTGGGTTATTTGTTTTTCCAAATAACGACGTTTCTGTGAAAAAAAGTTTTAATTAATAACTTTTTACAAATTGTAAAAAAGTTTATTTTTTAAATTAATTTTACAAATTGTAAAAAATGTGCAACTTAAAAATAAACTTTTTTTACAATTTGTAAAAGGTTGGAAATTGATTTATTAATTGTAAAGTTTTTACAAATTGTAATAATGTTTAATTTTCCAACTTTTTACAATTTGTAAAAAGTTTATTTTTTAATTAATTTTTACAAATTGTAAAAGAAAGTTCATTTTTAAGATAAATAAACTTGTTACAATTTTTAAACTTTGTAAAAATAATTGTAAAATATAACAACACCTTTTTTAAGGTTTGTAAAGCATTTGAAGCAAGAATATCGTCGCCATTACTTTTCAATTTTTGAGCCAGCAAAAATAGGGGGATATCCCTTAAAATTTTAATAAATTAAAATTAAATTTTAATTAAATACGTCTGCGGATACATTGGGTAGTCTTTAGGGTTGGATTTACTCATCATCTAAAAAATTGTGAATTAATTTAAAAATTATTTAATTTTTTTTTACATTTTCTCCCATTTCATTGGGTTCTTTCGATCCCATAAACTCAGACACATGTTCATATGTAATATTCAAACTTCCAATGCTTTGAACATGACTTCTATCTGTTTTATTCCTCACTATCTCGAATTGTTCTGCTAATGTTTCTTTCAGTAAATTTTCCTTTAGAAAAATTTTTTCTTATTAAAATATCAAAAAAACTTTGTCAGAATCATCCATCCAATTGACTGAGAAAAAATCACCCAAACAAGCGCCTGGGAGAATTTCTGTTGCGCAATAACAACTCCAACTTGACTCGTTCGCATTAGATGCGGTCATTGCATAAACTTTAAATTTTTAAATTTTTATTTAAAAAATATAGACGGAGATATTCATAAATACACCTCTAAGGCTCCGTCACTCCCCTTCACTGTTTTTAGATATTTTCCGAATTTATCAGAATTTACATATAAAATTACTAGCTGAGGGCTATTTAATTTTGGAGTATCTTATAGAGAGTCCGACTACCGTATTTACTCGATTAATTCCCCTCCCTTAAATAATTCCCCATGCCACGGATGTGTGTTGAAAAAATAATTCCCCAGGGACATTAATCGAGTAACAAATTTTCACGAATTTTCTTATACTTTTCAGACTTTCCAGCATATGCTCATCAAACATAGAGCCAGCTTCACAGGCTTCCAAATAGAAGGTTAATTCTCCATATTTCTTCTTCTTGTGCATTAAAAGTAGTGTGTCAGAAAGACTTTTTACTGTCAGCTAAAGAGAAGTTTTACTTTAGGAGATTAAAAAAACAAACAATATCAGCGGGAAAATTAATGAATCCAGTAGCACCGTGATCAGAGAAAAAAATAAAAACTTTGTCGTTTTTTGTGCTTAAAACCCAGAATTTTTTTCAGAATTTTAAAATTATTCCGATACCTCTCCAGCACTCGTTTGCCTCCAGTTTTTTCCTTATCTCCCAGCAGAACTGCTATAAAATTTTCTGGGGTCACATCTAACCCTTTGTAGTCAATACGAACACCTCCATACACATCACGTCCTTCAGGACTATTAAAAATTTTGCCCTTGTATGGATTCCTTTAAAATTAATTTAAAATATTTAAAAGTTGCTAAAATACGTGCGTATTTAATTTTTGTATTTTCCGGAAAGAATACTTTCTGGTATTAAATTGTATTGTGTAAATTAATTTAAGCCAAATATTTTCCGGAATATTTTTTATTATATTTTCCTGAAGTATTGTATTATATAATATTTTCCGGAAGGAATGTAGGAGAGTTTTATTTTATTATTGTGTTTTCCGGAAGGAATAATATAATCTACATTTTCCGGAATATTTTGTATTTTATTTTTTTATTGTATTTTCCGGAAGGATTTATATTTTTTAGTGTATTTTTCGGAAGGAATGATATATTTTGTATTTTATTTTTATTGTGTTTTCCGGAATAACTTATCCGGAATTTTGTTTGTATTTTTTCTTTTGTATTTTTCCGCAAGAATAATTGTATTTTATATTTTTATACCCTTATAGGTATATAGATTAAACTTACTGTGTATTATTTGCAATATCGTCATACATCATAGTAATAATATTTTCAGGATTAACCCCATGATTTATAAGAGTATGCCATGCATGACACACATCCGCTTAAAACAAAATTTTTTTATTTTCTTGTTAAAGAATTTTTTAATTAATTAAAAATTTATTTATCTGATGTCTATAATTCGACCATCCAGAAGACCCCGCAACCAAAACTGCCCATATATTTCCAGATTTTGGACGTTCGGAAAATTTTTTTTGTTGTAAACTGAAGAAAAATAATTTTTAAAAATTAATTTAAATTATTTTAAAATTTATTTTACCCTGTAGAATAATTTAAAATGGAAAATAGAAGGGAAATATACAAAAATAAATTGCCCATAATTTTCAAATTAAATTTTAAAAATATTTCTAAAATTAAAAAATAATTATAAATAAAATTTTTAACCATTTATTTAAAAATTAAAATTTAATAAAATTAATTTAAATAATTAGAATTAAAGCTAGAATTAAATAATTCAAATACATGGAGGTGCTTATAAATGAAAAATAATTTATTTTAATATTTATTTAATAAAAATAATTGATCACAAATGAGGTATATTTTTGCAACTTTAATTTTAAAATTGAATAAATATGTACATGTGGATGCTAATTTAAAATTTAAAAAATTTATTTTTATTTATTTTCTATTTCTATTTATTAATTTTCTATTTTTATTTATTTATTTGCTTAAAATATAATTTTTAATTTATTTTTATTTAAAAATTTTTCAAATTTGAAATTTTAAAGTTAGATTAATACATGTGGGTACTAATTTGAAAATTTAAAAAAATACATAAATTTTATCTTTATTTATTTATTTGCTTAAAAAATAATTTTTAATTTTTTATTTTAATAATTTTTATTTATTTCATTTGCATAATTATTGAAAAAAATTTATTAATTTATTTAAAAAAATATTTTAAGTGAATCAATTTTAAATTAAAAAATTAATTTTAATAAAATTTCAGCAAAATCTGTAGAAACCCGAAAAGGATAGGACCAACTGTTTATTATAAAGAATATTGTGGCCTTTCAGATAGGCCTAAAATAAAATTTTTAATACAAGTTTTAGGTTGTTAAAATAATTTATGAAGCATTGTACCCCTATTTTGCGTTGATTTTCGAGATTCGAGATTGATATAAAAAGCAAATTAAAATTCTTAATCAGAGAGACACTTTTATCAAGAACTCTCTATTAATATTATGTTTAAACTTGTATATAGTGAATTGTAATTTCAAGTTCATTTTCAAATGTATTATTTATTTATTTATTTATTTATTAGGGATTGCAATTTCAACTTTATTTAAAATTAATTTATTAAGAATTGTAAATTATTTCATAATTAATTGTAAATTTAAGTTTAATTTTAATTTAATTATATTTCTTTAAACAATTCCTCTAATGGTCTTAGTCCCAGCCTCAGCACAATGTTCCTTCATAACTTCTTCAATTTGACTTGCTTCAATTCCTCTTTCACACAAATTTGTTAAGACAAAAGCATATTTCATTGCATAAGAATTCTTTAAAAATTTAATTTATTTTTAAATTTCCTTCCAAAATTACCTCAGAAAAATTAAAACAAAATTCATTAAAAGCATGCACTACACGATGATGACATTCTTTATCAGTAATACTTTGTGGATATATAGTTATTGCATGTAATTGCTCTACAGGATTACTAACTAATTTTTCCACAATTTGGGTTATCTGTTTTTCCATATAACGACGTTTCTATAAAAAAGTTTTAATTATTACAACTTTTTACAATTTGTAAAATATTAATTTTACAAATTGTAAAAAATGTGTATCTTAAAAATAAACTTTTTTTACAATTTGTAAAAAGTTGTAACAGTTATTTATTAAAAATTGTAAAATTCCTACAAATTGTAATAAAGTTTATTTTTAAAACTTGTTAATATTTTACAATTTGTAAAATTAATTTAAAATGTAACAACACCTTTTGTAGTGTTTGTAAAGCATTTGTGGCCATAATATCATTGTCTCCATTACCCTTTAATTTTTGTGCCAGCAAAAATAGGGGAATATCCCTTAAAATTCATTTTAATAAATTAAATTTTAATTCTATTAATTAAATACCTCGAGGGATACATTGGGTAGTCTTTAGGCTTGGATTTACTCAACAACTAAAAAATGTCGAATTAATTTAAAAATTATTTTTGTACATTTCTTCTCGTCTTTTTGGGTTCTTTCGATCCCATAAACTCAGACACATGTTCATGTTTAATATTCAAACTTCCAAAGCTTTGAACATGACTTCTATCTGTTTTCCGCCTCACTATTCTGAATTGCCTAGCCAATGTTTCTTGCAATAAATTTTCCTTTAGAAATTTTTTCTCATAGAAATATCAAAAAAACTTTGTCAGAATCATCCATCCAATTGACCGAAAACAGATCACCCAAACAATTGTCTGGGAGAATTTTTGTGTTGCAATAACAACCCCAACTTGACTCGTGCCCATTAGCTGCGGTCATTGCATAAACTTGGAATTATTAAATTTTTTATTTGAAAGTACATATAAAGCCGGACTTTGTTAAAAAAATACTGCCGGACACCCCTAGAAACCGAAAAAAATATCTTATAATTAGAGGAGTATGTTAAATTATTGGTATGATAGTCAGTTCGCCCTCACCAATTTTCAGAATCATAGGAATTTTTTTCAGAGTATCAGGCTTTAGAATCATAGTCGAGGGGGGCATTTAGGGGGATTAGGTATTTAGGGGCATCTAGTATTAGAGAGGTCAGACTATATTTAAGAGATATTTACTTTTCAGACTTTCCGGCATATGCTCATCAAACATAGAGCCAGATTCACACGCCTCTAAATAGAAGGTTAATTCTCCATATTTCTTTTTTTTGTGCATTGAAAGCAGTGTATCAGAAAAATTTTTAACTGACAGCTAAAGAAGCGTTTTACTTTAAGAAATTGAAATAAACAAACAATATCAGAGGGAAATCCAATTAATCCAGTAGCACCGTGATCAGTGAAGTAGATAAAAACTTTGTCGTTTTTTGTGCTTAAAAATCAGAATTTTTAAAGAGATTTCATCGGAATTTGTCAGAATATTTTCAGAATTTTTTCAGAATTTTTTCAGAAATTCACCAGAATTTAATCATAATTTAAAATTATTCCTGTACCTTTCTAGCACTCGTTTGCCTCCAGTTTTTTCCTTATCTCCCAGCAGAACTGCTATAAAATTTTCTGGGGTCACATCTATACTTTTGTAGTCAATACGAACCCCTTCATACACATCATGTCCTTCAGGACTGTTGAAAATTTTGCCTTTGTGTGGATTCCTTTAATTTAAATTAGAAACTACTAATTGTATTTTATATTTTCCGGAAATAATTGTTGGTGTGTTTTACATATACTATTTACATATTATTATTGTGTTTTTCGGAATAATTATTTCATTTCTATTGTATTTTCCGGAAAAATGATTAAAATATTTTATCATTGTATTTTCCGGAAGCAATAATATTTTAGTGTATTTTCCGGAATATTTTGTATTTAATTTTGTATTGTATTTTCCGGAAGGATTTTTATTTAGAGTGTATTTTCCGTAAAGAATTATTATATTTTATTTATCTTGTATTTTCCGGAAAATACAAGATACACAGAATATTTATCCGGAATTTTGTTTGTATTTTTTTCTTTTGTATTTTCCGGAAGAATAATTGTATTTTATTATTCTTTATATTCTTATATATGAATTAAACTTACTCTATATTATTTGCAATATCGTCATACATCATAGTAATAATATTTTCTGGATTAACCCCATGATTAATAAGAGTATGCCATGCATGACACACATCAGCTTAAAACAAAATTTTTTATTTCATAATTAAAAATTTTATTTATCTGATGTCTATAATTCCACCACCCATTAGACCCCGCAACCAAAACTGCCCATATATTTCCAGAATTATTTTGACGTTCAGAAAATTTTTTTTGATGTAAACTTGAATAAAAAATAATTTTTAAAAATTAATTTAAATTTTTTAAAATTTATTTTACCCTGTAGAATAATTTAAAATGGAAAATAGAAGGGGAATATACAAAAATAAATTGCCCATAATTATTAAATTTATTTTTAAAAATATTTCTAAAATTTTTTTTTATTTTTTAAATTTTTAAAAAATATTTATAAATACAATTTTTAACCATTAATATTTAAAAATTAATATTTTTATTTTATAAAATTAATTTAAAAAGTTGTTGCATCATTTAAAGATGAGTAAGGGCGTTGTCTATACTTACTCATATTTATAGGTAATTATCATAAATTAAATACGGATCTGATAAGAAAATACTAAAAATATGTTAATGAAAGTATGGAGAACTGATAAGAAAATAATTGGCCATATTTGAGAAATATTTTTCAAATTTTTAATTTTAAAATTGAATAAATACGTGAAAGTGCTAGCTAAAAAATTTTAAAAAAAGCTAGTTAGAAATTAAATTATATGTTAAATTCCATGGATATGATATAGTGATGCCCGCTATCGTATTTACTTAATAATTACTCTGCGTAATTATTTTTTCAATCTCTAGCTTAAGGTGTTAATTACTCGATGGGAGGGGAAACTACTCCAAGGGGAGGTGATATAACTAATTTAGAAAGGAGTATTACTCGAAGGGAGGTGGAGGACAATCACTTGAAAGGAGTGGCAATTATTAAGTGAAGCTAATTAATCAAAATGGAGAGTGATTCTTTGAAGTGGGCAATTAATTAGCCGTGGGAGGGGGTCTATAACTTTAAATAAATTTTTAAAAATATTCAATTAATTTCCAAAATTTTCCAGATTTTTAATTAACCCTATTAAATTACAATTTTTAAATTATTTTTAAAATTTTTCTTAACAAATTAAATTAAAATCAGGTCATTTTTTTACAATTACTACGCTGACCCATATTAAAATTATTTTTTCTTTTACACAAAAATATCTCTATCAATAGGTAATCAAGGTCATTTAATTATTTTTACGATTATTTTTTTACCCCAAAACTTTGAAAAAAATAAAATGCTCTATAAAATAATAGGAGCAGCTACAATAAGTGTTTCTTCTATTTGTGTACTGGCACAATTACTGCTACTTCCATGGCTATATCGTTATACTGTTAATTTGAGAAATGATTTTGAAAGTCGGTTGAGGAAGTTTCATGTAAGAGAAAAAAATTTTTTTTGGGAAAATTTCAAAAAATTTTTGAAAATTCCAAAAAAATTTTCTCAGCACAACACTCGCCAATTTGACGAACAATTTCAACGTTTGAGAAGGTTAACTGGAAATTCTTTAACCGATTTCCAACACGAACGTTCCAAACGACAACTACAAGAATGCCCCCCACCTAGAGTTGGGCCACCTGGGTTACCTGGGGGGTTTGGGGAAGATGGGGAGGCTGGGACTGCAGGGGAGGATGGAACTGCTGGATTGGATGCAATAACCCTTTTGCTGCAAGAAGCACAGAAGTGTGTTATTTGTGGGTTTTTGTGATGTTAATTAAGAATAATCAAGTTTTTTAGGCCCTCAGGGTCCCGTTGGACCGATAGGTGCGCCTGGACAGGTAAAATAAAAATAAATCTCTTAAAAATAAAAAATTAAAGCAAGGACTGCCTGGACTAAAAGGGGAGAAAGGAGAGACAGGAGAGATTGGCACAGACGGAATTGACGGCGAACAAGGACCTGAGGGAATGCCTGGACTGCCTGGCATAGCTGGAAAGCCAGGGAAGAGAGGGCAGCCTGGAGCGCCCGCGCCTGGCGGCACAGGACCGCCAGGACCGCCTGGAGTTAAAGGTAAAAGACTCGACAGGGCTCCTCTGGATTTTCAAAAAATATTCTAAAACAGGTCCACCCGGTACAACCGGAAAACAAGGAGAAACAGGCCGGCGCAATTTTGTTGTTGGGATGCCTGGAATGGATGGAAGGCATGGCAAACAGGGATTAGATGGATTGGAAGGAAAGCCTGGGATTCGGGGGGAGAAGGTTTCCCTCTATCCTAATTTATATTTAACAATTTTTCTTAAAGGGGCCTCCAGGCGAGGATGGCGCCGATGCCCGTTTTTGTCCCTGCCCTTCAGAGTTGAACAAACTTGGGAGCGGAGGGGTAATTCTGAACAATTTTTGAAAAATTCTCAAAAAATCTTAATTAAAAAACTAAAAGATACGTTCACATTTGTCATTAAATAATCCTTCCCCTCCGCCTAAAATTTCAACTTCAACAACAACAATAACAGCCTCCTTCAATAAAGATTCAGAATTACCCCATAATGGGGTTATTGAGAAGGAAGAAGTAACAAAAAAAGAGGGTAAATAAAATTAAAAAAAAATTTTAATTTAAATAAATTTAAAGCAATCAAGGAAAAATCAGAAGAAATTAAAAATTCAACAAGCGAAAATTCGAAAATTAATCTGAAAATTTCTCATTTGCAATCGGGAGCTAAACCGACAACAACTAACGGGGAAGAGATAAAAATAAGTTAAAAAATATTTTTATTTTAATAATTCTGAATTAATTTTTATTAATTCTGATTTTAAAATTAATTAATTCTGAAATTTAAAATTCTGATTTTTAAATTCTGATTCCGAAATTTATTTTTAAAATTCTGATTTCAAGTTGATTTCTTTCTTTTTCAAGTTTTATTTAATAATTCTGAAATTCTGAAAATTCTGATTCTAAGTTAATTCTTTCTAGTATATAACCAAGTTCATTTAAAATTCTGATTCTGAAAATTCAATTATTAATTCTGATTTTAAAAATTAATTCTGATATTCCAAATTAACAAGTTCTTTTTAAATTCTGATTCCAAAATTCTGAATTAAAGTTTTAAAGTTTATTTGTTAATAATTCTGAAATTTATTTATTCTGATTCTTATTTTTTAAATCTGATTCTATCTAACAATTTTTATTTAATAATTCTGATCCCAGAAATTCTGATTTTAAGTTTATTCCTTCTAGTATCTAACCATGTTTATCTAAAATTCTGATTCTGGAATTCAATTATTAATTCTGATTATAATTCTGATTCCAAGTTTATTTTTATTTTATTCAAGTTTTATTTAATAATTCTGATTCTGAAAATTAATCTCAACCTTAATAAAAACTTGAATAAAATTTCAGAAAATTCAGAATATGAAGACGTCGCCTATCCTAATTATGAGAATGACGGAACAGAAGGTGAAGGAATTAAAGAAAATAAAGAGACTTTATTATTAAAAAATAAAAAATTTCAAAAAATAAAATTTGATAATGTTGAAATGAATTTGGAAGGAATATTTACTACAACAAAACAACAAACAGAAGAGAATAATGAGGAAGAAGAAAATGATGAAGAAAGGGATACAACAACAATAGCTACAAGAAGGTTGGGGGAAATATCAGAAATTTTAAAAAATAAAAAAATTTTTTCAGATTTGTTTATGTTACCAAAAGGCCTAGACCGAAACTATAAAGAGGAGAAAAAATAAAAGAAATTCTGATTTCAAGTTTTATTAATTAATAATTCTGAAATAATTTCTAAATTCTGATTTCATGTTTTATTTATTTAATAATAATTCTGATTCTGAATTTTATTTTTAGTAAATTCTGATTTCAAGTTTATTTTAATAATTCTGAAAATATTAATTCTGAAATTTATTTATTTACCATTTATTCTGATTTGTTTATTTAATTCTGGTCCGAAATTTATTGATAAATTCTGATTCCAAGTTATATTTATTAAAATTCTGATTCTGAAATTTATTTAATTCTGATTCCAAGTTTTATTTATTAAAATTCTGATTCTGAAATTAATTCTGATTTTAAGTTTGCTTTTAATAATTCTGAAAAAAATAAATTCTGATTCAAGTTTATTATTTTCCTCTCTCTCAAGTTTATTTAAAATTCTGAAAAAAAATTCTGAAACTTATTCCTATTAAATTCTGATTTTAAGTTTATTTTTATAACAAAAAATTCTGATTTTACGTATTATTATTAGCACCAATTTCTTCTTCTCCCTCTTTTTTTCTCTTTCCAAACGCCCCAGGAACACTTCCATCCAAATTTCTTTTTTTAATTTTTTTCTTCTTTTTACAAGAAAGTGGATTTGGTCCCTTAGCTTTCCTTTTTCGATGTTTAGGTTCTTCCCCTTCTCCCAATTCTATTTTCCTTAATTGCTTAATTTTTTGAATTTCATCAGGCTGATTTTTTGTTGTTGTTTCAGCTGCTGCTAGTTTTTCGGTTTCTTCTGACGGCTAAAAAACTTTTCTTAATTTTTTAAAAAATTTTTAAAAATTCAAAAATTTTTTAAAATTTATTTTTAATTTTAAAAATAAAGTTCCTTTTTGTAATTTTCCAAAAAGTCCGCAACTTTTGTCCGCAAATCTTGTTTTTTTTAATTTTCTCGAAAATTTTTCCTGGTGGCCTAAAATTTTAAATCCCTTCCCAAAATAAAAAAAAATAAAATTTTTCTCGAGAAAAAATAAAAATAAAACTTGCGGATAAAAAAGTTACTAACTTTTTTTTAATAATTTAAGGTCCTTGGGAATATTTTTACCCCCTTTAAAAATCAAAAAAAAATAAAAAACCTTCTCCAACAAAATAGCATTATAACGAATTGACATTAACGGAATTCCTCCCAATATTCTCAATTTTTGTAGCAATTCTGCATCTTGTGTTGCAACAAAATAATGAATTAATTTTTTCTTTTCCGAATTTTGTGAACGTCTAGCCAAATGAGCTATACAATCAGCAGCTGAACGAAGTGGGCGGTGAGGGCATTTGGCTACTTTGAATTGTTGGGCAATACAAAGGGCGCCGTACAAAGGCTTTCCGAGTTGTTCTAAATTTTAATTTAATTTGCGGACAAATTTTGCGGACTTTTAGGCAAAATTGTTTTCTTATCACAAAAACTCATAGTCTGCTAGAATTTGTCCGCAAATTTAATTAAAGTTAAAAATATAGTAAAATCGATCCATTTGCGGACTTAAAAAATATTTTTGGCCATATTTTAAAAATGCGCAAACATTTTTTTAAATTTAGACTTTAAAATTAAAAAACAAAAATTATACCCAATTCATTCAGCACACATTCAGTCACAAACATTTCCAAATCTTCGTCTCTCAAATATTTGGGCATTTGTTCTCTCAAATTAATTTTACATTTTAAAGCTTCTTGACAAAATGTTCCATCCAATAAAATTGAATAGGGAGGGATATAGCCAAATTTGTAACGAAAGAATGTGAGGACACGGGAAGCTCTTTTGAGGCGTTTTACTTTCATTTATTTATTCAAGGCTTTGGCTTTCTGAAAAAAAACAGAGATTTTAAGAGGAAAAGTCAGAAATAAAATGGCTAAAAATATTGGGTCATGTAAAGAAAAAGGGTATTTGTTAGCTTAACTATTGCTTTTTTTGTGGACAAAAATCTTGCGGATTTATAAAAAAATTTGTTGGTTATATTAATAGAAAATCCGCAAAAACTGTCCGCAAAAATTTTGCGGACAGTTTTAAAAATTTTCCAGTTATTTCTTAAAAATCCGCAAATTATGTCCGCAAATATTTTAAAAAGTACCCAGACATATTAACAGATATTTTGAATTAATCCTTATTTACAAGGGGTCTCGAAAAAAACTTAATTATTAAATTGAACCTTACATTCTTTTTAAAACAAATTAAAAGTTTTTCAAATTCTGCTTGGCAATCACCTTTTCCAACTTTTTCAGCTTTTAAAGACACACACTTGCCGTAATCTGCTGACTAAAATTTCATTTAAATTAATTTTTAAATAAAATCAAAACCTCTTTACTACAAGAAGCTAAATATTCTGCGAATTTAAGTAGACGACGTTGCTTTTCCGGCATAAAATAAATTGCCGGGTATTTAATTTATGTAAGTTTATTTTAAATTGACCTGAAAAATAAAAATTTTAACTAAAAATCGATTAGAAAAGACAGGAAAATTCTGAAAAATTCGATCAATAAGAAAATAACAGAACGCCACAAATTTATCTTTTGAGGTGATTTTCGTCCTGGGACATTTCGTCCAGTGGGACAAAATGTCACCAAAAAATTTTTTTTCATTTTTTGTTTTCTTATTGATTTCTAAATTTTTTCGAAAAAATATTTTAGCAGATGGAGATCAACCCAAACAATATTATTGGACTATTATCCCAAGTATTTCCTGATTCAAACAACAAAACACCAGTTAATTCGACTGAACGTAAATTGGCTCAATCACTTGCTGCAGCTATAAATAAATGGAAAGAGGCTGATGAAGTTGGGGAAGAGGTCTTGGAGGAAGCTGCTGAGAACGTAGAGAAAGAGGAATTACTTTCGATTGAAGACGATTTGCCGGAAGAGTCAACAGGACAAGGTTAGCATTATTGGAAACCTCTCTATATGATACCTCTAGAACGAACTGGGAGGACCCTCAATTTTACCTACACATAAGCTCCCAAGGTAGCGGACTTCATTTTATAATGAGGTCCGACAATTCTTTATTCAAATTAAGATGAGGCAATTGAAGATGAAGATAGTGGTGATGTTGAGGCTTTTGCTGAAGAAATAAGTAACCAGAAAGAGGAGGAATCTGAACATGATTTGGATGAAACTGCTTCCTTAAATGAAAATAATGGAGAGGATGATTCACTTTCGATGGCAGGCAATTTGTCAGTAACTTCAACAAAACAAGGTTTAATGTCCTTCTAATTTTTATTAAATGTTAAATTAAGAGGAGCCAAATGATGAAAATAGAGACGATGTTGGCATTTTCCGTTCGTTTGAAACAATGGGATTAAAGAGGTTTGTCTTTGTATACAGTCGAACCCCGTTATGAAACACACCCTGGGTCAGAAATTTTGTCTCCTACAATGGGGGGTATTTAAAATAGCGCATAACCCGTGAAACCCCTCCCCAGCAGGGATCTCACTGATTATCCGAAACCTTGGACTTTTTTGACCCGTCCCGTTTTTGAAAACTTGACCCGATGTTTTTCTTAACGCATGACATTGCTCCTCACTCCAAGAAATTGGAAGTCTATTGAACCGTGCTCGTGTGTCTTCAGTTAGTTGTCGAATTTACTCTACTTTTTTTAGTGAACTTCTTCGTGGACTTTATTCTTATGGTTTTGAGAAACCCGCAGCCATTCAACAGCATGTTATCAAACAAATTATAATAGTTTATAAATAAAGTTTTTTTTATTTTAAAAAATTTACAGGGACGCGATATTATTGCCTTGAGTCCACCTGGTACTGGAAAGTGCCAGTTTTTGTATTGGTTTGCTTCAGTCAATTTGTATGTATGATCGTGAAACTCAAGCTCTAGTGTTGGCACACACCCGTGAAAGTGCTGTCAACATTCAAAAGGTTTTTATTTTAAATATCAGTCTTATCTAGGGCATGGGGGGGGGGGGGTGGGAGTTGCTGAGGCCCTTGGGACCTAGTTGCTTTTTTCCGACGACCGGGCCAAATTAGTTTCCTCAATATTGGTCCCGTTTTGTTTAGGGTTAAGTGTTTTGACGTCATTCTCTTATTTTGATATCTCAACGGCGTTAAAAATATTTTTATAGACAATTTTGGCGCTTGGTGATTACCTAAATGTTCAGTGCCACGCGTGTGTTGGAGGCACCAATATTCATGAGGATAGACGCAAACTGGATTATGGACAACATATTGTTACTGGAACGCCTGGGCGTGTTTTTGGTTTTCATTTTTAAACTTTTTAAACCTGCTAAAATCAGTCTTTCTATTTTGTAAGATATGATTAGACGTCGCAATCTACGTACTCGTTCAATTAAATTATTGGTTATTGATGAAGCTGATGAGTTGCTTGGAAACTCATTTAGAGAACAAGTTTATGATATTTATCGTTATCTTCCACCAAATGCTCAGGTTTTTATATTGCTAATTCTAAAATAAAAATTAAAAAGGTTATTTTTGTCTGCTCAAAATCGACTCCAGATTTGGATGAAATGGCAAGTCGTTTGATGACAGTTCCAGTTCGTATTGTTATCAAAAGGTTTGGGATATGTTAAATAAATTAGCCGAGGATCTTTGGATCCTCAGATTGGTCCAAAGTATCTGAGGATATACTGGACTCTGAAGCATATTTTTTACCTCACTTCAGAATTTTTCCTAAATTTTCTAAAAAATTTTTTAAAATTATATTTAGTGATATAAATAATTGTGCACAATTTTATATAAATGCAAATCCAAAAGAATGGAAACCGGACATATTATTTGATTTGGTTGACTTGATGGGATTTGCTACACCTATAGTATTTTGTAAGGATCGAGAAACGGTTTAGAAATTTTAAAATTTATTTAAAAAATGTTTTCAGGTCAATATGTTAAAAGAAACGACGGGCGATGAAGCTAATTGTTTTTGTTTGCATTCGGGATTGAAAAGAAATGAGCGTGTTGAAATTATTAAAAAGTTTCGAGAAAGTGATGAAAGGTTTGTATGTTATTAAAAAAAATTTTTTCCCTGCAACAGGGATGTGACTGGTGAGGAAAAATGTTTTTTTGGGGTTTCGGCTCTCGGGTAGCATGTTTCGGATCAGGGGTGGGCGCAAGAGGCAATCGTGAAAAACGCAAAACGCAACGCAAGGCCAAAAATCAACGCAAAACGCAAAAAACGCAAAACGCAAGAACGCAAAATTCTGAAAAAAAATTTTAAATCGAGTATTAGCCATTTTTCAGTTCAAATAGAAGTATTACTATAAGTCAGCGAGTCCTAGTTGATCTTGTGATACAATTAAGTTGGATGGGTAATGATTTGAAGGGGATACAATGGGATTATGAAGGATATTAGAGGATTTAGAGCGATTATGAAGGAGGGATCGAGGAAAATTGGAGGGATCAAGGAAATTTAAAAAGATACCATGCGATTACTGATGAATGTCGGATGGGTTGGGGAGTAGCGGAGGATAAATGCCTATCTGTAATTCTCAATTGATACCGTGAATATCAGGGGATTTGGAGGGATAAAGGGAGATCGGAGCTCAAGATATTGAACTGATATTTTTCTGAGCAGTTCCATGATCTACTTTTAGCGCCGCAGGCGAAAATTTTGAAAAATTTGGGACCAAGAAGCCAAATTTCTTCCTTTTTTAAGCGCCGCAGGCGAAAATTTTGAGAATTTTGGAAAGTCATAAGCCTGATTTCCTCAAGATTTTGCCCTCAGATTGGGTATATTTCTTGCGGTTTTTTGCGTTAATTTTGGCCAAATTTACGCAAAACGCAAAACGCAACGCAAGGCCAAAAATCAACGCAAAACGCAAAAAACGCAAAACGCAATGCGCCCACCCCTGTTTCGGATAACCCATCAAATCATTGGCCTTTAAGCAATTTTCCATTTTACATTAAATTTGCGGATAAAACTTGCAGAAAACAAGTCCGCAACTTTTTAATTAAATCAGCGGATCGGATAAAAATTGTGGACATTTTCGAAGCACAAAGAAAGACTTAAAAAACATTTTTAAAAATTTTCAGTCCCGTTTTGATTACTACTGACATTGACTTTCATGGCTTAAATTTGCCACAGTTTATTATGGTAATTAATTATGATGTTCCTGATGAACTTGAAATTTACATTGAACGAATGAACCGTGCTTGTGGTTCTTCACGGAGTGTTGTAATTAATCTTGCTGAGGAGAAGGATATGCCGTTTATTCAAGCAATTGAAAAACAATACTCTATTAAGGTTGGTAAAGCCCGCAGAGCATTTTGCGGACTTTTTTTTGCGGATTTTCTCTACTTTTCTTATTTTCCCTCTTGCTGCGATTATGTAGAAGGGATTATAATTTACGTAAATCATTTGATATTTAACAGTCCAGGGCAAAAGAAAGATAAAATAGGGAGGATAGGAGCTGTCCGCAAAAAAAGTCCACAAATTATCAATTAAAGATTAAAAATTTTTAAGATGCAAGAAATGCCTTTAAAAGAAGACGTAAAAGAAGAAGTAAACGAAGAGGTTTAATTAGCGAATATATAAAATTAAAAAAATATAATAATTAAAAATAATTAACAATCTTATTCTAAATTTTATTTTAAATTTTTTCGAAATTTTTCTAAATAAATTTTTAATTTTTTTCACCATTTATTCCCTTAATCTCCCTCATCCCCCCTAACACTAAAATAAAATAATCCCAGAATTTTTAATATTTTATGAAAAAAACTTTCTCTCTCTGTCAATCTCTTATCTTGTGGACGACGAACAAAACAAATAGAAAAATATCCTGGCCATTATTTTATATATTAATGTTGATTTTATTTATTTTTTTTTATTCTTCGCGCGAGGAAAGGAAGGAAGTAGTAGACGATCATTGTTCTTTTCTCTTTGAGTTCTTGAAATAAAGGTGTTGGATCTCTTATTATTTACTTAATATATATTTTTCCTGAATTTCCGTGCATTTTTAAAAAATCTTTTTTAGGGAAGGATTTTATTATTTGGATTTTTAACGTTCTTTCTCTCAAGACAATTATATTTATTGTCTTTAATTGGTAAATTTCTGTCATTGTCTTAACAACTTATTCTTGTTGTTTTTTGTTTTGAGCTTTGTTTTTCAATCTTAGTTTTTTGAAATTGGTATATGTATAAATTTATTATTAGATTAAAAATTAGCATTAATTTAAGGACAACTTTCTTTCTTGCGGACTTCTTTCTTTACGGTTTTTTCCTTGCGGACTTACGGAATTTCTTTTTGCGGTTTATTACCAAAATTTTTATCTTGTTTATCAAAATTCTAGCTGCATCCTAGCTATAATGATCATTCTTTCCTCTTCATTTTTTCCTTCATTCATCTTGATCCAAAATTTTTTCTTCATTGTTGTTGTTCGATCCCAGCAAAAACAATTTGCACCGACTAGGCCAAAATCTCAACAATTTAATTCCCCTCAACAACAAGCCCAAAAATTTATGAGTGCTCCACAATGTAGATGTAAGGATTTGGATGAATGCGCGGCGGAAATTCAAAAATTGGTGGAGAAATGTAAAACGGAGTGAGGAGTTTTTAAATAAAATATGGGGTCGGTTATCGTTTTTAGATATCACCTTGGGGCTGAAAATTCTGTCGCTTATAATGAGGGGCGTGTTAAATAGACGGGATTGCCTAGACGTCTTCAATGAGTGCCTTATAATGAAGATATTTTAAATAAAGGTTAGGTTATAAGGCTCCCCTATCCAGTGTTCTATTTAATGAAGGAACGTGTCTTGTAGGCGTATCTACTATTGGGTGTCTCTTATAGTGAGGTTAAATGTAAAGAAGGGATATGTGGGTTATCTTACAGCGAGATAGTTCAGAAATTTATTCAAAAAAAATTTTTTTTAATTAAAAGACCAAAATGTGAGGCACATTTAAAGAAGATTGGCAACGTCCAAAAAATTCGACAATGCCTGGCTGATGAACAAAAACAAATGGAAAAGCTGGAACAATGCGTAGAGAAGAAAGTTGGGGGCCCAATTGGATGCACTAACGATCTACATCCAAAAAATTTAACCGTTCCAATAATTCCGGAAATGGAAATGATGGATAATAGGAGGAAAAGAAGTTTGTTGCTTTCTGAAAATCCTGGGAAATTTTCTGGTTGTTCTCCGACTTTGCCTGAATTGAGGAATAAAAGAGGGACGTTGCCTCCATTGCCGGCTACTGTAAAAAAATTTTGAAAATTAAAAAAAATTAAATTTAAAGCAAGAAGCTGGACACGCTCCCCCTGAACTTAGCGACTTTTTAATGTGTGTGGATCAGTGTGCTGTTAAAGCTGCCTCCCTAAACTCGGCACCGAAACTGTGTGCAACTCGGGAGGGGAATATGAATTGTGCTTTTAAATTGAAGTGAGTTAAGAAGTTATAATGTCGGACCTTGATTATTGGTATACCCTTGGGACTGAAAAGTGCCTCTTATAATGAGGTGTTTATTAGATAGAGGGTGTCTGTTAGATGACTCTTTGACTCAGTGGCCAGTCAAATTTTAAGGACGTACCTCTTGAGGTGTATTAGTGTTTGGTGGTGTCTTATAGAGAGGTTTGACTGTTGGGTGTCTATTAAATAGAGGGTGTCGTTTAGGAAGCTCTATAATTTTCCTGAAAAACGTTCCGGAATTATAATTAATTATTTAAGGTGTGCACTAGCTCCTCCCGATGACCGCCAACAAAAAGCTTTCGACGACTGCGAGCAGCAAATGCAATTTACCCCACCTAAAAGGTTAAAGAAATCTTGTGAGTGTCTTAAAGCGGCTGGAGTGAAAATTGTCTGTCCAAAATAAATTTTTAAATTAAATTTTTAATAATTAAAAGAGATTAATACTAATATATTTATACATTTACCAACCTTAAAATAAAATTTAAAAAAATTTTTTTAATTAGTGAAAATTGTTTTTAATTATAAAATACTCAATTTAAAAGTACTATAAAATAAAAACGATTAAATTTTTGTACTTTTCTCCTTTCCTTTAAATTTTGTTTTGTTTACAACGGGTGGCGCCGTTATAGCGGGTGGTAGTTGGTAGTCAGTTGAGTCGGAACCTTGTAACTCGAGAACGGGTGAAGCTTTTAAATTACTTTAAGCAATGATAAATAGAGAATTGAATGGGCTACAAAATGAGGGAAATTTCAAAAATTTTGGTTTCCAGGAAAAAAAGTTGTGGTCGAAAAATAGACAAAAATGACCATTTTTCGACGTTTTTTCGATGTTTTTCGGCCATATTTTTTCCCCTCACCTAAAATTAAATTTATTTTTGTATTTTATAGACAATTTAATTCTCTATCGTCTGGTATCAAAATAATTTCAAACATTTATCCTTTCCAAACTTATAAAATTTTAAATAAACCCATATAGTGACTCAACTACGCTATTCAATTACAGACACAAGACTGGGGTAAACACACAATAAATAATAATGGTTGGACAAAAGTGAAAACAGTCTCTACTATAATAACGTCTCTTTTTTTACTATTCTCGATTTCCTTTATTTTCTAAAAAAATTTTTTTTTATTTTTTCTATACACGCGCACAATAAATTTAATTTTCCCCTCCTTTCCCCTTCAATTTTTTTTTAATTTCCCCCACATCCCCCTCAAAACTAATTTTTTTTGTACTACAACAGAAAGGGAAAAGAAAGAGATATTTGTGTGATAAAAATAAAATAATAAATATCTAATTAATTATGGGTGGTAATTAAAAGGGTTGTGGGTTGGTTGATAGTTCCGAAGTTATTATTATTGACAGATGATTTGGTTGATATTTTTGTTTTTGTATTAAATTTACAAAACAACTCTCTTTCCCTTTCTCTTGGCCGAATAAGCACTAAAATTAAATAGTTAACACTTTGAAATATTTTATTACGTAATACTCTCGACTCTCGTAATAAGACCGCTAAAATATTGGCATTTCCCAGCCTTACCGAACTAACCATAGTCAGTTCATTTCAACTCCGATTCTGAGCTGACATATTAATTAAAGTGTAGAGACAACTGGGAGTCTTCTTATCGAGACATTTTTAAATTCCCAAAATTCCCTTAAACTCACTACGATATTTAGTGATGAACTGACCTTTTAATTTGTTCAAATTTTATTCTCTCAAACCGACTACGGTAGTTTGTGATGAACCGACCTTTGATTTTTAATAATTTAATAAATAAAAGCCTTTTCATCGCCAAATCAAAAATTTTTTTGATTTTTGAATTTTTCTCGTTTTTCTTCTGGAAATCCTCTACCCCTCCGCTACTTGAAAAATTTTTTTTTCAATCCCGGACCTTTACCTAGATCTGGCATATTTTTAATTCTTTCTCTCCTCTTTCCTCCCTTAATTTTCTTCATTCAAAAACAGTTTTATGTATTCTGGCCACAAAAAATTCACATAAAAATAAAACAAAAGCTTTGACTGACTACATATATTTTATTACCCCATACATTCTAAAATACTTTCCATTAGACAGTGAAAAACTGACAGAGCGCCAGAGGCCAATTTTGTGAGATGGCCGGGAGAACCCCTCAAAGTCTTCTCCTCCCGACTATTTACTATATTTTTTTCCAATTTCACAGGCACACTATTTGGCCCAAACTCTAAGTACACTTACTAGAAATGTATTATAATTTTAAGGGGGAAGCAGCACAACTGTTTCGCCTTTTTTCTCAACTGTCTTTTCAATCTATCCCCCAACTGTTTCCCCCACAACTGTTTCCCCGTTTTTTTTACATTTTCTACTGTCCAAGGATTTTTCGGCGCCGCTGGAATTTTTGCGGAAATAAAATTATTGTTTTGAAATTATTTTTCTTAATAATAGTTTAGTGCTGGCAATTGACAGCCGGTAGGCCATTTTCTTCAATAAAGATAATACCTCCTTTTAATTAGTGAAATCGGGCCTTATTATGAGGTCTCCATAGAGGAAGTAAATTATATCTCTTATAATGAGGTGTGTGTTAAATAGAGGGTATTGCTTGGGCCGACCCCACCCAATGACTACCTACATCCAGTGACCTATTAAATAGAGAGGCTGCCGACTGTGAAATATATACCCTTCGAAGGTGCAAGTAGGGAACTATTTAGGTGTCGATTGAGCTCAGAACAGAGTCAACCATCAACCCAGACTTTAAAATTATTATATTTGGAACCTTTCCTACCCTATTATTACTTCCAAGCAGCGCCGAAATATCCCCACCCATTTCGATTTTCCTTCACATCATCCGCCTTACTTTTCTCTCTCATTTTCTCCCATATATTCCCCATTCTCGACAGGGCAGTCAGTCCCCAAATTGCCAACAGCTTACAGCTTTTTGAGGCCAATCAAAAATTTATGCCGAGTGGAGGGAAAAGGGAAAGAAGGATCTGTTTGCGTGTGCATTTGTTTGGTAGCTGGAAATTTATGTTTATAATGGTTGTCATAAATTGTTAATTAACAAAACTATTTTTGCTAGTCAGTTTAATGAAATATTGGTGTTGAATCTCGAATTAAGAATCCTTTTTGGACGTCAATCCTAGGAGAATTTGGACCCTTTTCCAAGAAGTTTGACCTGCTCTTGCCATCTTTCTCGTTTCCCTCCTACTTCTACTCCCTCTAAAATAACCCTCGATTGGCAAATGTCCAGTTGATGTCCTACCTGTCCGCAAAATGGAATGCGTACTTTTCTTCTCTTTTCTTGCATTTTTCCCTCTATGAGTGGCGCCCGATTTTTCCTTTCTATAGTATACTTTTTGGCACTTATTTGTTAGAAAAAAAGAAGGAAAATAATTATAACTAGGGTTGTTCACGACCGGATTTAAAACCGGAATTTTTGAAATTTTTTGCCTAAAATTAACCACTTTTAGAAAATTTTAAAAACCGAAAACCGGGGGTACCGGTTAATAACTGGTAGTGAACAACTCTAATTATAACAATGAAAATAAATATATTTTATAAATGATCAAGGATGAAAAATTTGGGATAACATTCTCAAATAGATTTCTAGAATACCTGAGATATGCTCTCCATTAACGAATTAATATTTTAGATTTTTTCTTTGATTCGATCTTAAGATCTTTATCGTCAAAAAGGGAATCTAGAATTTTTGTCGTGAAGTATTATTAGTAGGACAAGGAAGAGACATATTCGAATTTTATTGATCAAAGTTATGTTCACACTTTATAAGTATTAATCATTAGTTCTTTATTTTCATTGTTATACATAATTATTTTCCTCATTTTTTTCTAAGTGCCAAAAGGTATACTATGTATAGCAGAAAAGGAAAAATCGGGCGCCGCTCATAGAGGGAAAAATGCAAGAAAAGGGAAGAAAAGTACGCATCCTATTTTGCGGACAGGTAGGACATCAACTGGACATTTGCCCCCTCGATTTAACGACCATCCATTTTTTCGGACCCTTATAGTTGCTTATATCGAGATTCGACTACCTCTAGGTTGTACCCTAAAAATTTTTCCAAACGGAACTCTCCTTCCACGATTTCAAGAGTCAATTTCTGCTTCATTTTCCCTCACTTTCTAATATGTAGGATAATCCAAAGATTTTCCGCTTTCCAGAATTTTCCCCCTCCTCTAAGCAAATTCCCCTATACTTCCCAACAACAAAAACCTCCTCCTACATTGTATTCTCAATGAGAAGAACAATAAAAATTCAACCAGCCGACTATCTACCAACCCTTTCTACACTAAAAATTTGTGCCAGCGGCAGTCCTCCCTCCCCCTCTTTTTACAAAATGTGCGTAATGTATTATTTACTATATATCTACAAACAGGCGCAAATAAGAGGCACAAACATTCATCACACAGGCTTTGGCCACAGGCACATTGACAAGCTTTAGAAAAAAAAATTTTTTCATTTTTCTTTTGTGCGGTTTTACATTTTTCATTGTGTGCCCTCTCCTATACTTTGTTTGTAAAATGCAAATATAAATTTTTTATTGAGGGATAAATTTAAATAAAAAATTAAAAGGGCGATTTAAAGGATAAAAACGGTCAATTTTACTTTAAAAATTTTTTTGACCATTTTGAACCCTTGAAATTTAAAAAATTTGTCATTTCGACATTTTTCAGCTTTAAAAAGTAAAATACGTCCCTTTCCTTAATTTAAAATTTTTTTTACCATTTTGGTCCTTTGACGTTTTGTGACATTATGTCATTTGGCATTTTGTCGTTTTTCCACATTCCTCAATTTTTTTCTTTGTGTGTGTCCGGGACTGTAAATTAATTTTTTTCTACAAATCTTGACTCTCCAAAATTATTTAATACTAAAAATAAAAATATTGCCGGTCGAGATAAAAATCCTTTTATATTTTTCCTGGTTATTTTCTTCGCAGATTTTCCCCTTTCTTCTATTTATTTTTTAACCCTTTTACTAGCTAATATATATATATCCGGATATATTCTTAAAAAAGATATCTACACGTATTTATCGTTTCGGAGATTGTGTAGAAAATTAATTTTTAAGGAACAACAAAACAACAGTTTATAGTCTTTGTATTTATATTTATATAATTTATTTTTATCTAAAAAAATGTTTTTTATGTAGTCAGAATTAATTTACTGGAATTTATTTTATTTATTCTGAAAAGTGTTTATTTTATTTCTGATTTGTATTTTTCTTGTATTTTTTATTTTATTCTGATTTTTATTAATTAAAATTCTGATTTGTATTTTGTATTTCTTCTGTTTATTAATAATTCTGGTCTGTATTTTCTTTGTGTTTTCCGTTTATTCTGATTAATTAATAATTCTGATTTGTATTTTCTTTGTGTTTTTCTGATTATTTAATAATTCTGGTTTGTACTTTCTTTGTATTTTCCGTTTATTCTGATTATTTAATAATTCTGATTTGTATGTATTTATTCTGATTGGATACAATCTCTTCTGTATTTTCTTATTTTTATTCTGTTTTTTGTATGTATTTTTCATTAATTATTTATGTATTTTCCTTTTGTTTTTCCCATTTTACAATCATTCCTAAAATACATTAATTTTACAAAAAATTAGATCGCCTAGAAAAACAGATGGTAAGGAAAAGAAATGTGTTTTTAGGAAATAAATAAATCCACAAAATGGCCAAAACCCACAGTCACAAAGTTTTATATGTGCTTTAATGTGCTGGGCCTCCTGGCGATAGTTACAACAATTTTTTATTGTTTAATTGATTTTTCGCTAAATTAGCCTAGAAACTGCTTTATCCTTTTTATTTTTTGTATTTTTTTGTATTTTTGATTTTGTGTTTATTTTGTATTTTTATGTGTTTTTAAAAAATTCTGATTCTAAAATTCTGATTTTTTAAAAAATTAATTCTGATACTTAAAAATAAATTCTGATTTAAAAAATTTATTCTGATTAAAAAATATTTCTGATTAATTCTGATTTTTAAAAATAAATTCTGATTCTTTAAAATTAATTCTGATTTTCTTAAAAATTAATTCTGATTTTTTAAAAATTAATTCTGATTTTCTAAAAATTCTGATTCTAAAAATTTATTCTGATTCTTTAAAATTAATTCTGATTTGTATTTCTTCTGTATTTTTCCATATTTTTGTATTTTTCAAAATTAAATTTAATCCTTAACTACCCAAATCAATAAACCTCTAAAATATGCGCCCCCACATTCCCAACTGTCCCCTTTTTTCTTTACAAATCCTTTTATCCCACAAACATATTTTCTAATATCGTTTTTGCCTTCAAAGCCTGTCAGTTGATGTATTTTCTTTTTCTGTCTTTTTGTCAGTTAAATGTGTACAGAGCTCCTCTATAGTCAGTCAGTTTTAGAGTTTTCCTCTCTTCGCACAGGGCCAAGAAAAAAGCTTTTTTATTTTATAGGCCAACAAACACATCCCCTCTAGGCAGATCCTAAAAATATAGTCAAAAGGCACCTTCTGTCAAAATTTTTGTTCTTATTTTATTTTTAAAATCTGTGTGAGAGCGATAGAGTTTGTCCAAAGATCCAAGGATTTTTTTTGTTTACAGATTTCTAACCCTAAAAATTATTTAAAAAATTTATTTCTCGATTTATTCCCGATTAATTCTATACAAATTTAAAAAATATAAACTGATAGATTTTTAAATTTCTAATCTTCCCTTAAACTCACTACGATAAGTGGTGATGAACTGGCCATTGAAATTGTTCACTTTTACTTCTCTCAAACCAACTACGGTAATTTGTGATGAACCGACCTTTTGATTTTTTAATAAATTTAAAATTAAAGGCCTTTTCATCACCAAATCAGAGGAAATTTTTTTACATTTTAGGGTTATTGGTTTCGAACCCCGAACTGAAAATTAAAATCAGTTTTAGCTGATCCAAAAATTTACTTAAAGCTGTAAGGAGCAGTCTAGTCCACCACGAGCTTCACTCAGTCTCAGGGCTATAACTTCGGTTAAAGTTTTCGTATTCGGTGCGGTTTGGTATTAATCGATACCTCTACAAGGGCTGTATTGAATCAACTAGTGCTACCGGGATTATAAAAATTCTTGACAAAGTTATAGTCTTTCTATGGAGTGAGGTTTCAGGCGGATAGAAGTATCTCCAACCAACAATCTTTATTTAATCCCTCATTTTTTTCAAGATTAAATAAACAGAAAATGTCTTCCTCATCTCCAAATTCATCCTCCCCTCCATTATCTACATTCAATCTTCAATACGAAAACAATTTAAATATAATAACTTCACTAAATACTTCCCCAAATATCCCAACAACCAAAGCCTTTGTTTGCGAAATTTGCAACAAAGCTTTCCGTTTCCGTTCAAATCTGGCAGAACACCGATCTGTCCACACTGCTGTTAAGCCTTTTGTTTGTAAATTTTGTGGAAAGTCGTCGAGGTTGAAAGGGAATTTGACCAAACACATTCTTAAGCATCACAAAAATGAACAGAGGGATTATATTGGGACGGATGATTATATTATTAAAAAGGGCAAAAAATCTGTGAAGGATCCGGCGGTGGGTAGAAATATTTTTTGTTTTGAAATACAGTAGGACCTCGGTTTATAGATACCCCTTTTTGAGCTGAAAATTTTTTTCTTATTTATTGCCCCATCTCCTCCCATCAGGTGTGTGCCGAAATAGATTTTAAAAAGCGATAAACAAAAGGCGAAACACCAAAGATTCAAAATTCGGCATATTGCCCCTGTCCCCCACACAATGGTCGATCCAATTAAAAAACATATTAAGTAAATAGAGGAGTATTGAGGGTATCTTGTAGGGAAGTAAGATGCTGAAATAAATTTCTGGAAAATTTTCTTTTGAAGGCAATTGAATTTCTCGAACGTTCAATGATTGTGCTCAATAATTCCTCTAGTGCCAATAATGCCAAACAACGAAATTCTAAAGAATCGGATTCTAAAGGTAATCGAAAAATTCGAAAAAAATTCAAAAAAAATTCAAAAATTTTTTTAAAGAAAGTTCGGTCAATTTAGACAACAATGACAATAATAATGAAATTAATACGGATAATATATTTAATTCTTTGGGATTTAATAATTCTTTTGAAATGAAAGAAGAAGAAAATAATGATTGTGAACAACAAGCTTCTTCACCTTTGACACCAGAAAATGAAAATAATAAAGGGGAAGGTCGGAAAAGTATATTCTGAAATATAAATTCTGATCTTTAAAAATGAATTCTGATTTTTAAAAATTTATTCTGATTTTTTAAAAATTAATTCTGATTTTTTAAAAATTAATTCTGATTTTTAAAAATTAATTCTGATTTTTTAAAGATAGATTCTATTTTTTAAAAATTAATTCTAGTTCTTTAAAAATTAATTCTGATTTTTAAAAAATAATTCTGATTTTATTCTGAAATTAATTCTGATTTTTTAAAAATTAATTATGATTTTCTAAATTTAATTCTGATTAAAAAAATAAATTCTGATTCTAAAAATTAATTCCGATTTTTTAAACATTAATTATGATTTTAAAAAATAAATTCTGATTTTTAATAAATTAATTCTGATTTTTAAATTTAATTTTCAGAACAAAACGTTATGTCAGTTGTCGCTTTAATGGCTGCTGCAGCTGCTTCTTCTTCTTGTCCTGCCTTTTTGGAGAATAATACAAATGAAGAGCAAAATGAAGACATGGAAGAGGACGAAGAAGAAGAGGAAATTGAGGCAAATAATTTTTAAAAATTAATTTTAAAAAATTTTTAAAAATTTTTTAGCCGCTAACAAATAATCCGGACATTTCAACGCCTCAAAATAATTTTAAACAAAATTACAATAATTTTAATAATATTCAAAATGTTCATCAAAACAATAAGGATAATGCACCAATTAATAATAATGCAGCTTCTGCTGCCTGTAAAGCATTATTTCAACAATTGTTTGGGGGAGGAAATGAAGCTTGTTAGTTTAATGTTTTATTCTGATAAGAATTCTGTTTTGTGTTTTAATGAAATTCTGATTTATAAACTTGTTTAGATTAAATACTGATTTATAAATAAAACCTGTTTAAGTTAAATTCTGATTTTAAAAGATGTTGTAATTTAATTCTGATTTAAAAACTTGTTTTAATTTAATTCTGATTTAAAAACTTGTTTTAATTTAATTCTGATTTTTAAAACTTGTTTAGATTTAATTCTGATTTTAAAATAAAACTTGTTTTAATAGAATTCTGATTTTAAAAGATGTTTTAATTTAATTCTGATTTTAAATAAAACTTGTTTAGATTTAATTCTGATATTAAAATAAAACTTGTTTTAATTAAATTCTGATTTTAAATTTATTTTTAGCCAATTCACAACCAAATGAGCAACTTCTGCGTTTTCTATCTCAAATAAACGAAATGACACACTTATCTGATTCTAACACCCAGCAACAACAAAATAAAATTAAAATTGAAGAAACAATAGTGCCTAATATTAAAACAAATTCATTTTTGTCAACAAAATGTAAACAGTGTGGCAAGAGCTTTCGGAAACGTAAATTAATTTTTAAGAATTTTTAGAATTTTTTCTGAATTTTTAAAAGTGTTTTTCTGATATTAGAAATTCTGGTTTGTATTTTTCTGGTTATTTTTTGGAGTAATTTTCAGAATTATTTTTCAGAATTAATTTTTTCAGAATATTTTTCAGAATTTTATTTATTTTCAGAACTGTATTTTCCGGAAATACCTTTACTTTCTGATTTTTGTATTTTTGTATTTTTTTTGAATTTTCAGAATATTTTAAAAAGTATTTTTTTGATATCAGAAATTTTGGTTTGTATTTTTCAGAATTATTATTTTTCAGAATATTTTTCAGAATTTTTTTTCAGAATTTTTTTTCAGAATTTTGTCTTTTATTTTTGCATATTTTTATTTTTTCTTGTATTTTTTTAAATTTTTTAAAAATTTATTATTTCCGGAAATTACACTTGTATTTTCCAAAAATAAATTTTTATTTTGCCGGAAATGCCTTTAAAATTACCCGACTTTTTTTGTGTTTTGCTTTTAAATTTTTGCACTTTTAAATTTATTTTTACAAAATTCCACTCCACACTATTTTTAATAATTTAAGCGCGCGACTTGCTCTCACATCTGGCTACCGCCCACAAGCTTGTAAATGGCCAAGACAACAACAACAACAACAACAACATGTTTCCTAATAAACAGGCACAGACAGACACCCCCTCCCAACAATCCTCCCCTTGCAACAGCGTTTTTTCTGCTTCAACAGATTTAAAATCCTCAAATAATTTGCCAGAAATTTTGGCTATTGAACTCAAAAGACTCCGAAAAACATTTTTTAATTCAAAAAATAATGAAGAAAATGGGGGCCAATTAAATTTAAATAATTCCGGGAGTCTTGTACGCGTCGAACAAATTTTGGGGCAGCTCGATTCGCGTGTTTGTCGGCTTGAAAAACAGGTGGAAATGGCATTGAATAGGTAAGAGTTGATGGAATATTCTGTTAGAACTTGGGTAGTTTAGGAGAACACCCCATTAGACCCCGTTATTCACCTCATTTATTCATTAAGTTAAGGACCAGACTGGGAGTGTCTTACGAGAATCGGGATCCCGAAAAATTCGCGATCTCGATAGCCGAGATTCAATCGAGATCTCGTTTCGGTCCAGTATATTCACTAAGCTGACTAACTCACCCCATTTATTCGCTAGCTAACAATGGGCCTATTTTATTGAGTATTCTCTATGACCGAGATAATTAAAATACCGTAAATATTCTAATAGAAGCCCATGCCCTATTAGAAGCCCAGGGGTATTGAAAAATAGAACCCAGGGCTTATATTAGGATACTTACGGTAATTAAATAATATTTCTGTTAATTTTCCCTGTTTTTTAGTATCTACACACTTGTACAGCTTCAAACGGGAATAAATAACAATATGAATAAATTGAACCGTTCATTGACCAATTTTCAGAATAATGGCCAAAATAATAACAATACCCAGTGATTTAATTTTTGTTTTTAAATTAAAAATCCCTCTCCCAACCCAGAAACTTGCCCAATAAATACCCAAAAAAATCATTTTTTGCCATAAATTGCCAAAACTGCCATTTAAATATTTTTGCCAAATTCTAATATTTTTTAAAAATATTTTTGCATCTTTTTTTTAATTGTTTAATTTGCCATATTTCCGCCAAATATTATAATTTTATGCCCAGTATTGATATTAATTTAAGTGTTCGGATTTGTATTTAAATAATTATTGAGGCGACTTTTATCTTTTCAATCCTGGACAAACTCAGAAGTGGGTCGGAATTCCAAGTTCCGAGTTTTGACTTCCAAGTTCCGACGTTTTTTTCCTTCCGAGTTCCGAAAAACAATTTTATTTCCGACTTCCGAGTTCCAACTTTTGAGCCAGTTCCGATTTCCGGCTCTTCCGATTTCCAACACCTCTGCCTGTTCCGACTATTTCTGGGCAAAATATACAGCTCATGGACAGTTCATAGTACCTCAGTCTTTTGATTTTTTGACATTATTTGACCAATTATTTGGGCAGGTTAATAAACAGGGGGTGTTTTTGTGCCTTATTTCAATACAAATCTGGACACTGGATATTACTATATTTGTTTGAATAAAATTACTTTATAAACTATATAGTAAGGGCGAGGTACAAATTTAATCTCGGGCAGGGTTTAAAAACGGGACGGGGTCCATTTAATAGATCTTAAACCCCCGCCTAGTCAGTAGAGCTTCGCCGGAAGTTCCGGTTACGGTAGGCCGGAAGTCCGCAATTTTTGGTTCCGGATCCGGTCAACTTAGCGGTTCCGGCGAAGCCCTTCTAGTGAGCGTTTTAACTGCTAACCAGCTGTCAGAAATTCGAGTCACAAAGAAATTATAGCCACATTTAGCCTATACTAGACAGTCAATATTTAATGCATTAATTAAATTAATTATTTAATAAAATTTAAAATCAATTTTATTTAAAATTTAAATTAAGGCTTGTTTAATTTTAAAATTTTTTTAATAAAATAAAATTTCTTTTAATTTAATAAAATTTTTTAAAATAATTTTTTAAATATTTTTAATAAAAGATTTTTAATAAAAATATTAAAAAAAATTTTTTCAAGCTTTTAACAAATTTTAAAAATAAATAAATAATTTTCTTCTATTTTTAAATTAAATTTCGTAATAATTTTTTGACTAATTTTTAAAAAAAATTATTTTTGGGGCGTCTTTTTTCCCTCTTTTGTTTTTGCCGCTTTTAAATTTTAATTTGCTTTTAAATTTAGTTAGCTAGTCGGGATAGCCTTTCATTTTAAAAATCTATAAGAAAAAATTTCTTTTTAATTTAAAAAAATTAAAAATCAAAGAAAAATATTCAAAATGCGTCTAGCCATATTTATTTTTATTTTATTTGTAATTATTTTTGAGGAGAGTTTGGGAGGTAATTTAAATTAATTAAATAATTTATTTAGTTAATTATTTAAAAATAAAATTTGAAAATTTTATTTTTGGCTCTACTGCCAGGATAAGAGTCCCATTGATACGGGGGTTCTATTAAGCCTCAAGGCTCCAACAGCGGATAAGCCATATGAACCCCGGGATAAGAGTTCCATTAACCTTCCATTAATTTAGTTTTATAAACCTTGGCTTAGTTATACGAACTGAAAATCAAGGAATATTCCACTTGCCTATCCGTAAGACTCATAAACTGAAATAGAGCCTAATTTCATAATTTTTTTTTAAAATTTTTTAAATAAAAAAGATGAGCAAAAACAACGACCTCCCTCAGCCTACACAAGCCTAACTTCACTCGGAGAAAAAAAATTTGAACGTCAACCAAGTGAAAGTGAAACAAACACTGGATATATACTTACAAATTTATTAAAAAATTTAAAACAATTTTTAAGCCTTAACAAGCCTTCAGTTTATAATGAGGAAAAGCCGAATGATAAGAAAAGACGCCATAAAATAGAGAAAGAATTGGGGAAACCAACATCGGAAGAAAATTGATAAAAAAATTATTTTGTTGTTTTTTATTGTAACAAAATTTGCGGAAAAAAATTTTTGCGGAAAAAAAATTTTTGCGGACAAAAAATATTTGCGGACTAAAATTGCGGACTAAAATTTGCGGACTTTTTCTTTTTTTTTAAATTTTATTTATATATTAATTTTTTGTTCGTTTTCTTGTTATGTAAAAAGACATTTTGAAGCTTATTATATTATAAATCTTGGAACTGAAAAATCACATCTTATTGAGGGGATATGGATTAGAGGAGGTGCAGTCTAGACAGCACCTCCCTACAAGAGGTATCCCGAATGTTTTTAAAAGATGAGCGGTGAGTCTTAGGGTCTAATTTTGGTCCTGGGTTCGTTTCTCGTGTCTTGGAAAATTTCCTTAAACATCTCAGGAAGATCTTCTCTCAAACATCTTAGAGACTGGGATATCCCTGCTACCCCTACTCAGTGTGACCAAATAATTTTTAAAATTTGAATATTAAAGGAAGCCGTTGTGTTAATATGTATAACGTAATTTGAGTGGTTTTTCAACGCAAAACTTAAAAAACTTTTTGTAATTTATTTAAATTTTATTTCAAAAATTATTTCAAAATTTTATTTTAAAAATTTAATGCATTAAATAAGATAGATAAAAAATCAATTTAAAAAAATTTTTTTCTTCCCAAAAATCAATTTTTCCACCCCCAATAAAATTTTTTTTATAAAAATCCCCCTCCACAAGCCCTTTCAATTTAACCCACTTCCGTTAAAATTTTTCTCCACCTTCGTCAATTTTTCGATTTTTTCAAAAATAAAAAATCCCCCCTCCCCCTTCACTCTCTTTGTTTGAATTTATCAAAAAATATTTTTTGTTAAAAAAATTTTTTAAATAGAAAAACTCCGCCTATTAAAATTATATATTTTTTATTCATTTTTAAATTTAATTTAATAATTTTTATAAAATCAAAAAAATTTGCGGACAGAAACTTGCGGATAAATAATAAATGCTTAATAATTAAGAATAAATAATAATTAATTTCTTTGAACCTCCCAGGAATGACAACGGGGGATAAGGTGGATTTAGAGTGATATCGAGAACTTAGAGCTGAGATGGCTTAGAGTTGTCTATGTTTATGGACCGTTAGATTGAAATTTTTATTAGACCTAAAAGCTGAAAAACCCCTTATGCCCTAGTGACTGAAAAAATATTTCTTATAATGAGCGTAGATTAAATAGGGGGTGTCGTTTGGCAACTCCTTCAAGGGATATAGGGGATTTCTGAGAGATATCCGAGGCATAGAGAGACATTTGGAGGGATATCTGGGGCAGGAGGGAGGGATATCTAGGAGAGAGGATATCTGGAGGGAGGGATATCTAGGAGAAAGGGATATCTATTTGAAGGGATAAAGGGATATCTATTTGGAGGGACTCCTTCAAGGGATATAGGGGGATTTTGGAAGGATATCTGGGGCATAGGGAGACATTTGGAGAGATATCTAGGGCAGGAGGAAGGGCTATCTAGGAGAGAGGGATATCTAGGAGGGAGAGATATCTAGGAGAGAGGGATATCTATTTGGAGGGATATCTCGGGCAAAGAGAGACATAGAGTGGTTTAGAGCCTTGAGAGGCTTATCTGGGGCATACAAGCTTATCTGGGGCTTAGAGCTTTTCGCAAATATTTGTCCGCAAATATTACAATTAATTAAATTTTTAATTAATTATAGAAGAATTTATTAAAAATTTTTTAAAAAAAACATTTCAAAATCCAATCAAAAAACTATGTCAATTCCAAAAACTTTAAATATTCTAGTTTTTGTTATCATCGTCTTAAAATGTGTTAATTGCATGGACGAAAGTTTGTTGTTATTTTAGAAATATTAAAAAAAATTTTTATTTAAAGTTGAAGAGGTGCCTGAAGAAGCACCTTTACCGGGCAAGCCTTCTTCGAAAAAATCTCCTAAATTAGGAGGTCCAAGTAAAGCCAGTCAACATCATTCAGGCCTTAGAGTTGAAGTGCCTGAAGAAGTACAAGTACCACTTTTGATGAACAAACCTTCGAAAAATTTTCTGAGAAAAACTCAGTCAAGTGTAGTGGAAGGCAATCAACAAATGTCAAGCCCTAAAAGTGATCATCATCTTTTACGAACACAATCGGAACCAAAACCTCACGACTACATGTCCTTAAACTCTCCCCACTCTCCATTAAACAAATCTCCTTTAAAGAGACAAGCAAGCCAAAGTTCAACAAAAATTGGTTATTTAGCTGCTCAATGTGGGAATTGTTTGAATGATGTTGTAACTTGCTATGAAACCTGTGTAGGGAAAGGAAAACCGGAAGGTTATACAAGTGAGGGAGAAGTAGAGAAGAAACTTGAAGAAAAAAGGAATGTTTATTATATCCCCTAAAAATTTTTTTAAGAAATTTTGAGGAAGGAGGGATAGTTGAAACTGAGAAGAGAGGATGAGAGAAAACACACAACCTTTATCTGTCTTTTTTAAATTTTTTTTTTAAATTTTTTTTCTTGGGGTTTTAAAGATTTTTTATTGAAGATTCAGAGATTCAGTATACGATATATTATCGTTAGTTTTTTATTATTATGTGATTACCGTAGATTTGAAGAGGTACAGGCGAATCACGATATAACCACCTCAAAGTGACCGAATTAAAAGGTCTATTA